ATACAAACAAGTATATGATGCAATAACATTTAATATCTTATTACAAAACGGAATAACAAAAGGATAAGTCCTGCACAAACAAATAAAATAATGATACACATATATGAACCATGGACGATTGGTAATATTATGCATTTGATAATTTAAAAACTTATTAGCTATAACTACCTGGCCAGGCAAGAATTTGATGACCACATAATTTCTGTTCACAATATAATGATACTCCTTTATATAGTAAAACACATTAAATCTTAGACGCTTCCAATCACATCACACTCTGAGCAACTCTTGTAGCAAAGGCATCAGCAAGAGAGTTGTCTCTGTTCCTGCTCAGAAAGCCCAGTGGACTATTAGAACACTGACATCATTATTAACACTGTTGCCCACTAAAAGTATATATCTCACGTAGGAAAGGGGGGGAGGAAAGGCTGGTTTAGTACATGGACCAGGTGTATGTACCTCAAGCACTGGCGGATCTACAGGTAAAAGGGAGACTTTCGGGTTGACCGTCATCCCCTTTTACAAAATGGTAAAATGTGCCATGTTTTATGGTACAAAAATTATCTCTTAAAGTATTATTATTCGGGTAACTGCAATTAATAGGACTTCAAGAATCTTGTGTTTCAGTCATAATAATTTTAATAATTTTGTAACTAATTCATACTTGATTATAATTTATCCCTTCACAATTAAATTTTTACCTGATTATGTATTGTTTTTTTATTTATCAGTTACTACTAAAAACTGATTACAAGTACTTATTTTTATCTTTATTTACTTAAATTTAATAAAATAATATACAAATTCTAAATTATACATTTCTTCAATAATTCTGTGATCATAGGTTTCCTACTGGGATGAATAAATACCTCTGTATACTGTTTATGAACTTGCAACCATAACACTTATGAAACTAATGAATCATAATCAAACAGTTATGAAATTTTATAAAAGAGTTTTATTTACATGATGGTAGTGTTGATATGTTTCTGTTCTAGATTCTGTCTCAAGTGACTTAAATTGCAAGAGCGGAGGGAGTCCAAGTGAGGAAGGCGGTTCATCTGTGGATTGGCCGAACAACGGGAAGCCAGGAGTAGACACCCTCCCGCTCATCAACCCTCCGCCCTATGAAGAAGTGGTATCTAGGCCACTGTAGGCACCAATTCATCCTTTCCAACCAAAAACAGGGATTTTTATATGTGCTAATTTCTAAATAACCCCATATGACCTCAATGCTGGCTGGGGAATGATTGAGAGAGTAAAATGTATGGAAGATTTCTGACTGCTCTGGATCAAGTTAAAGTATATAGATTGATGAGCATAGAAAGCCAAGTTCGATGAGGGACGTGATAAATCAAAATTGAAACCATATTTTTTAATGTACTCTATTCTATATAAAATAAGTTTATTCTTATGCTGTTTTGTGTATTTACATCATAAGGCTGATTCCACTATGAGAGACTATATTTCCACATTATTGTTGTAAATAAACTATCATTAATGGGCTAGTTTATTGCCATTGGAAACACATTTCCAAATTACCATGATGGTAATATTGTAAATTATGATAAAAATATGAATTCTGTCTCATGATTATATTGTTTGTATATTTGTCTTCTGTTAGAGATTTAAAGTAATTCATTGAGATATATATTAATAAGATGATGTCTGTATAAAATTTGACCATGTACACGTTTTAGCACACTTTCACTGAATAATTAAATGTAAATATCACAGGTATTTTAAAAATAAATTATATCTAAGTATTGTTTTTTTTATTTTATAAGTATTTTTCCTCATTTTTTTATTATCAGGTGTATTAGCGTAATGTCCATGCATTCTTTTTTAAGAAAAAGATTAAAGTAAACATTTCTATACCAAACTAACGTTCCATTATAAAAATTCATTGTGTTGAAACATTATCTTTCTTCATTATTTAGAAATATAAAAAGCATGTATGAGAAGAAAACAGATAAAACAAAAATTTTTGTCTGTATCTAGCAAATAAAATTATTAATTACATTATTTGTTAATTTCTAATTATGCACTCCAATAACATTTAGCCAAAAATATTTTTGAATTAAGAATATTGCATACTCATTCCTCTTTTCCCAGTCTGCTGGTGTTACCCAACGTAGTAATAGTATCCTAGGTCCTTTACACAGTTTATACAGCTGACATCCCAACCCATCCAAACACTGGTATAACAATACATGCCAATGACACATGTGTCCTATCAGTTGCATCCCATACTCTTCAATCACACATCACAAACCTTGAAGAATGGTGTCAACACTGGAGAGTTAAAATAAATTCAAACAAATCCCATCAAATTACATTTAGTGTACAAAATTGGTTGATATAAAATGATTTTATGACTGAAGTCAGTATTATCAAATTACATTTACCTTTTGTCATAAACCTATGACTTCCTGTCCTACAGTATCCTTTAACAATACTCCACTTATCTCTGTTGATCAAATACGATACCTAGGACTTCACCTTGACAAACCTCTAACATAGAATCTTCATACCTGACTGAAACGACATGAAAACACTCGACGTTTCTGGATATTTCAGCACTTAGACAAACGCTCTAAGCTTTCAATTAATTACAAAATACTCATATACATGACTATAATAATACCTATTGGGACTTATGGAATTGGGCTTTGGGGCTCCACTAAACCATCGAATTCCTCTCGTATCCAATCTTTACAATTCAAAATCCTTTATAAAATAATTAATGCTCCTTACTTTGTAACAAATAAAACAATCCATAACAACCTGAATGTTTCATGTTTCCGATTTGGACCAATCCAGATTTTATTTATTTATTTATTTGTTCCACCCTCCCATGCCACAATGGCAATACGGGTGTTTGTGATAGTGTGTTTTAGGCATGAATACTTAATAACACACTACTACTAGATGTGCACACAGTTCTTCTGTTCTATCTTCTTCCTTCTTCTTTCAGCCTAGCTTCCAGAATCTGGAGGTCGTCCTGGCGCTTGTCATCTTCTGCAGGCACCAATATGGAAGTGAGCGGGCCCCACCATCGTCTTCCATCCTTATATGAAGTCCTTAAACCGCAGGAAATTTTCCTCGCTGACTAACTGAGGAAACTCATATTCAGTGAGGACATAGATTCCCGCGGCTCTTGTCATTGTCACTCTTAATATTTCAAATGCGGTGCAGGTCGTGACCACGTGCTCTACAGTTTCCGGAACACTACAGATTGGGCATAGAGGATCTACATCAATGCCCAGACCGTGAAGTTTAGCTCAAAATCCTCCATGCCCCGTGAGGAACTGGGAAATCCAGTAGTCCGGGAGGACCCACTTTGCCTGAAGCCTCGACTGTACTGTGGGAAAGTACTTCCTCAATGTACTTCCTTTAGGGGTTGTTACCCACCGCCGGTTCCATGCTTCAATTGTATCCTCCCAGATTATCTTCTTCCATCTATTAGGCGCTTCCATAATCCACACCTGTAGATTGTCCGAAAGTACTGTAGAGCCTTCTATCTTGTAACAATATTTCGTCACTTCTTCTAGTAGGAGGAGGTTGAGAGGCACCACCCACGCTAGGACCTGTACCGCTTCATGCGAAGTTGTCCTATATGCTCTGGTGACCCAAAGCAGAGCTGTCCTCTGAGTCGAGGCCAATCCAGATACCTATCATTCCATAATAAACTTCAGAATCATCCTAATCCTCTCATTTCTTACCTTGCTTTCCCCTTAATCCCTGATAATCCCCCTAGGCGTCTGAAAATAAGATGGCCTCGTGATCTCCTAATTTAGATACTTTATTGATCAATGGGTAGATTCTCTACAAGCCTTGCCATGCCATGTACTTCTCTGTATCACATTTACTAAATGTATATTAATTTGTATACAGTTGTAAATTTCATAAATAATAATAAAATATATATAAATAAATATGAAATAAAAATAGCATTTTAATATCAATAGGAACATAAAAAGAACAATGAAATTAATATTTTAAATTGAATATATGATGTGTTTTCCACTTTCACTTATATATATATATGTATATATATATATATGTATATATATATATATATATATATATATATATATATATATATATATAGTAGGAGGTATTTTTATTTATTATATATTTTCCCTTCTGTATATATATATATATATATATATATATATATATATATATATATATATATATGTATATAGAAGGGAAAATATTGTGATCATGTAAAATTTCAAAAAATTGAAAAGCCCGTTACTATACTTTGATAAATTTTACATGAGAAAATATATGACTTTAAATCTATGTAAAAAGTGATAAAGATTTGATTCCTATAATTTTTATCATGTAGTACAATCCTTACTTATTCATTTATAGATTAAATATATTTTCTTTCAATTCTCTATTTGTATATAGGGCTCAAAAACTAGAGTTATGTGGTTCAAATAGAGTGACAGAGTTATGAGATTTTTATTGTCTATCGTTGACATAATAAAAAGGGTTTGTGTTTTTTTGGTACAAATATGATTGAAATTCACAAATTGGTTCTTCAAGGTTTAGTTCCATTAAAAATGTACTTCAAACACTTTTTGTAATAGTCCAATTTTGTGTGAAAGTAATTTCTGTTAAAAGTAGAGTGGTAAGTGAAAGTTGTGTGATTTGCGCACCAGATTTTTTCATTTAAAACAAAATAATATCTAAAGTAAAAAGAGATTGTTAAATTATAATTCAAAAATGTATATGTGATATAATAAAAATATGTATATTATTTAATAAGTATTTAGTAAGAAAATGATTAATAGTTATATTTAAGAACGACTTGACAACAAGAACTAAATAAATGAAATGCAACTAAATTATCCAGGAATATGTTCTACCTTAAAATTAATTAGCAGATAAATTTATTTTATTTATTTATTTTTTGTGACACAATCTTATATCAATTGAAATATTCAACAAACATGATGGGAACAAATTTATATGCAGATAAAATAATTGCTGTTTTCCATCATTAGTGAAAACTGTTTCATCTTAGTACTGTATGGATTGATCCAAGATTTCAATGTTGAAAAAGACAATCTACTTATATTGGTCATTTTAAATAATAAATATTAGTGATTCTACAGAATAAATGCAACAAACTGAAATTCAAACAGAGTGAGATGTTTAAAATAGACAAGGAGAGAAAGAGCCAGCAAATGAAGAAACTTCATATTTTCCTAAGCAAATTATTTAAGATGGTGTTGTTTCATTGATTTATTGTTGTTCATTGAAAATGGACCTATGATTATGATCTGGAATCTTATTGTTAATTTAGCACTTTAATTAAAAATATTTAGGTTGTATTTTTACATTCAACTTTTTATGTTTCATAATCAAGACACATATATATATGTAATACCTGTAATCTTCCCTCAACTCTTCTCCCCATAGATCCATCTGTGTAATAGATTTATCTCTATAATAATGTTTATTGGATTACTGCTGGTAAAGAAAATAAAATAAATAGAAGTGCAACAATAGGAGAACAACATAAGATAAGTTTATAATGGTAGGTGCATACGAAAAGAAAAACAAACTTTGAAGGCTAGTAAAATAAATAGAGTGATCAAAAATATGTTATACTGTGGTAAGTAATGATATGCTTATAACAGAAAATCTGAAGACTGACTCAGTACAAAAATAACATTAGAGCATCAATATGAACTTCTTGTGTACCAACCAGCACAGTATCAGTACAAAACAGTGTGATGGAAAAATAAAACTGAAATAATAAAGTAAACAAAACCAATCATAGGTGATTTACAGCATGACTTAAGTGGAATAGGGGGGTATTAAGTTTTTGTTAATGCATAAATGAGCTCTTTTTTTCCATAGCAATTTACACTACATGTTGATAAATAATAGATATTAAATTTTTTATTACATGGTTCATCTTTATGCTGATTACATATATATAAACAAACAACTGATATAAAAACAAATATAAACTAAATACAAACAAACTGAATTTTAAAAATTCACATTTTTAATTCTTATATCCAATTAAAATGGTTCAGAAAAGGCCTATAACATGTCTTTTTAAAAAGAATAAAATCAACCAATTTTTGTAAAAGAATCGCCATAGCTCTTGAGTTTACTTTTCAATAAGTTCTTATTATAAAGCCTGACAAGGTAGATAATAAAAATGGAAACTTATCCAAAGACTGAGGTAATGCAGGAGCTCAGCAGAATTCAATGTGAATATAAATGAGGAAAGAATTTTTAATGGAATTTAAAAATACATATTTTGAAAATAACTGTTGGTATATTAAAATAAGAATAATAACTGAAAATAACAAAAGCTTATTACTTTCCCTTGGTAATATATATCTCAATATATATAAAATAATTAATAATATTAAAACCAATATTTATCACAATACCAAAAATAAATATATACATGGGGTATACATTCACATGTCAATTTTTTTAAATACCTCTCTTTATAGGCTTAGGAACAACATAGAGTTTAAGAGGTTTACAAAGCTCAAGATAAGGATCTATTCCGTAGTGAGCTTTTTGTGTCATATCTCCTTCAGAAAGTTCAATGCACAGGGATATCTCAACATAACATGCCTCTGACCAAACACTATGGCTAACCAAAGCCTGAGTTAATAATCGGTAATCACCTTCGTCATTTACAGCTCTTAAATGTGACGCAGCAGGCACAGAAAAATGAGTCTGGTGGTCTGGGTAATGTACTCGAAGCCTCAAGGTTAATGGATCCTTAAGACCAAATATTTCAGCATCAAGCTGAACTGCCATAACAAGACCTGCAGTAAATTTTAAAGGAGCATCAGGTGATGTTGTTGGGCCATTAAGAAATGCATGACACATTCTAACTTTAATATTAGGTTTTGGAGGTTGGATCATTATAACATTTGCTAACAATGGCTGTAAACATCTTGCAACAGCACCAGGTTTTGCATCTTCTAATGTACTCATTACATTTAGTACACCTTTACAGAACTCATTGGGAACAACACGATTTTCCATTAAAAATTTCTGTGTTTGTTCAACTTTATTCACAAAATGATCACATAATGCTAAAGCAGATAGATTTGTAGCTTTTACAATGTAGACCAAGTGAAGAGCAAGAGCTTTAAGTTGAAACTGTTTTACAGCAGCCAGCTCATCTTTTTCTAGTCCTACAAACAGATACTGCATTTTCAAACATAATGACAACAATTGGGTTAGATTATTTTTTATAGCATTTCCTTGAATTGTTGTTGCAGCATTAGAACACCATAATCTATCTTTCAAAATTTTTCCTAAAAGAACTTGGCAAGATATAAACATTGTAATAAATTGTGCAGGTCCTGCAATACTTGAATCTATCTTAGCTAAGGTATCAAGTTGGGGGAGAACACTTTGGATCATTCCAGGACGAGCAACAGAAAGACTTTCTACCAATCGCCATAATAATTGTGCTCCTGCATCAGTGCTTGCTGGTTCTAAAAAGTCTACTGACTCAGGGAGCGTGAGATGAGGCACAAGAGATGGTAAAGTAACTCTTAAATAGCTATAATGCTTAACAGTGTGTTCCTCAAATAATTGAAGCATTGTCGGGCAATTCTGAGCTGCATTAAAAACTAAAATTAACAGGGATATGTAGTGAGGATCTTCAACATCTGGTTCTGGTGTATCGAAAAATGGATGAATACCAAGTAGTTTTGGAACCAATGGCAATGTCAGGTCTGAGTGTTTTCTACCTATTTCTTTAACACATCTCCAAGTTGACTTCTTATCCTGTGGATATTTTTTCAAATTTTCTAATAAACTTTCAATACACATTAGGAGACAATCTTTGGTAGATAAAACACATGCAGCTAACATTCTATGAAGACCCTCTCTCACATCAATAGAAAAGTCTTCAAGTGCACCCAAAATTGTCTCTAACTGATGTTCTCGGAGAACTATATGATGAGACATTGAGGTTAAACTGTCAATGGCTTTAATTCTTACCTCTTCAATCTCGTCATTAAACATATCAACGAGAAAATCCAGGCTGAGAACAGCAAATTCAGGATGAGCAATTGCTAGAGCACATAAAGCATCAACAGAGGCACTTCGAACTTCCATAAATTCATCTTCTAGTCCCTGAACAAAGGCACCACAAGCTCCGTTGGAGAAAACTGAAACTTCATCTTTATGCAATAGTTCTTTTGGGGCATCATCAGCCCATTTTTTTCCTGTTGACCATTCTCCACTAGTTACAATTTCACTCGATCTTTCATGCAAAGATTTTTTTTTCCTCATATCAGACATTAATTTTTTATCTAATGTTTGTGTTAAGCAACCCATACTAACATCTAGCATTGTACCTAACAGTTTCATTGCAGTATGTCTAACACCCATACTCGAATCATTTACTGCCTGACATATTTTTGCAAAGGCATCATCGATTAATCTACTTTTCTTGTCAGATTTTGGCACTTTTACCTGATTTTCAGCATAAGTATTACCAAGATAGCAAACAATTTTCAATACTACATCTCTCACAATTTCATAATCATCATCTAAGGCAACACAAACATCAGCATACAATGAAACATCAAGTTTTTCTCCATTTTCATGAAGCATTACAAGAGTTTCCATAGCTGCGCATCTTACTCTAGCATCTTGACTATAAATAAAATCAGCAATCAGTCTTGTGTTATCACCAACATTTAAACTACCAATTAACTGAAGACATATCCGTTTTACATAGTGATTAGTATCTTTAAGAAATGTTTTAGCCATATTAAATATTTTTGTAATGGTCAAACTTGAAGGTGGAAGCAATTTAGAAAGGGTCAATACAGCCATAAGTCCTTGAGCTATAACTTTATGAGAGGATTCCTTCATTACAAGTTTCATAACGTAATCAGTAATCAGCTCAACATCAGCATCAGGCATTTGGCCAATTGTACAAAATAGAGCTAACACTTTTGCTCTAACAGCAGATTCATTCTGTTGGTTAAAATGGTCACATAATTTTTTAATTGTAGAAGCAAAATCTTCTGATTTTAACTGTAGAGAATCAGGAATTCGGAGTAAAACTTGAAGAGCCTCATTACTGGTTTTACAATTTTCCAAGAGGCCAACATAAACTGTATCAGAGGCTTGAGGAGTTTTCTTCAAAAGAGATAATTTCAGTCTTTTTCCAGGAGGCTCTATAACTTGGACTTGAGAGCCATATTCAGCTAAAGCTCTTTTTTTTAGGTGAGCAGCCATAATTCTTTTTTCTAAAAAATAATAATGCAATTTAATATATAAGTAAAAATAATATATAAATTATATAAAATTACATTACTAATATCTTATAATACAATATAAATTACAGAAAAAATACAACACACTGTGTTCGCTCAAAAGGCATAAACAAATGGGTCTTCTTCAGTTGGTCAGGACTTTACTAAGAGTATCAGTTGGTTCAACTTTTGTAAGAACTTTAAAGTTTTCAGAATAGTGGAGCAGTGATAATCTGAACTTTTGCCCATCTGTCACCTTGGAGTGACACTTATGAAATAGTACACTGTTCGATATTAAGCATTGTTAACAAACGCAAGTCTAGCTAACAATTGTATTTCAAGTAGCCATTGATATCATTCAACCTTATAAGGTCAATCCAGGGTTTCTCTAGACTTGAAGTTTAAGACTGTAAATGGGTATCAAAAAATAAACTCATCAAGAAAACAAAACATGTCTTTCTGATTTTGTTACGAGTGAGGAATGGTACAACTACTTTCAGTTAATACTTATTCGAATTTAATCCATAATTTAACAATCATTAATTACTAAATTATAAATTTAAAAATGATTTAAGGTTAGAAGTTAGTAGAACTAAGTTAAAGTGTTAAATGTTAAATTCCTTCAATTGGGAAGCCTAGAACATTTCACTTGCAGTTATATGTTATGTCACTTTCACTTCAATATGTCACCTTGTTGGAATATAAGGAAAATTAATTTGGAAAAACTAATATTAAAGAATTTAGTGCAGGAAAAATAACATATTCATTTTTTTTCTAACATTAACATTAGTCAGATATTTCAAATATAAATTCTTATACCAAGTATAATTGTGACTTACTTTATCACAACTATTCAGAAATAGAGTAAATGTCGTAATTAAATTTTGTTTTCTCCCAACAACGAGCACATCAGTGCACAGCAATTAACTAAAAGTAAAATAATGTGTTAATCTATATGTTGTAATCGAAAGGTTATGTATACAAACCAACGAGGCATGTTACTGTAGAGTCATGAAATGAGACAATTAAACAAAAGAAATTATAGCTTGAAATTACATTAGTCGAATATGAATGAATGTGTAATTAATAAATTATGTTTAGATAATCTATTAAAAGAACTAAATAAAATAATATTTGAGGTAGGAAATATAATAATGAATGGCACTGCGTATTTGTGTCGTTTTATAAGTTCAGTAATTTTTTCTCGAGATTTAACATTTAATGGATTACTATATATTCTGCATGGATATATTCTTATAATATATCTATACAGAAATATATTCTAGTCATTCAATTTATAATGGTATGGGAGACAACAAAAATGCTCAACAGTGGAAAGAATGAACGGTTTAGGTGAACAAAATTTCTATATTTTAGAAATGGGGTTTCATACATTGGAGGCTATATTTTAATTCAGAGGTTTTTGTGAAGTCTGAATGTACTAAAAACGGGAAGGTTGTTTTAAAATGTGAATATTAGAAATTCAGTTTAGTACAATTACAATTTTTTTAAACAAATGTTAAGGAAACTCAAACTATTGCCTAATACTTATAAAACTGAGTTTGATTTATTGATAATCGATTGAAAGTATTACAAATTCTTATATAGATCGTAATTAAGTCTGTAGTCTGCGTCATATAATAATTTATTATAAAATCATCCAAATTTTCACCAATTCAGAAATATTCAGGGATACATTATACATTTAAAACATTTCGGTAATGTTCAAGCGGTGTTAAGCTTTGGATACGTAGTCCAGTAACGGTACTTGTTGGTATTGGAATAGGTTGCAAAGCTGTACCTAAATGAACATTACCAAAATGTTTTAAATTTATATTATATCCCTGAAGATGTCTGAATTGGCGAAAATTTAGATTATTTTAAAATAAATGATTTTATGTCGAAGTCTCTTTCCCTTCATCATCATTAACAAATTCTTATGACAATACTTTATTTTTAAAATTTCAATAGATGAAGTTTCAGTTCGTTTACATATTTTTTTTTTTTTAAATGTACAAAATAAATTTCTCAATTTATTTGTCACATTTTTTCTGATCACAACTTTTCTGAAGAAAAACATTCTGTTTTGGTTTTAGGTGGTTTATAGTAGGATGCATTTATACTAAACAAAAAAAAAAATACACATTTGTTATTTTGTTGCTTTCTCCTCTCTAGTCCATAGATCTTTTTTCTATTGTGCCCAAGAAGTTTTTTTTTTCTTTCATACGTGTGGAATTGACGTCGCAGCTGCAGGCTGGCCACTTTAGAGCCTTTACTGAACTCATTAATTTAGTCGCAAACCACTTTTGCTATATATGATCGAGCGTTGTGCATAAAAGTGAAATCATCGCCGATATAAAGGACGGATGTCACTACATAATCTTCTAGGATGTCAGATATGTACTTTTACTAAGTAAGGCTCTCTCACAAGATCACATGTAAATCACTTTTCGTCGCTGAAGTGATCGCACTCCAAACCATTATTATTATTAGACCCACTTTCCTAAGACGATCTTTCGGAAACATGGCACTATGCAAAACGCTGTCATTTTCTTCTTCACACTCTAACCCGGCGATAATAATGAAAATTTAGATTGGTCTGAAAACATTACCCCAGTAGTTCTTGTTCGAAGTGTTTAACATAAAACCTAAGACAAGCTGCCCTACCCCATATGTTGGGATCAGGTGAACTCTGGATAGAAGGTGAAACCTCCACACTTTTCAGAAATTTGGCAAGGATTCTGCAGCCAAATTTCTAGTTTCCTTATATCTCTGGACTGCTCACCACTAGCGGACCCAGGATTTAATTTGGGGGGGGGGCTTCAGCCCGAAACGTTTTTTTTTCATAAAAATAACGATAATTACTTTGGAAAAACAGAAAGAAACTAACTACCTATATGAAATGGTGTTTAAGTTATTCCTTAAGTACTTTTAAATGTAATTACACGAACAATAATACTTTAAGAGGTATTTTTAAAAAAATTTTTCCCATAAAACATTTTTATATTTTTCCATTTTGGGGGGGGCTTCAGCCCGAAAGCCCTCCCCCCCCCCCCGTAGATCCGTCCGTGCTGCTCACTGCTTGGTAGTTTTAGGTAAACCTAATTTCCTTACCACATAACATTAACTTCTTTTATCTTCTACCAACCTAACAAATCTAGATAACAATTATTTTGAATCAAATTCTAGACAAGAATAACCATTGTCAGAAGTCAGAAGTATAATAAGCTCAAAACAAACATTAAATACATCATTTGTCAAAAATGAAAGCGTATGCTGTTTTTTTTTCCCCCCTATTTATTTTATATTTTTTTCATTTTTAAATCACTTCAAATGACTAATAATTTAAAAACAAGATTAAATCATGTTAAAATTTATAATTTTATTAAAGTAATTTTTTTGCTCTAACAGTCCTCCAATATGTTTCAGAAGAATAATATTTGGCCCTTAAGAGACATAAAGGTTTTTCCAAAAGCGGTTCTATGATTTTTTTTTTTTTAAATGAATTTATCCAAGGCTTCCCATGACATTGTTTCGGATGAGGCATTGCATTAAAAATAATAGAAAATATCTTTTTCTGGTAAAGGCTAATTATCAGGAAGAACAAGCAGACACTTTTTTATTAAGTTTATTTCCTATATTAAAAAAGCAATACTCAAATTAAAAGTGTACAGTTTACTATTTTTAATTATTTTGCAGTACAAAACTAAGCGATAAGTTGAAGCTGTGTTTATACGTTCCCTTTTGTTGCCACATTTCTAGAAACAAATTCCTTACATCAAACTTTATAATGGAAAATCATTAAAACCTAAAAGCATTGTATATTTTAAAAATAAGTGGTATTTCAATGACACAAGTTTGAGTATCAGTAGAAATTAGGCACCCCCTGATCTATCACAATTCGAACCTCATTGGTTTATTAATCTTAGTGTGTTATTATTGTTTTTAAATATATATTTGAATAAATTTTGATCCAAATTGAAATTTTAGTTGTAAATAAATTACTAAATATTTATTTGGAATTTTTAGTAGTATGTTTATTGGGATAAAATTTCAGTCATTTTTAATAAACCTTAATTCATGGATAAAAATTTAGTCAGTTTTTTATCCGAATAAATTTTCAATCAAATAATGTCCAATTCTGTCTACACCTAATGTGCATATTTAAATCTATATTTTATACACATATATATATATATATATATATTTTTTTTTTTTTCCATCTAGACTACATCCCGATTCCTAATTTAAGTAGAATGGGGTAGGGTCATCAATCCTACGCCCATACATATACATATATCATTTTTATATTTAGTTGATTTACAGTTTATAAAAAATTTAGTACTTCTTTGTCAGTAACAGACCACAAGGCAGGATCACTCATTTGAAATTTTTTAATTATTGTGGCTACTTCTGAAGGATAATTGACTACTCCTCTAATATTAGTAACATTTTCTGCATTTAAGATGTTTTCTTACAGAAAAATAAAACATAAAGCCATTTACCATTCTTCTCCAGAAAATTGTTCTTATGCCGAGCTAGTCACTTACAACTATTTGTTAGTTTATATACATAGAATTTTTGGTGAGACTGGTTATTAGAAACAGGGAATCTTAAAACACATATTTCTGTTGAAAACTCGGATTCAAAATTTTTAAGAATCGCAATACTTTCCCTTGCTATATACTCCAGATAGAGGTAAAAGACGGAAGAAAGTTGACCAAGCAGGCCAATGAGTGTGCAAAACACGAAAAAAAAAAGAAATGGGTAAGTAAAAGTAAAAGACTTTACTGGTTATGTTAATAATTTAATATTTAAAAATTAATTTAACTTTTGGACTGAGATTTGATTTTGCAACTGTAGTTCAATTTAACTAATAAGAATTCTTCCTATTTAGATTATAGTGTTGTCAATTTCAGTCATTAGACCTTCATAAATTGTGAGGCATCCTCTCTTTTTTGTCAATAGAGGACCATAAAAAATAATTTAATTAGATTAAACTATAAACAGTTTTTTTATTTCAAAATTTTCAATTATTAATTTATAAAATCTACATTTATATAATTCATTCATCCATAGACCATTATTTTTAAAGGGAAAATTGCCAACTAATAGATAAGGAATTAAGCTCATAATAAAACTTATTACAATCCTATGATTCTTGTTTATTTGAAAGTAAAAAATAATATCTCGCTTTGTCCTGAGTTAAAATAATTTTAAAAATAAGATATATTATGCATTAAATCTAATGATCCAATTCAGATATATTATTATGAAAAATAATATAAAACATTTATATTATATATAAATGACATATAACAAGTCAGAATAAAAAGGTGATTGTTTTTCAAATAACAGTTATGGTAAAACAGGACAGTAATGACAAGTTCATTACATTAAAATCGGACCGAGTAATAAGTTTAGTTTAATTAAAAATACATATACAGTGTTTGCAAAGCAATAATACACAAAGGCACGTGAATGAGAAAATGTATCAGGAAGGAGTAAGAATTAAAATGGAATTTATCGGATTTTAAAATGAATGGGGAGGGAAAAAAAAGGAATGCAAATAAATGCAATAAATAGTAGAAACAGCCTTTAACTTAAATACAACTATGACAAATTAGGAGAATGCTTGAATTTAAGAGGCCGCAGTGACATAAATTCATCAACTAAGTCTTCAGTAACCTTCTGTCGTCTCTGCTGATGTTCAGTAATAATTGGTGTAAGAACATCAATCAAAATCTTCTTCAATTCACCAGTAAGCATTTCACCAGACTCATAACTCTAAAAAATTAATAAAAGTTTACTATCATTTTTATATCAACAATACAAATGAGTTGGATTTATCATTAATTGGCCAACATGGAACAAAGTAAAGGTTATTAAAATAAAGAAGAATTAAACTAAAATACTTATAAACTGTATTACATATAAATATATGTCTATTTTTATTTTTGTATAACATATAATATAATGTATAACATATAATGAAGCAATATAAATAAGAAATAATTAACTGGCACAAGCAAACAATTCACATCATACATTTGAGAATAAATAAATATAAGCAAATACAATGATTTTGAGAGGAATTAATTTTCATTCAAAATAATAGACCAAAACATGTGCACTAACTATATTTAGGTGTATCTTTGCTAAAAATGGGATATCTTTTTCATTTTCCAGGGAAAATTAAAACCTTTCTAATTATGGGCATGATAACAATAAAAGGAAGTTAGTTAAGTGGTCTACAAATTAAGGACAATAGGATATTTAGTCAGTTTTTAAAGATTTGTACTCGCCGACATTTCAATACAAGCTTCTGGGTCATTATCAGGGTATGCTACCAGCACTATGTGTTCAGGTAATTAGTACTTCTTCAGTACTGGTAACATGCCCTTCATAATGGCCCACACACTTAGGTTGAAACATCGCAAATAAAAATTTTAAAAAACTGACTGCGTCCTTAATGTCTACCAACCCTAGAATAACTATAAATTGTATAATCTTTAACGGTGTAGAGATAGTTGAACGTGATTATAATATGAGAAGGAGTTGGTAACAAGAGTTTACCGCACCCTCGACCAACTCCTTCTCATATATAATCTTCATGTTAAGTCCAAATAGTTTCTTTTTCTTTGTAACTTTTTTTTCTGAAATTTTATTCTGAACTGGTTTCCAAAGAATCCAGGTATATATTTAATTATTTTTTTTGAATTATAAAGATGCTTAAATTGTCTAATAGAACTCTGCTGACAAATATAAACTGAAAAAAAAAATATATATATATTATCCGAGGTGAATCCGGCCTCGGAACTATACTCATTCCTTTTTCAATAGATTTTTAGTTTCCCATAGACTATCATAAATAGCAATATTTTAATTATTAAAGACCTTAACAAAATGTGATAAGTAACCATGGCTGCCATGGCATCTAGGACACTTTTGAAATAAATAACGGTTCATTTTGAAAACAGTATATTTTTAGGCTTTAAAAAATAGGGCTCAGTATGTTTTGAAATAACCTAACCTTGCCTTGGTGCCTGTCAGTAGGAGTTTTAAAACCTCCTACTTATTAATGTTGTAGGAATTTAGGGAACGAAACCGCAATTTATCAGTTCTCCATGAAATTCCCTTTAATTTGATACCCCATTCATCAAAATCCATCATTTCCGAGAGCCGTTAAAGGGATATATACTACCATATTATTTATAATCTAGATCCAAACTTTTTGGTCTATGGGCCACATTGAGATCTCCACTAAGTCCCCCGGGACCCATGGTGATAAATAAATGACCCTTCTGCTGTGAAATGAGCTTTTTAAGAGAAACAACAATTCATGCAATAAATGGTGTAGAAACCTCCTGCTTGAGTGTTGTACTTCATTTCATAATTTTAAAATAGTTTTAAATTTTACCATGTAATCAAAGAAACTTTTGCGGGCCAGCCCACAGGACGTACTTTGGGGACTCCTGGTAGTGTTAAAAAAAAAATTCTAATTTGAAAAAGAAGCATACAGTATTCTATATTTTTTCAAAATCTGAATTCTTTGACAGTAAAGAAAAATAATGATCATAAGCATACATTTAGTTAGGACCAATATTTCCACTTAACTATATAAACAAATAAATGAAAAAGACCTTTTTGATTTCTTCAAGTCTATCTTCATCTTCCATGAAAAACCTCAAGTACTGATAGGATGTGTCTACTTTAGTGTTACCTCCAAGTTTTCTGTGCTCTTCAATGGAAGCCTGCCCTCCAGAAAATGCATACTTATTTACCTGAAGTAAAAAAATATATATATAAGATTCCTCTACTTATTGTAACAGTACTTTCCCAAAATAGTACTGAGCCAAAGACCCTTCATGGGTTGTAGCGGTACAGGTTCTTCTACATATTAGGGAGCTACCAAGTTGAGACAAAAATAAACATAGCATTAATTTTGATTTGCACTATTAGTTAATATAATTTCAAAACAAAACTTTAGACAATTTAAAGCATGCTATGCCTAACCAAAATCATTTCCTAATGTTTTTATTGTAACAAAATTTTTAGTTTTGTGTAAAGTAATAACAGGAAAGGGTAATACAAAAAATTCTTTAAAAATAATCCTTGTGGCATTGTAAATAACTGAAGGTAAGCAATTTACTAAGGATTCCTAAGATAAGAAAAACAAATCCACCAATAAAAAACCTTTTTATTTTCAAGACTATATATATATATATATATATATATATATATATATATATATATATATATATATATATATATATATAAATGATCCGTTTTTTGTTTCTACAACCTTTTGAAAACGTATGTGTAAATCTTTTGGATTTACTAAAGATTTAAATTCGTTACAAAGTTCATTCGGTTCTAATGATATTTTAGGTTTAATAATTGCCTTATGGGCTGTTCGATTTTGTGCTTTCATTACAACCCTTTGGGCAACTGCTGAGTAACTAATTCTGTTATTTAAAGAGAGGTTGTCTTTTTTAACAACCTCCCCGATCTCCAAACTAAATGACTGGTCACAAAGATTACCTTCATATTTTTCCATCACTTCAATAGCTTTTCCTACATTCGGTCGCAGGTCTTTTCTCAAGAGATTGTAATCCAAAACCTCTTTTAAAGTCTTGATAGCGTAATTTAAATCCAGTACTTCACCGGCCATTTTGCTGGAGACCTGCTTGTGATTGTGATGTGACTGAGACAGAGGAGGAGGCTGACAGGAAATTTCTTGCAGATTTTAGCGATAGCGGCTGCAAACTTCCAGCGAAATGCCTCTTCATGTATTCCTTCACAGCTGCTCTTACACTCTTCAGAACACCACCGAAATTTGTAAAAGCATTCCTAAATAGGAATTACAGGAGTATACCAAAAATCACTTTTATAGGGAGTGTATAACTTAATAGGATTAAAAATGAACACAGACCCGAACTGACGCTCAATACTGCCAAAGTCAGACTCATATATATGTATATATATATATATATATAAATACATGAACCAAGTAGTGCATAATTAGAAAATATAATTGAGTGAAATGGTTTATATTCAGAGTGAATATAAGAGACAAGAATTGAGTAAAAAGCAGTATAAAGAACTTAGAGCCAGGGCAGCAGATACATCATAGTGGACAGTAGCTCAGTTGTCGTTGAACAAAAATGGAAGCTTACAAAGACAAAGATGTAGATATGAGTTAAAAAATAAGTCTGTAGGAGAACAGCACCTACTGGACCTAAATCTAAAAACATCCACTAAATATAAGATGTATTCCTACTCAAACAAAGAGGCTTAGGTACCTGTCTACTGCCGACCAACAAGCAGGGATGTGCTACTTGAGATTAAACAGTTATGAAGATCCCTGAATCAATTAGTTTATCAGTGCTAAATAGTAATTACACAGTTGATATAACAGACCAGTGTCAGTGAGCATTTTATATTTGTAAATTTATTAAAATCAAAAATCCCATTTCATGTTGCTGTATCAACACAACAAACCAAAATTACCTCTAATATTTTTATTTCTGCAGAAATAATATAAAAGAAATTCAGATTTGATAAGAGCTCAATAATAAATTACATTTTATACAATAATATTACAAGAAAAAGAATTCTAAAGTGCTAACATTTGTAAATTTAAAGATAAGATCACTTATTTAATCCTAGTAAAGGGGAAAGTTTAGCGTTAGACAAAAATATAAAAAATTGTATTTAGTTTTAATTTATCAATCAATTTAATGTCTTTTAAATCTTATGCTTTATGTTTTATCTTATATTAACCAAATTATAGTGTAGAATTTGTGTTAACAATTTCTTTTATTTTAAATATTAAATAATTTTGGAAATGTGTATTTATTTGTTACAATTTGTATTTCCTGGTAATATTTGTATTGAAATCCTTATTTAATGAACATATGTTTAATAAGGTAAAGAGAAAGTTTAATAAAAAACCATAATTACAGAAATTAATTAATTTATTTGATTATATATCCTTGGCCAGTGATCAATTAAGAATGACATATAGTGGCAATTTAGTGCCCACCACAAAAAAAAAAAAGATGGAGTCCAGCTATAAAGCATGATGGCATTCAAGGGATCTTAAAACTCTGAATTGTAAAATTTAAGGAATTTTTCGTCAATTTATAGGATTAAATTTAATTAAAATCGAAACATGAAATGTTATATTTGGTCAGCTTCCAATAATGAATTTAAATAATTAAAGGTTGTATCTCTAATTACTAAATTGAAATAACAAATGTCTTCGTGTCCAACTAGAGGTACTTTTTATTTATTTAGTAGGGTTGGGTTTGGAAAAAGAGTCCATGGATGAAGTCATAATTATAAGTATGAAGTCAGTACCGAGATTTCAGGACCTCTAATGAAACATAGCTACCTAACTTATTAAATTAAGGAAGCAAATATCATCAAAAACTAAAACAACTAGAAAATACACAATCATGAAAACTCATTTTTTTTATCAAGTTTGGATCGATTTAAAAAATAAAAATAAAAGCAGAATACTCCATAAAAATCTGGCAAAGGAATGCAAAACCACAGAAATAAGTAAACCATTGATCAAATTCAAACAAGTAATTGAATAAAATAAATCTTATCTCAATGCAGAACAGATCATTCTGGAATAGCAATGGCGCTTTAGAAGCTGCAACATAACCATGGTAAAGCCAAAATTGGGCCATTATTTCTCTTAATTGTTTTCACCTTTATTAAAAAAAATACAGTAGAGTATGGGCTCTTGTTGACAGTTTTATATTGTTTATGCGTAAAGAGAACAACTAAATTAATTCTCTTCTCAATTTGTACACACTTGTTCCAAAATATTAATTTATGAAAATATTAATTTTTCATTTATTAGATTAAAAACTTAAAATTCACAATAACTAGCTGTTTTTTGAGCATAATTCATGATTTTTAAGGTAATTTACACACCCTGAAATAGTGCAAAATATTAGTTATATATACCTTAGTTTTTATCTGCTTTGGTGTGTCTGTCAAGAATATGGCAGTATTCGAATCTGAACCAGACATTTTTGTATGAGCACCTTGAAGAGCAGGAATGAACGTTGAGTGCAAAAGAGCAGGTTTTGGGTAACCAAGTCTGGGAGCCACATCACGTGTCATACGGAAATATGGATCCTAAAAAATAAATAAACAATATATATTTCTTATTCTGAATAATTCACATTTTTCATCTTTTTGTTGTTTTTTTTTGCTTCGAAAAATGTAAACTAATGCCTAATTCTTGCTATTAAGTTCAAAAAGGACATCAGAGACTATATCTTAAACAGTGGCTCTCTTTTTGTCACAACAACCATAGTATATGCTTCCGGGACTCAGTTGGAATACACCTAATCTATAATATAGCACAACCTTATTCCATTTATACAACAGCTCAAAACAATTTGACTTATAAAGAATGTACCAGATTCATTCTCATTAGGTTCTATTTAAATAATACCTGATCTTAAAACTTACCTGATCAATTGCACATGGAATCAAGCATGGTACTCTAGTATCTCCAAAGATAAAAGGAAAAGTAGTTGAAAATGATGGTGCAGCTTGGAACGCTGGAAAACTTATTTTTCCAATAACATCACTGTCTCCAAATCCAAATATTCCTTTAACTTGATTAAAAGTAACACATTTTTCAATTCTTACCACGTTTTGGTAAAAGTTGGGACATCGCCTAAAAATTGATCTTTGGTTAGATGAAATAATCACTAAAAATTAAAATGCATAACTCATATTTTTTGGGTATCTATAATTTGTCCTAAAGGGACAACAGACCCAGGATAGTAAAAAAATATTTTCATTTCATACTTAGAATATTTCTGATATATTATACTAATCTATAAAAGTGTTCGAGAAAATATTCAGCAAATTTTCAGTCTTTTTTTTCTTACTTTTTTGGCAAGCAAGAGCATTGATTAAACATCATGTTAACCAGGATTTTATTTTGAAACAGTGGTTCTCAAAGTTTGTACCACAAGTATATCATAATAGATTGGGAAAATTTTTAAATTGGTAAATTATAATCTTAAACTGAATTAAATGAATAAATAAAACAAATGTTAAAAATTAATAGTTTTTCATTATATTTGTCCTAAAATAATGGAATATTGCACTGTATTTAAAGTCTTTGGAAGAGAATGTTTATTTATTTTACATCTGACTCAGAACATCTAGAACAAGTAATTTGGGAATGTCTACTTTTGCCTCCATCCTGACATTTTGATAAATTAAATTTAAAAATATAATATGAGAAAGAAATTCAGCTTTTCAATTAATTTTAATTAAGGATTAAAGTGGCAGCAACCCCTGCCTATGCTTGATGCAACCCATGTCATCCAGTTTGAGAAATCCTGAAATATGTAGTTAGTAAATTACCCACCATTTTGGGAGGAAAATTGGTACTCAATCATACACAAAGTTTACATTACATTAGGTCAGATCCAGTCACATTCCTAGTTCACTTGTTAATATCAATAAACAGCTTAACCAAAATATCTAAATGATTATCACAGATTCATCAAACGTTTCTCTGTTCCTTATGAAATAAATGAAGCATGCATATATAAATTTTATTATTATAAGTATTTCATTATTATACTGTGATTCAAAAAAGTATTGGCACACTCCCATTTTTCTGCAAATCTCAATAGGATTAAGATATTTTCAAGAAAAAATATTTATTTAACAAAGTGGCCTTTGGCAATTATATTTTAGAAGGAATGAACGCTCGGAATTCAAAAGTTATGTTTAAAGTAAACATAAAGAGTGAATTTTGAGGGCAAGAAAGTATTGGCACAGTTTCTAATATTTACTATTAGCAACAGTCAAAACAAATTTATACTTTTTCTTTTAAGAATTTTGAAATGAGGATTGACAGTAGTACAATGAAAATAACAAAAATCAGTCTTTGTTGTATATTTTTCATAACAAAGAGGTTAAAACCAGTGAATATTGTGTCAGCTTAAAAAAACACATCGTTAAATTACATTCTAATGGAGTTAGTTACCGACAAATAGCGAATAAATTAGAAATTGTTTTTAGTAGTGTTCAAAATATCGTACAAAAGTTTAGAAAGTTTTAAACATAACCCGTTCAGAGCGGCCATCAAAATTTAATAAGAGGGCACAAAGGAATAACCATCGAATTGTTGAGCAAAATGACACTATATCAACCACCGAGATCGCATTTACTTCAATTACCACCTTCTGTTAGAAATATAATTCATAAATATTATTATTATGACAGATTCCAAAGAAAAACTTTTTATTACAGAGGTGAACGGCAATAAAGGACTTGAGTTTGCCAAAAGTTAATTTAATGAAGAACTAGATCTCTAGAAAAATGTTATCTTTTCAGATGAAAGTAAGTTTAACATATTCCATTCTAATGGCCACAAGTTCGTTTGACAGAAATTTGACACTGAATTTCAAACTTGACTTGTGAGGCCTCCTGTAAAAGATCAAGGTGGAAGTGTCCCGGGTTGGGAGGGGGTGTCGTAGAATGGCGTTGGAAACTTAACCTTTATTGACAATATTATAAATGGCGAACAACATGTCGAAATTTTGTGATGTAACAAATAGAACCGAAAATCTGAGTATCAATGATGCATTTATCTCCAACAGGACAATGACACCAAGCACATACCAAATAAAACAAAAGAATGGATGCTCTATAATGTCCCCAGCCAATAGAAAATGCCACCACAGTCTTCGGCCATGAATGCCATAGAACACCTACGGTACAAGTTGGATTTGAATTTGTTGGATTTTATTTTTGAAAAATTAAATTTCTTTAAAAATTATTTAAAAGGAACTTTTTCAGAGGAATGGTGTAAAATTGGACAAGACATAACTCAAAATTTTGTTTTTTCTATACCAAGATTCCAGAATGCCAAAATATTAATAAATATCCAGTTCGTGAAATAAACCTCAAATTGTGTTCCAATACTTTTTTGACAGAGTTGAAGTGATTTTTTGTTTACTAAATTGTTAAACAATGAAACCTGAAAAAAATTAAGTGTGCCATTACTTTATTGATCCACTGTACATATCAGAAAGGTGGGAATATAACCAAACTGGATCTAAATAACGAATAAGCCAAGGTAGCTCTGTAGGATGCTAACAGAATTGTCAAATTCAGATATTTCGGCATTCATTGCAAATCCGAAAATATTATACTATGGGTGATCTTGAAACTGATTGACATCTTGGAGTAGAAAAACAGAACTAGATTAATTAAATTAAGGGAAAAACACAAATTCTTACCCCATATATGTTAAATTGCTGAAAATAAATGTCTTATTAACATCAAAACCACAGGCAATGATATCTTTGGTGTTTTCTCTTGCTAACTTTAGGACTTCTTCTACAGTAAGATCTTTCCACAGAAACTTTTCATCATCAGTTAGCTGAATAACTAAAGGAACATCAAAAACATCTTGAAGCCACCTTTGAATGAAAAGGATGCGGATTGATGTAATAATGAATACAAATAATATTGAAAAGTTTGATTTTAAAACTACATTACTTTGTAAAGATGAAGGGAACTAAATGTCCTACATGCATTGAATCTGAAGAAGGTCCTCTCCCAGTATATATGTAAAAAGACTTTCCTTGCTCTACAATATTCAAAATGCTGTGGACATCTCTGTGTGAGAAAAATATTCCTCTTTTTAAAAGATGGTGCATTGGTTTTCCAGTAACTTTTTCAAAACGATCCAAAAGTTCCTGATCAACTTTAGAACTGCCAAACCTCTCTGAAAATTCCAACCATATCTTCAGTTTTTAAAACAATATGCTAACCATGAGAGGTATTGATACCATAAGGCTTACTAATCAGCTTGTCATAATCAACTCCTTCTTGGGATGTACTCGTGACATTCCAGGGGTCAACGATGTCTTCCTCTCCATTACTTATCTTTAGATCGGAAACCTCTTTCACAACTTCAGGTTCCATGGAAATAAATTTGTCAAATTATCACAGCCAGTTACAAAGGTTCAACTGTATAACCCTGTTTTGAACTAGAAGGTTATTGATCCAGATAACCATGCATAGAGCTAAAACTATAAAAAAAGAAAGGTAATTAAACTAATTGGTTAAGCATCATAAATTGGAAAAAATAATTCTCTGAATGCGAAATAAATTGAAGAGATTAAAATAGAAAAATAATTAACGCAAAATATTCAAATCAATTAACATTCACAAACTGCTAAAGACAAAAAATTAATTTAATGATCTATCCTCAAATGACAGAACAGGTATAGTAACTGAAATATAGACACTTTTTTTTAAGAATGTGGGTAACTTATTACCAGGTAGTGGTTTGACGCGAATTTTTATCTCGCTCTATAAGAGTCCTAAAAGTACTTTCGATAACTTTACGAGTAAAAAAAAAAAACTTAATCCCTGACATTCTAAGCTTTAAATATAGAATTAATAGTCTGGAAATATTTAAAAGTAATTCTTATTTAAGGAGAAGTTAGTCGGAAAGTCACCAACAGGCCATATTCACTGTAAATTTAGATATCTATTTATTGGAATTTCTTCTGACTTATCATTGGTCCTTCATATCACAGTTAATTTTCTTTCATGATGATATGATTCCTTTCTTTTTAGTACACTTACCTCTTTAGTGAATGGAGAATAGATTTCGATACCCCAAAAAAATTCATACAGGAAAGTTAAATATGGTGGCCTAACAATTTAGGAATTTTAAAAAATTCCAGATGTTCATTTGTTTTGTGAGAAAAATTCTTGGTACAGAGGATGATGCCCTTTACATTCGAGAATGCATTAGTGACAATAATATCTTCTTTGATATAGTGATATCTAGACTCAGTGCAAAACAATTTTTTTTTTCTGAAGGGACTGATGGAATTTAAAGTTATTAGTCTGAAATATGATACACTTATTGTCACCGGTGAAAGCCTATTCTTTAGAGTGCACCATGTGGCAAAAAAAATCCACTTTTTGCAAGACGAATTTCGCCAATTTTTTTTCGAGTCACTGGTAGTCAGGCAATTGTAAAGTATAAGGAGGAAGCATACAAAAAAAGCACCCTTTTTCCTTTTTGTTGGGTGAGATCGATCCCTACAACTGAAAGATAGATTATCCTAGATTAAACTCGACTAGTATGTAGGAAAATAGAGAGGATGCCATTTTGTTTTTTGTTCCAATATACTAACGGATTTATATTTTATTAATTATGGATTATAATTAAATTTCATCAATAATGTATACGTAATAAGCAATATTTGAATTAAAATAAATAGTAAATAATTTTAAAACCCGGAAAGTACCATGGGCTTTTGCATCCTCATCCCTCCCTTACCTCTACAGATGGGAATTTTTTGTATGTTTAACCGAACGCCCAATGAATAATTACAAAAATCCAGAATTATATCTAATAGGGTGCTTTTCACCTCCACTGCCTGAGTACATATATAAATAGTCAAAGAAGAAAATGGTCCCTGCTGACATATCAGTACTGAAAAAGTAAAAGAGTATATACGAGATCACATTTTTACTCTATGCACTTTACGCAGAAATTCCATTAAATTATTATTTTTGTATGTTGTACTAGCTCATCGTTGTCTTTATTTTTTTAATAATTAAACCATAGTTTTACCATAAAATGATAATTACATACGAAGGTTTACTTCATATGTATCTATATTTTATATATCATATTATGTGTAACATACAAATATCAATAATATAATTTAAGATTTCATTATAATTCAAACCCGATAACTAAATATTTTCAGCATTATTATTAGTAATTGGATAAAAAAAAGGAAATATTCTGGTGGCTTCGATCCAGGTTACTCATCCTCCCCTCCCCTCTTGCTCTTACCCCTACGAACACGTTTAAGTCTTCACGTTTGTAAGTGAGTTCGATTTTAAGAAATTAACAGACATAATGGCCAATACTGAGAGAACTTTTATCATGGTTAAGCCCGATGGAGTTCAGAGGGGCTTAATCAGCAAAATAATCAAACGATTCGAATCCAAAGGCTTTAAATTGGTGGCTATGAAATTTATGTGGGTATGTAGCTGGTTGTTCATACACTTTTATCCGTAACCACCAATGTTTGTGCTTACTTATTCATTTCTAAGATTTATTTCACTTAACCATGTATATTCATGTTTTTTTTATTTACAGGCTTCTGAGGACTTGTTGGAAAAACACTATCAAGACTTAGCCAAACTGCCCTTTTATCCCAAGCTTATTAAATACATGAATTCTGGACCAGTTGTTCCTATGGTAAGAATTTTATAGTATGTTACATGCTCTTGTACATTATTGTTACCCTTACATCTACTCATTATTGATGTGATACCCAGCACAAACCATATTTCTCTACACTGGGTTTTGCCTTATTCCCAAAATATCATCTTTTCTAGTTTTACAAAAACCTCAAGGCTGCTATAAAAGAATTTTGTTCATTTGCTTGGTACATAGTTTTAGTGACTTATGGGTTTTGTGAATATAATTCTTTGGAGTTACATAACATAATGAATGTAATTTACTTAAATGTTAGATTTTCAGTTTATCTTCTAATATTGCTTTTGTTTCTAACTGATTGTTTTCTATTATGAACTAACAGCTAAAATCCTTAGTTATTATAAGTTTTCAATATTTTCTGCATTTATAGGATCCCTTTGGGTCAACATAATCAATAGAGACTGATTTCCTGTGAATGTTAAATTTTTTTATCAATTTTTTCATTATAGTTTATTATATGGATTGTTTATTGAAAAGAAAGTGTATTGAACTAATTCTTTTTAAGCAATTGCTTATATTACCTTTATCTATTTTCAGTCATATAATTTTCTAGTTTGTAATTAGAAAAAGTTCAGAAATAAAGTAACTGTTATAATTATCTTGTAATATATATATTACTGAAGAATGTGGTCAATCAATACCCCATGATATGAAGGCATAAGATTAAGATGGTCAGGGCATGTAGCTTGTAGCAATCCATCTGGAAGCCTCTACATAACAATGAATTCCCCAATAGAAGGAAAAAGACTACTTGGAAGGCCAAAAAGCAGATGGATAAATAGAATCAACAAAGATGCAACTGAGCTGTGTGCAGATAAATGGAAAGAAACAGCCCAAGAGAGGCAAAGATGGAACAGGCTTGTTAAGGTGGCAATAGATCTACATGGTCTGTAATGCCATTAGAAAAGTAGAGATATATATTAATAAAAATACACTATTTCTTGTATGAGATGAATAGTCTTGTTATCATTGGTAGTTTTTTTAGAATTTATTCATTTTTACTATCCAGAATTTATTTACAATATCAAGAATTACTTAGATTGTTGTAAAATCTTTCTTTCTTTAATTGCTGCTACCACTGTTGAGATTCTAGATGATTAAGTTATGAGCTTATTATTAAGCTTTATTGGGATTAAGCTAAGGGTTTTAAACATTTATGTGCTAACTATAATAATCGTGAAAGTACTATATCAAACCTGTTCACCATATCTAGAAGAGACAACTATGTCTGAAACAACAAAAATCAAGATTTAACAGATAGCTATCTCAGTGATTGTTTTGTTTTTAAATAAGCTGTTTCAGCTTATCTATGTATCAAAATTGATTGATTATACAGTACAAACCATGGTGAATCTTATTAAGACAAAAGCAAATTCTGAACAAGACTATAAATTAAAATAGTGTATTGTACTGATAAAATTCAGAATATTTTTAGTCATTTATTAGGTTTCTAATGTTTAGGACAGTCAAAGTTACTAAGTATTGTCCTTCCTTTTTTTTTTTTTTTTTTTTTCTGAAGCCTAGATTATTGCTTAAACTTTTTCTTTTGTCAATAAATTTTTATTCTAGTTTGCTGAGTTAATCAAACCCTATGTCAACATTATTTTTGTACATTTATTCTTCAAATCGAACCTTTAGTTTACTCAAAGTTTTTCACTCCTGCTGATATTAATGAACTGTATGTTTTTCCATTAAGGAATGCTATATTTCTTTCCAAATTAGAATACTTAAATAGTTTGATGCCAATCATTTGCAGTAAAATTCTGTTATGTCTTCCGTACTTTTGGTTCATATAATTGAATAGTTTCCATTATATTTTTGTTTTAGGTTTGGGAAGGTCTTAATGTAGTCAAAACTGGTCGCCAAATTCTTGGTGCTACTAATCCTCAGGATTCAGAAAGGGGATCTATTCGTGGAGACTTGTGCATTCAAGTTGGAAGGTATGGCTATTCTGTTTAGTGTATTTGACTAAGCATTACTATACTAAATTTTCTTTTTATCAATTCTATAATTATTTATCTCATTTTTAGGAATATTGCTCACGGATCAGACTCAGTAGATTCAGCTAAGAGAGAAATCGACCTCTGGTTCACACCTAAGGAACAGATTGATTGGACTCCAGCATTCCAGAATTGGGTCTATGAAGACTAAATAGTTTTTTAACTTTAATAAAATATTTATTTGTATGTTCACATTATATGTGGAGTGCAATTCTCATACTCAATAAAACCTCAATTTTATACTTGTTGTTTTATCACCTTTTTTTCATGATAGAAAAATATTTTATTACTACAAACTCATAACATAAAAAATTTACATCTTTAGGCCACTACTTTTTTCTCTCTCTTTGGATATTAATGCCTGAAACTCCTGTTAAGAAATTTCTTTACTATGATTAAAGATTTTTTTTTTTTATAAATTATTAATTTATTCATATCTACTATAAATTAAATTGATTCCAAAAGTACCTTTGTACAATAAATTTTTATATATTACAGATTAAATTTATTGGTAAATGTAAACAGAAAAATGTTATAGTGCATCTATAAATAATTTCTATAAAGTATAATCAAGTAAAATGGCCAAGATGTTTTCCAAAAGTACCCTTGTATAATATGTTTTTATGTATTAAAGATGAAGTTAATTCAGATTATTGGGAAAAGGAGAAACAATACTGTTATAATGCATCTATAAATAAATAACAAAATGATAATGGAGTAAATTGGCCAAGCTTATCAGCTTTATTATCTTGTTTTCAAATATTTACAATAAGGGTTACATTTTCGTTTTATCTGAGGTTTTTTATTTCTTATTCCTGATAATAAAACTCAATACATTATTTCATTCTACTAATTAGTAGAAATAAAACGTTTCGATAAATTCCTATGATTATTTATAAAAGGCATCATTTATATTTCAAGTAATTGATTAAATTTCTGGTACTTTGAATTTTGTTATTGGCTACCAGTACTGGTCAGAGATGAGAATTGGAAAATGCTACTCTGAATATGGAGTTTCAATTATTTTAGCCAAATACTGACCTTTTCTAGCTAAGAATTTAATTACAACTTCAGTTGATGTCAAAGGATTAACTGAAGTTGTATTTGAATTCCTAATAGGGATCCAATTTGAGTAAAATACTTAGTACTGTTAAAGATAAGATACAGTATATCTAAGATAACCATTATTGCAAACTTATGTATATTATTGGGGTGGGGATCATGTTATAGGCTCAAGAAGGCTTGCTATCACCAGTTTTTGCTTTCCTACCTATTTTAGGTAAGGAAGGTATTGGGATTGGGTCAAATTTCTGATATGCGTTTTTCGGCGGATCTTTATGTTTCAGAGCCCCATCAGTCTGAAAAACACATTTTGAGCCGTTGGTCTCTGTCTGTGCCAAGATTTTGTCAGGAACTAGTGAACTCATTTTGTTTCTTCTTTTTTTTTATTTTTGACTACTGATGTCTGTGACACAAATTGGGTTCTCCAGGCGCAATAAATGAAAAACATGTTTTTCTATAGACTGTAGCGCGAAAACGGCTATAAAGATTTTGATGAAACTTCCCTGTATTGTTCTAATAATTGTCCTTTCAATTTTCGTACTAGGATTAAATTCAGGAGAAAAAAATTATAAAGAAAAGAAAAATGTTTTCGGGTCTAACTCGCTAAGTATATATATATATATATTATATTTTTTTTAAAGGTAATGAAATTTCCAACAAAACTATAAAAATCGTTCGTTTCGGACAACTATTAACGAAGTTACATCTATTCAATTTCCAATGTAAGATTAGGGGTTCATATCCTGGTGTCAGAAAGGAGTGAATGAGAGAAAAAAGATAACTAAGTGGAAGTAAGAAAATCTATTGCCCGTATCACACAAGCTTCACTATTTCCTCTACTTTTAACAGAAATTATTGTTTGACAAAATTAGGCTATGGCAAACAATTTTTTGATCAGCAATATTAGAGGCTATTGAAATTTTTACAGAAATAAGTAGAAAAGTTTTGTGAGTGGACACACCATTTTTTTTTTTATCTTCACCTTCAAGGCTATACGGGGTTTTCCCGGGCCAGGGGATGCGGGCGGGGATTTAAAAGACCCCGGCACTATTTTTTATCAGTTATCTCACATTGCGACTCAAGTTGCAAATTTACAAGGCCATTATCTGACCTATACTGCTCCATGGCGCTCCCCTTCTCCGCCACCTTTACAAAACTATACTCCAAAGTCTGCAGGACTTCCAGAACTCTTTGCAGGACTTCAATGAATAGCCCGTGGCACCATCCTACAAAGGTCTAAGAATAGAAAAATCCGAGAGGTGCTTCATGTCACCTCGGTGTCTGAGTTTCTGAGTCTCCGATGCCACAGGCCGGAAGCACTATAATTTTGTTTATGTCTAGGCCTGTGCTAACCCATCATTTCAGGATATCATCTCCCCACAGTTTTCGAGACAAATAGTAATTCTTAACAAAAGCCATATACTTAGATACCGCTGTAGCTATCGGATACTTTGGTTTAGGTCTTTTAAAATTAAAAGATTGGTTTTCATTATGGTCTAATGAACAGATAAATGATGAATAATTCTGAAGAACCGCTATGATGTCTTAGTGTTGACTCGGTTGCCTTAAGTCAGATAATTATCTTACTCTTTATTTTGCTTGAGCGTACTTTCGAGTGTGTTTTTATCTTCCTTAGGCAAACCGTAAGCATCAACTATCCCCAATATACCAAATACATGCAGTATCACTCATACATGTGGAATGTGCGGGTTTGCCTTGGTATTTCCTACTTTAAATTGAATTGGGATTGTTCTTAAACATTATCGAACACCATTCTCCAAATAATGCTGCTATTGCCAGCAACTATAACGGCACCATCATTCGATGACCCAATTTCTTTTGTGCCCATTCTTAACCACTGAGAAAACTAGCCTTTCACCATCATCAAAGACTGTACTTGTGTTAATCATTTTTATCAAAGTCCCTTCTAAATAGAATAGGCACAGGTCGCCCGGACTATCATGTCCAAAATAAAACTTGCACCAAGATCTATTTCCGCTGGAGAAGGTAGATTGAAAATATCTGTATGACTCTTCCCCATAGATTTCATGGTCTGAGATAGCTTTAATACATGGCGGCCCTCCGCTGGTTACACAACTGTACTTCAATGTTTTTCAATCGCCTTTTTCGTGAAACAATTGTCTCCCACAAACCTCTTTTAGGTCTTCTAAAAAATAATTTATTAATAAATTAAATGTTCAAGTAATCAAAATAATCTGATAATATTAATTTTTAGATTCAGTAATGATAACATTCATACGACCTTCATGCTATTCGCACCCTTTATATGTACATAGAAACATTACAAAACATATTTTGTTCTATTAGTAGAACTCTTGTCTATTTTTACGATTTTTGAAGAACAGAATTAAGCTTTCAATTTGGTTACAGGTTTGTTCCTTTATATGCTAAACGTAAAACAAATGTAATTTTCTATTCTGAGGACTTTTTTTCCACTTATTGGATAAAAATACCAAGTTTCTCTACCCTCAGTATGAGGAAGTGATATTGGGAAGAAAAGCTGTAACATTTATAAAACCTTAAGAGGTAATATACGAGTACAAATTCATTACATCGCAGGTTTAAAATAAAAGAACTTCGATGTCCAGATTCGTCCAGAAAAATAAATTCCTACAACCAGGCATCTGAGGTTTGATGAGGAATGCCAGGTGGATATGCAAAGAATGATGCATATTGTCAGATGATTCAAAGAAGGCACACCCAGAGCTCTGTTGAGGAATACAGATTCGAAAGACGCCAGGAGAAATGCCTACATCGGAGAAAGGAATGGAAATGAGAGACGGATCTGCTGGTAAATTTGGAAGATCTAAGAAGAAACAATGAGGTACGCAGGTTCTACCGGGAAGTGGATGCCAGTAGAAGACCCTTAAAACCTTACTTAATTGTATACAAAAACACAGATGGCACTCTCCAGAATGTAAAGTATAGTATTATAGACCGGTGGCGGAGTCACTTTGTGAGCACGCTGAACGATGGAGTTGAGAATCAATCTCCATAGAAAGTGTCAATATCAGCCAAGGACCTAGAGTCACCAGACTTTGAGGAAGTTCAGGAAGCCATAGAATACTTAAAAAACAACAAGTCACCGGAAGAATCAATTAAACACCATCTCATTAAATAATCCTTATAAACACCAGGCTACTCTGGAAGGGTAAGGTAACCAGTGTTACAAGCACCACAGTTATGCAATTAAAGATATTTAACGCCACAATTTTAACAGAAAAGGACTAGCAGGGAGTTTCCCGAAGTCGGTAATGGCGGTCTAAATAAAGGGAGATTGCACTGTGAACAAGTTGTCAATTCTCTGCTATTCTGAGAATCATATTTATAGTGTGATTATGGCCCACTCATCACGGTGGAGTGACTCTTGTACAGTTGTACCGAAATCAATGAGTCTGCTCATTGAGACAGAATGCTCATTGTTAATAAACAATCGTGACTTTTTTTTCTGGAGATTCCGTTCGCGGAATAAACAGTTACTTGATATTGAATTCTAAAATCTCACTATTCCTCGTCCTCCCGAACAAATCCATACCATGAAACCATTTCTAGTAGAACACCAATTTGTTTGTTTTCTGGGGGAAATTTAATTCTTTAATGGATATGAAGTATGTATTTGCCAACTCCATCACATCATATTTATATTAGAAACAACGTGGGATATTATCAGGAAAAACTCGGTATTACTCTCGTCACATTATTGATATAATTGAAATTCCGTATTTTACCAAATATATTAGACTCCATGAAACGATTTCGTAGTATTAAAAAGAAAGTATCAAGGTTCTTAAAGACACTTGTACAATAGTTCTTTCATTTCTAAGCGTTGGATGAAATTTTCTTTTGTCTTACCATAACTGATATATTTTTTTTGAATTTGAGAATATGATTTCTAAATCAAATGGCGTTAGCAATATTACGGCTGTAGTATTCCCATTGCCAGTTTACAATTTGGGAATAATTATCTGATGAATCAGATGATTAATTGAGCCGATGCGGTATAAGTCCCTTGAGAAATTCAACTATTTGTGATTTATGTTATAATAAAAATATTTCGTTCCCAAATCCTTTATTGTATCCAAGTTTTGAAAGTTTAACAACACGCAACAATCAAAGCAGTATGAACCATTTAAATGGAATTAGTTTAATTTCACTAGGCTTGAATAAATATTTTCATTTAATTAAACTTTTTTTAAAATAAAAAAGTTTAAATTTATTTTGAATTAATTTCTGGATCAAAGCACTATTTTCTAGAAGAATAAACTGAGCAACTTTCTATTTTTCATGGTATTGAAATATACTTGGTATTGGTTAAAGTGACCTTATCCAAGAAAAGTTTTGTTCGGTGTGATGTAATAAGAGGTATGCGATTTGTTGGAGCTGTCTTCTTTAGCAGCTGTTTACTATTTAGTATGACTGTAACTTGGTTATTGCTTTGCGATTGGTGCAGCTATCTCTTCTCTATCATTCCTCGTAATTGTTTATTTACATTGAAGATGTGTAAACGTTTGCCTATTGTTTTCTAATTTGTTATTAAAGTGAAATAACTTTGTTTAGGATTTTTATTTATTCAAAGATTGTGATGAAGTTTTGATTTAGTGATAACCAACTAAGGTAGGAGTTATATTTCACATCAAGAAATAATGTAATATCTTTAAATATGATTAAACATTTGAATTTCCAATTTTTAAAAATAATTGTTTAAACTAAATCATTCTATTGTAAGTAGTTACTTGTATAAATTGTGAAACTGTTCTATGTTATTTATTTTTATAATAGCTGTAATCTAGTAATTTTTGTTTTACCTACATTTTTTATTTTACTTTCCTATTTTCTTTTATTTTAAAACTCGCTGATGGCTTGTGTATCAATATTGGTCATAACCATTCTTATGATCTTGGATGATGTCTCATGTTATATATGATTGATGTTTACCAATTGTTTTTGCCATTATTCAGTTCAATGGTATTCTGTGTCAATGACAGGAGGAACCAACGTGTGAATGTTTTTTTTCAATAATGATTGCGTTTTTGAATAATTGTATCTTGCGCTTTGATGATCAGTAATAGTCATGATTTATTTAGTTGCTGCAATAAGTTGTTCACCAATCCTTTAAATTGTAATTAATATTACCCTTTATTGAACAGTTTTAATTAATAATCTTAAATTTAGTAATATAGTTCGATATATCACTTGTAAAGTTAATTTTTTCATTTGGTTTTGTATGTTTAATAATTTCTCTTGTTCGTTTTGGTTCATTTTTCTTCAACTTTTGCTCGTTAAAGTTTTAAGGAATAGAATCTCATTAAAAGATAAAGTATAGAATATTAACTTAGAATCTATCAGTATCTTGTGTAATTATGCAAAACTGTCATAAAGTTATTATTGTTTTGGTTGATATATACCCAAAATATTTAATTTCGATCTATATATAAGATATACCTAAAGGAAAGCAATTGTGTTCTCAAACTCTTGGCCTGTGTTACTTTATGAAACTACTAGTAAAATATTTGTTTACACAATGTATTTTTAAAAAAATACAAAATCTAGAGTAGATATTAACTTTTCCAACTTTGTTCAACTTCTATATAATTACATTACAAGTTATTTCAAAAAGTTTATTTAATGACTATTTAAAGGACTTTTTACATGAACAATATTTTAATTACAAAACTAAGATATCATTGGTGTTACTATAACACTCTTCTTTTATACTTTGGTTGGAACAGATCCTTAACGCGGACTACTGCAATATTGGCCAAAAATGTTTAATACTACACTATTGGATACCATTTGTTTTGACTTATTATATTTATAGTTATATTTATATTTAGTTTTAACTATCATTATGGATTGAAATATATGAATGCTACAAAAATTGTATCTTTTCGTTAACTTGTTTCAGCTACCTAACCAATATATACGATGGTATTTAGCAGGAGTGATGTGAAAAGAAGGAACAAATATGCCCATGATCCCTTGGCAGAAAATCCCAAAAGGTAACTTAGTGGATATGATTAATATAGATAACTTATTTTTTAATTGCTGTTAAAATTATATAAAATAAAAATTTTTATTTATAATTTTTGTGGTAAATAATTGAAAATGTTCTGTTCTGTTAATTCTTGGTATTATTTCATTGTATTATGAATTTTGAGTTATTGATAAAAATAAAATTTTTGTCTTTAATTTTTATATTTTAAACTTTATATGTTAATGTTTAGAATTAAAGTTCATGCCCAGAGGAAGTTCGCTCAGGGCTCTGGCATGAACAGCCCAGTGATGACTCCAATTAAAGAAAAAGAAAAAGCGAAACCAAATGGTGCACCTTCACCTCCAGAGCTAGTTCCTGTTAAACGGCCAGCAACTGAAGATTTTCTGACCTTTCTTTGCTTGAGAGGTAATTAAATATAATTTATATAATCTCTTATCTTTTGACAACATACGTTTTGGTAATATTAAACTATTGCGTTTATGCACGTGTAAATGTTCTTTGTAAAATTTTTCAAGGTACAGTATTGTAAAAGTTTTCACTCCAATTTCATTGGCTCCATTTTTTAATTCTGTTCCTCCTTTCTTGTACGACTTCCATTTTCTTCTGTGCCTCCTCTGTCTGGTGGCGGTCCTTTAGGAGCAGCTTCTGCTGAGATTAAAATGGGCTGTACCCACTGACATAATAATCTGTTTAGTAATATTGTTCGTAACCCTTTGAGGTAGTGAATTTAAATATTGGGTAGATTCATAAGTTCATTGTGTTTGAAGGGTGAAATTAAACAAGTTTTTTTCATATAAAGAAAAAATTGTATGCAATAATTTATTCGCTGTTTTTATTAATGACCTCTTGCCATCTTTCTAACAATTTCATTATTCTGTTCTTGTAAAACATTCGGGGCTTAGAAGCGAAAAACTTATCAAGATACATTCTCCTATCTCTCTCATCAGCTAACAATTTCCTGTCGAAAGAGTTTAGGAAAGACTGGAATAAGTGGTAGTCGGATGGTGCAAGGTCCGGAGAATAAGATGGGTGTATTAAAACATCCCAGCAAAGTTGCTCAAGCTTTTGCTGTGTGATTATTGTGGAGTATGGTCAGGCGTTATCGTATGGGAATATAACACCTTTGCAATTGATTAGTTCTGGGCGCTCCTGTCGCCATGCTTGATCCAATTTCGTCAGCTGCATGTATCAGATCTTCGAATCAATCTGTTTCCTTGTGGAAGCAGCTCGTAAAGCACCATGCCGCGGAAATCTCACCAAACTGTTTTTCGTATGTAGTCCAGTATTCGGGGGCTTCCTTAGGTGGCTCATCAGCAGTTGTCCATGATCTCCTGCACTGTACATTGTTGTAGATTATTCACTCTTCACCACCTGTTACTATTCGTTTGAGAAATGGGTCCCTTCAGAAGAGAGATGCAGATTGATATTTAGCCAAGCTGTTTGAAATGCCTTTGAATGGTTCCAAAACCTATTTTCAGTGTCTCCACAATTTCTCGTTAATATAGCGACTGGTCTTGTTTGATTAGAATCTTGATATCACGCGAAACAACCTAGGTGGGCATATGTATATTTTACTTCTTCCATTTTTGTTTTTATTCATGTTGTACTCTTATCTATAATTTTTTAATTCTATTTTATATGTATAGAATAGAATAGAAAGTAAACTTTATTCTTATGAATAACAGATATGATCAAAAAAAAAAAAAAATACATCTGGCCAAAAATTACATTAATCAATATTAAACAATATATACAGTATCTTCAGTGAAATTAAATTAAAACAAGTAAAATAAAATAAAATTTTGAGAAAAAACGAAATATAAAAAAACAAAACAACATTATTTAAATGAAAAGAAAACAAAATAAAATAAGCATGGGTTGATTTTTAAAATTAAAACTCAATCAATATTATCAACCATTCACCTCAGTCAAAATCTGTTTCGCAATATTTATTTTATTGTATAACGTCATTTTGGGATGTGAGAAGGAATTGGTAGAGATGATATTTAAATGAGGACAAGGAAGAGGCATGGCGGATTTCAGATAGCAAGGAATTCCAGAAGGCTGTGGATCGGGCAATAAAGAAATATTCAAACGTCTTAGTTCTATGGGAAGGGATATAAAGGTCGGAAACACGGTATCTTGTTTTCTGGGAGTGGCCCACAGTTTTAAACTGTAGGAGACTGTAGATGTAGGAAGGGTGTCTGGTGTTGATTGTTTGGAATAGGAAAGATCCGAGAAAATATTGTCTGCGGAAAGAAGGGAAGAGCCACTTTAACTCGTCGTAAAGGTGGAACACATGAGACCGCCTCGATGTACCGAAGACAAATCTTAAGCACGTATTCATGAGTCGCTTCAATCTATCCTCGAGTACCATCGGGATGCCTCTGTACACCACACACCCATAGTCGAAGTGGGGGAAAATGAGAAAGGATACAAGGAGCTTGCGGATGGGTTATATGGGTAAATATATGTATATATTTATAATTTATTATTTCATAGATATGGTATTTTTACCTTTTAGGTACTGTAATTTTCCATATTTTTTCCCATTACCCAAACAGGTCAGAAAATTTCCCCAATACCTACCCATGTCCTGATTTTCCAGTTCTAAATGAAACTCCTAGCTGAACACACCTGTAAGCCCCTATTTTTATCCTTCTAATTTTATTTAGTTATTTATCTATTTTTTGGTTTTCTTTTTTCTCCAAATTCCTTTATGTCTATTATTTTATTTGATATCATTTTTCCTTTTCTTTCAATCTCTCCTGTAGATCTGTAGAAGTATATTCACATTTGCATATATTATATATTACACTACAACAATTGTTACCATCTATTTACTTCAGTTTAGGATCTTGTTACTTAGCATTCCCTGTTTATATTTTAATGTACTTACTGTTTAAATAAGCTTTTAATTTTAATAAGCTTATTCACATTGTTTATAATTTTTTGTCTAAATATTATATAACTTCCACTATTCTTTATATCTTTTTGTATCTTGTCCGTTGAAAAAGACCTGCAAGGTCAGGTCGAAACGTTAGCTTTTAATAAAATAGTTTTGCTACTATTTAGCCTATTTATTACTGCCACCCCGGACCATCTCCTTCCTGTGTAATTTATAACTTCGTGTACTAATTTATTTCTGAAATTAAAATCTCCATTTTAATCTTTATTCTACTCTGTTGCAAAAAATGAATATATTATCATTTACATTGAATAATCCTGTACCTTATGTATGTATACTTATATATGTACTGATCACATATAATTGTTTATATCATCCAGAGCCGACCTTAAACATTCTGCCCCTCTGGGCATTGACGTCATCCCTCCTCTGAAACATTAAATTTATTTCTTAAGCTGTTTTATATTATGTAATATTTGAATTTTATTTCATTCAACATTTGTCTGATACAGTCACTTTATTGATAGGCTAAAATTAATTCTTTTAATACGTTTTGTGTTTTTTTTTTTTTAATATTATAACAAGTGGTGTGAGTACCCCTGAAGATGATATTCCAGGGGAATCGTCCCGGTTGCCACACCCTAAGGCTGCCACTGATACTTACTGTCTCTGCCTTTTATTCTGTTCTCTGTTCTTCAGATTTCACTGAATCATGATCTTCTGTGACACTACTGGAAAAAATCATTAAGTTTGAAGGCAGGAAGAAAGGAAATTTGTTTGGTTGAAGGTGAAGGTTGAAATGTGGTGGATCATAACAAAGCAGTATTTTGGATCATGTGGCTCCAATCTGAGAATAATAGCCTTCATGATCATGTCGCTCTTCATTGGTGAATGATGATAAATCCCTCGAGTCTGCATGCCAGGATCCATTTGTGACCACTTGTTTTTTTTTAACTTTCACTTTAAAAAAACTACAGAATTTGAGGTGTTATTTTCAATGAAATCCGAGGACTTGTTTCACCAACAAATTCAATTTTTAGCAGATGATGGATTAAAATTATTGGCAATAAAGTTTAGATCATTTAAAATTATAATTTTACTGTGTAGATTTTATAGTGACATTTAAATGATTTATTTTTTGCACGGAGACTTATGTAACTATTTTTCTAAAGTTGTTTCAAACCAATAATCATGGTTCTAGATTAAAGTGCTAAAATACAATATTCCTGTCGGCGGCAATATGACAATATAGTCGTATTACTTTCTATTGCATTATAGCAGTCACACAGAGTGTGATAGTCCATGGTGATATTGACAAAGAATATTTTTTCGCCGATGCATATCGCATTCTGTATGTAGGGAGCCTTTAGAACAGAATATTTTAATATTAGGACATGAAATGTTTTGAGTTTTGAAACAGCAGGTGGGGTAAAATAAGTATTGGGATCAGGAGAGCAATGAATAGGGATTGAGGTATTGATTGGCATATTACTTTTGGGTTTGTTATAGCCCCATATTACTTAGTTTTTTTGTTAGTGTTTTTATTCACAGAATTTTATTTTATTTATTGAGTTGACTTTCTTGACAGTTTTAAGTGTGAAAAATTCCCTTTAAAAAATATTGTTAAGAATAACATGGAAGAATGTCAAAATTAAATTATGTCTCTATAATCCTTATTGTTACAAAGTGTTATATACCTTAATAAAATAGTTTCAAACAAATAATATTATGTTTCAGGAACTAATGTTCTCCCTCCTCGGCTGGATTTTTTTAATGATACAACTTTTGCTGAAAACTCTGAGCCATCTATATCAAATGTATCAAAACAAGCATCCGCTTCACCCAGTGGTGTATGTATATTGATCATAATCCAAACATTAATTGTATAAGCAGTTTTGTGTATATATGTGTTTTTGTAAAATTTTACCAAAATTTCATTAAAAAAAAAAAAAAAAACCCTGAACCACTACAACCCATGAAGGGTCTTGGATTCAGTACTATTTAGGTAAAGCACTGTTTCTCGGTCTATGGTTGTGTAAGGAGATGATTTGACCGAGATCACGCTCAAACGCCAGGTTTTTGATCTTAATAAAATTATTTTAATTAAGGGTACCCACTTTATAGAGGCTGGGTTTGTCCCAGGAGAGTCTACCTACCCAGAGTCGCCCCACGGCCAATAAAACAGAATAAATAATTTTTCTGCCATGAGCCAGGATTCGAACCTGGGACCTTTAGCATTGGAACCTCAATGCCTTACCATTGAGCCACCTCGCTCCCAAAATTTCCTATTTAGAAATTTTATAATGTTTTCGGTATGGTAGGCCATTAACATATAATAGAACTTGAGTAATTTGTGACTGCATTGTAGCATGTGAATTATTGAAATGGTGTAAAGAAAATTGATCAAATACCTTAGGATTGAGAAAAATATTCACATATGGATTTATGTTGGAGTCTCCTATATCTCAATGACTAAGACACTCTATTCTCCGGGGTCTGGGTTCGGGTTGGCTGTGGTACGTAGCAAAAGCCGTAGGTTGATCATGATGCTGGAATACCCGACCCCCCCTCCATGGGCACACTCAACCTCTATTAAACATAATTAAATCCATCCTGAATTAAAGTTGGCACTCTCAATTAAACAATTGATGAAGGAGAAAAACGGGTGGTTGAGTGTGATCTCAGTCAGATCACTTCCTTGCACAACCATTTACCAAGAAACAGTCCTTCTTCACAAAGTACTAAACCTAAAAACCTCCATGGTTTGTTAATTTTTTTTTTTTTTTGTGCTGGCAGTTCTATACTGTTTATATTTGTTTTTTCTATTTTTCATTCCAAACATTTTATTCCACTTTGGTGGTTTCATCTGGGCTCAAAAAAGTAAATATAGACAACATAAATAAATGAGTAGCCCCAAAAACAGTAACAGTTCACAAAACTTGGTATGAATCAGGATGACTATGACTGAAAATCCATGATAATATAAGGCTTAATAATTTGTTAACGATACGAAAGACTTTAAAATATCTCGAGTTAGAAAAATTATTTTGATCAAAAATAGGACTAAGAAATGCATCAATATTCAAGCCAAGGTAGAGAACTTACATGGGACAGGTAAGACTCTCAAGGTTAAATAATCTGTAGAAGTTGTCATCAATAAAACCTAAGAAACTGGCTCCTTTAAAGCTCAAACTACTGAATTAAAAGATCCAAAAACTAGGAAATTATCATGAGCGTAATTAGACCATGGTAAATTACTTTAAGCATTATTAATACATAATGGACAAAAATACCATTTTAACAAAATTAAATTACAAGAAAATGAAGAAGAGATCTTTATGGATGTGCAACCAATAATGAACATGAGTAGCGTAAACTCTGGATATTATGGCTTACAGATTTTCCCATAGAAATATTTTTAAAAAGTAACAGACTTTTTGTATTTAAAAGCAATTTTGTTTAGGATATCATATTACTTAAAAAAAATCTTAAAGAACCAGTTTCATTTTTGTAGTTTTTGTTATAAAGATTAATATATCCACACATTAGTTAATAATCTGGCCATGTCCAAATTCGTTATGCAGGCAACTAATTAACTTTTAATATAATTTATCTGATCTGCTTCACTTCAATTTTAATGACTTATTGCGATCTAAAAACAAAAAATTAAAAAAAAAAAAATCTAGTGCGAAGTGAAAGTAAAAACTATAGACGCTATATATTTATTTACATTTCATTGTGGGTATTTTTATTGTTTTAAATACCCTTATATAGACAAATTTTAATTTTTATATTGTCGTATTCTATGGAATTAAATATTAAATAATACCAACGATGGCATTTATGAAGACCGCATATGTATATATACATAATATTGTCGGAGTCTGTATTATATTGAACTCATATTACATATGGAAGCCTGTTATAATCTTACGGGTGAGCTTGGCGCTCTTATTCATTTGGTTCTTCTATTACAACTATTATCTATTTCTACAACTATTTCTCCTTAAGTTAATTATCAAATTCTTTCACATTTTGTATTTAAATATTTTTTATATTAAAGATTAATGTAAAATGGTTAATTATTTCAAATAAAAAAAATTAAAGGTACTTTAGAAGAAGCTAATATTGATCCAAGGCTTATAAAAATCTTAAATACGCAATTTCAGTTTCTTACCATTCTTCGTTTTTGAGCTAGGCTGTTCACATACATACATACACACACATAAACCATTTTGCGGGACTTGATTATTTGGACTCAGGAGACCTTAAAACTTGAATTTCCGTTGAAAACTCAGATTCGAAAATTTTTGCAATCGCAATACTTACCCTTACTATATATTACGTATATAAGTAAGTGAAAGTAAAAAATTAGCGAAAATAGAAATTTTCTAAAAGTTGACTTGGCTGTTGTCGTTATTGGACTAATCAAATAGAATTATGAGTAAGGTAGTAGTAAGTTTAACAAGATAGAAAAAATTGTATGATAATTACATATATGGTCAGAATATATAGATGATTAATTTCACAGATGCAAACACAAATTTTATTATTTAAAGTAAAAAAAGTTAATATTTGTCTACATCTTGTAATATACCCTGTTTATTAATTCTCTTTGGATCTGAGTACATTGTTTTATCTATTTGTGTATTTGATATCCACCTGAATCATTTGTGTAGATCTGGATTTGACATTTTATTATAGTTTGCAATCCTTTTATAAATTGTTACTTTCAACATTTGCGAAGTTAAGCATTGATATATTGTTAATATAAACTAATACTAGACCATATACATGTACGTATAAACTAGAGGACCGTATACTCAATACAGACAGGAAATGCATATCCTCTTAAATTTTTGTTTAATAATTTTTCTGACTTTATTTTTATTGCAATCTTAATCCTCGGTGCTTCTTCATGATAGCCCAGGCACACAGAACATGATCTGCATTCTCTATAAATTCAGGGTTAATGATTTAGTTATAATACTATCTATTTATTTCATTGTCCAAGTTGCATAGAATCACAATGAGTCTTACAAAAATATCACAAAACACCCTAACAGATCCTGTTCTGTTTGCCTAAGCCTTAAACCAACTCTTTCACTTCAATTTTAAGAAGATGAAAAATAAATTTTACTCTGGGACATACAGCCCCCAAAGAATAATAACAATGAACAATAGAATTATCATTTGTCTGACATAAAATGACAAGAAATAATTAAATTACAATGTGATGTAATCTTAGAATTAATCTAAAAAATAAGCATAAGTAAAATAATAAAATAATTTTATGCCACTTAATCCAATTCTTGTTCATTTTGTGAGTCCTTTTTGTTTACTTTCAATTCATTATTATTTGTTTAAATTTTATGTTTTATTCTCTATCTCTCCATTTTTTGTATACGCTATCAGTTTTCTTTTTCTTGGCTAATTATTTATTTTTTTTTATTATTCATCTTATTGTAAAAACAAAAGTGACAACAATTTCTTCTTAACCAAAAACTTGCAAATAAAGCATCTTCAGTTTTTCTAATTAGCTGATTCTTACATTATATAAGGAACTACCTATAAGTGTTGCATTTCAGCCTTCTAACTTTTTAGAAAGTGTAGAATTATTCACTTAAGGCTTTGAATAATACACGAGTAAAGCATTTCTAAAAATTTATATGGGTTTTCCTAAAAATTTTTATGATCATAATAACAGTGCTGATTAGAGAAATGTAAACATTTATTAGTCCAATTGATATAAATAAAATTAAAAATTATTAAATAAAATTTTAGCAGGATTTTCAGAACTTTTTAAAGCTAATTTTCTGTCAACACAGCAATCATTAACATATTTTTTTGTTATTCCAGAACAAAATATTGAAGTTACGAATCAATTTTTTTTTATGTTCATAAATAAGATTGTTTGATCACCATTGCTTTATTGCTTTTATAACTTAAATATTTAATAGAATTTAAAAAAATTGGAAGTTTTGTTATTAGAATGACCTTTCTGCCTAGTACTAGGGTCCCTTTTCAAGTCTTAAAAAAATAGAAGTATAAAAACAATTTTAAAATCATATTATTGAAAACATTATATTTATTTAATTTATATATTAAAAATTATTATTTATTCATTATATCCATATTTAGTAAGCCATTATATTTTACAATATTTATTTTTATATTGCTTAGCATCTATATAAAATTTCAAATCTATGTATATCATTATTTTATCTATCTATAGTCAATCCACATGTAACTTTTTATTAATTTATTTTAATTAGGAAAATAGAAAAAAAAAATCATTTTCCCTCGTATCTAGTATTACATGAAAAGACTGATTAAAAATCATTGTGATGGGTATGCCAAATGGAGAGCCGTTTTTATTCTGGATTAATTTATTTAACTTTTTTTAAATTAAAATTTTGTTTAAAATATTATTAACTATATTAGCATAAAAAGTACTTATTTATATTAACATAAATGAATTCAATAATTTGTCTTTTTATTAATATGTAATATTATCTTATATAATTAATATCTAATATAATTTATCACTTTTATATCATATTATAATAAACACATATATCACTTGCCTTTGATTTTTGTTATTAGTCTAAACATATTGAGGTTTCATAAATATTTACTATAAGATTAAAATCTTTATTGGTATTTACAAAAAAAATAAAATGAAATGATTTCCAGTCCTTATTATGGTTATGAATTATTTGATCTCATTCTATAATTAATTTAATCAACTAATCCCTATTTAAATCTGAAATAGTGTTTTATTTATTTTTATCTCTTGTTTTAGGTTCAGAAAATCAAAACTAAAAGTTCGTCTAACCAAGAAATTAAAAAAAAAATACTTGACCGTCGTCACACTGTTACCAAAGGTATGAATAAAACCTTGAAATCTATTTATTTGTAATAAAGGTTTTGGTTTGTGGTTTTTAGTAATTATTCTACAATTTGTTTAAAGATATTTAATGGAATTAATTTTTTTATGTTCATTTGTTGTATATATTTATTTTTATATTCATTAGTGCCTCTGTAGTAAATATTTTTTTCTTCTTAAATTTTTTATTTCTTTCTTTTTTATTTTACTTAGTGCATATGATGTATTATACAATGTAATTTTTATTTTGTAACAAAGTTTTAATTGAACTGATATTGGTATGGTGTTTTATCTGCTCCTTTGGGTGGGGAGGTAAGATTTCTAGTGATAGAAGAGAGGGAGGGGTCCAAAGTGGGGGGAAAGTAGGTGAGAATTGGACCAGTGATGAAGTCAATTTTGTGTTAAAAACAGTGTTACTGAAGTATGTTCTGCAATGAGGTCTGTTTATTTATGATTTTGTAGTTATTTGATATATTTTTCTTTATTAAAGTTAACATTGTTTAAAAGAATTAGTTTATGCTTGTTATTGTTCTTATGTTTATGCATTCTTGTTATAGAAATTAGTTCATGTTTTTGATTAAGTGTTCTTAATAATGAAATAATTAATTCATTACTTTCTTATACAATTTTTGTAGAATTTTTTTGTTTTTCATGTTGACCATGAACTTAATTTCTTTTGTCATTTTTAATATCAAATTTTCAGTTTTTATAAACTACTGAAAAAAATTTGTTTATTTAATTATAGCTAGTAATATTTATATTTTATTTTTTTGCTTTACTATAGAATTTTGATTTCCTAAAAACATTTTATCTATTAAGTAACAAACTTTTATATATCTCAGTTGTATTTTTTTAATTATTTAATTTAATTTATTTCATAATAGTATTTCATTATGATTAAGCTACAATAGTATAATATAATATTTATAAAATATTATTTTTCATGTGCTCAGCAATTGTTGGTAAAAACAAAAAATCATTATTTTATAAGTTCAATATTTACTCCATTTTTTTTTTCTAATTACTATAATTTCAAAGACATTGTTATTAAAATAATAAATGTAATTTTAAAAATAGTTTTTATGTTATATTTGTCTTAATATATATTTACACTAACAATACAATACCTAATAAAATCTTATGGGCCATAGCTGGTTCAAGTTCCTCAACTTTTACCCATTGTACTGTAAGTTTTTCCTTCTTATCAATAAATATTAACGTATGTTGGATAAGTACATTATTAATGTACTTACTCATTTTGATATTAAATTTGGGTGGTTATAGCAAATGTAAAAAATAATTAGTGTTTAGAACAAGTTATGAAGATCAAATTTTCTAATTATTTATTTTTATTATTTTTCCTTATTACTATTTCAGTACATTTTTTTTCCAATTTAAACCAGTTTGTGTACTATCCTTGGCATTCTTTCTAATAATTTTATAATAGTTTCTCTTTATGGGCAATAGAAAATAGTAATACTGTCTTAAAGTAGGTTTGATGATATAATTTTATAGAGTGATAAACAATATAAATTGTTAGTTTAATTTATGGTATATGATTTTTAGCTAAAAGGACGTAATAGATAATAGTCTCTATGTTAATATATGAGCCAATTTTTGTCAAATAGGTAGGAGCTATGTTCTTAAGTTATGAAACTATAATACAAAATTTAAATAATTGTTTCATTAAGCGTAAAAGGTTAAGTGCCAAAATGACTAAAAGTTGTTTGGTGCTTTTGTTGTTTTTTAGGAATCAGGTGATTTTATTCTGTAATATAGATTGAACTAGTTTGCTCTTGTGATTTACTTTGAGGTATAATTTACTATGGTAGTGGAAGTAACTAAGCACATTGGAGAAAAATACTTCTTTTATTATGGTTTGGCTTCCAAATTTTCAGTTGACAGAAAATTATTTATCATAGTCAATGTAGGACTGTGTATTTGACAAAAACTTTGTCAATCCTAAAACAGGTAGTTGACATATTCAGCAGATGAAACATGAACTACAAGAAGTTCTCTCCCAAGAATACTAAATTTGCCATCAATGCCTGTTAAAAAAGTTTTTCTATGAAACCAAAACTCTGAAATATAGTTATGAAGATATATATTCCATGTTCAATCAGCTCGATTTAAAAAAAAAATTACCCTTCATTTCTTTTTATTGAATATTAAATTACTTGATTGTATATTCTTAATCACCTGTATTGATATCTATTTCGTTATACAAATTTTTATGTTACGTATAGTATGTATATAATGATTTTTAATTCTTTTGACTAAAGATAGTTTGTTTATTTTAATTTTACTTTCACTAAACATGATGATTTGCTTGCTAATTAGTGTCATGCCTTAAGGGCGAAAGATAGTTTTGAGGTTTTTTTTTTTTTTTTTTGTTAATCATTATATGTGTGGAAACTTTACAATTCTTTTTTTCCTACTTGATACTAGATAGCTACTTGGCACTTTTTAAATTTTAACATAAACTTTGTTGCTGTGTTTGGTTTTTATATAAGGGAATTTATTAATCTGTAATGTGTTCTATATCTGTAATTTATAACTTTATCATTATTTTTTCAGTTATAAATGTTGTCATTATTAATGATATTAACATCAATGAATACTATTCAGTTTGGTAATGCTCTTAGATTGTCTATTTAATGATAAATAGTGAAATTGTTTAAGTCATAATTTAGAGGAAACTGAATTCATCATTGTCTATCGTAGGCTTACAAAGAAACAGTGGTAATTTTGTTGTTTATTTGAAATCTTTTTAATGTTTTCTCATTGTTATAAAATGAGAACTATGTTACGATTCAATTGTGTTCTGACTTTCATGTGCTTTTATTTAGCGGTTACCTATTTTCAATACCATTTTTATATTTAATTGTGTAAGCCACGCAATTAACATAAAATCTTGAGGTTTTTATGAAGCCTTAGTTCCAATACAATAAAATAAAATAAATTTTATGAACATACCTTAGTATGCTTGAAAATGAATTTAAAAAAATAAAAATAATTAAACTTGTTTAGAAAACCAGTACTACTCCTAGCCAATGCCTTTCATTGTCCTGTGAGCCTTTTGGCAACACACTCACTGGTGATGGATGTTGTGTGAATTAAAGGCTCATTCACATTATATCATTTCTCTGAGATTGTTATCTGTTGGAAATGAGAGACTTGGATTATCGATCAACGTGTATTACTCAGCCCTGGACCAGACTCCACAGATGTTATTAAAAAAAACAAAAACTTATAATAAATCTTATTTATTTGTGTATGTCTGAGTTTATCTATTATCCTCACAAGTTGGTACGGTATTATTTTATTATTACTTTTATGTATAAAACTTTGAAATCGATGACTCACTATGCTTCAGTTGTGGCAGGTAATTAATTAATCGACCCTTAGATCAGAAGACCCTCCTAGTGTTCGCCCAACCTCTATAAAAGTGAATATCCTTAATTAGATAATTAATTAAGGGGAAAAGCCTGGTGGTTGAGCATGATCTCTGTCAATTCACCTCTGCACAATTGAACAGTACTTCCTTAGAAAGTACTGAATCCAAGACCCTTCATGAGCTGTAATGGTTCAGGGTAATCAATGATTGACATTTCTAAACAAGGCTCAGAATGATTTAGAAAATTTTTAATGGAAAATCATCTTAATGTGGAGTGGCAGTCCTATATTTTCGGATTTTTTAACATTAAGAAGTACTTGCTTTTCTTATGAAACATCTTTCTGTAGCTTTGAAATTTCTTCTTCTTTCAGTGTTGAGATTGCGCCGTGCTTCTGCCACTCATTGCTATTTTTTACCATATGGTGCATCTGGCCTCACATCTTTCATCTTGCTTTGCCTTAATCTTCCAAATGTTCCCGACTTAGTATCCGAGGCTGAGGAGTCTCACCGGTCTTTGTTCTTCAGTTTTTGCCTTTACATACCATTTGATCTTCCAATTGTCTGCCATTCTCCATACCACCTGAGTTGAATGTCCTTTTATTTTGATTTTTTTCCTGAGACTATACTTAATGAAATGGCTTACATATATTGTCTATTTATGTTTTACTATCTCTCTGAGGAAAATTATCTCAACTGGAGTTATTCTTGAGGAATGTTTCTCCAAGGCTGTCCAATGGTTCATATTCTAACATCGATAAAAATGTGTTTTGCCAGTTGCTATTCCTGTTAATCTTCATACTTTTTATTGTGATTTAATGGAAGACTCCACTAGTGTTTTTCACATTTTCCGAAAATCTTTGGATTAATGATTGTGTCTCTGCTTATAGTAGTAACCAAGTATTAGTGGGAATCACCACACTCCTTTTCAAGTCATGTCCTTTATTTATTCGTTTCTCCTTAGAATTTTCTTTTTGTTTTGCTGCGTTTATTTCTATCCCCTTTGATTAATTCCTCTCCATCCCATAATTGCTTTCAATAGGGTATCTTAAGGGTCTGTGTTATTAGCACAATTCATAATATCTTATGCAATTTCAAATGCCTGTACCAAAATAAAGATGAGGTTCCTTTACCCGACAATTGACTGGGAAGTTCTGCTCTAGCAAATCTACTATCTGGAAATAATTATTCACTTTTACAAAGTATACGGCATACAAATTACATTCAATTTAATTTAATTCTCATACTTATTTAGCAGGATGAATAATTTTTTTGATAGATTCATGTTACTTTTTGAAAAGTAAATGAAACTACTTAGTTTGAATACTGGTTACATGGCACAGGAAATTAAAACAAGTATTAAAAGCAATGATTTGTGGATTCATAGGGTCCTGTGGAATTTTAATATCAATGGTATGTCATTAACTATGTTATAACCAATCCTTTGTTCAGGAGGTTAGATAACTTACAAACTGAAACAAGTGTTGTTTGTTATAATATAAAGACTCTTTTTATTTGTATATTTTTATTATTCTGTATACCAGTAAATTATTTACTTATTGTCTGATGAACTAAATTAACTAAACACAATTAAATATATCACTACTGTTAGTGCAAAAGGTCGTATTTCACAATTTTCCATGTTAATTCTATTTGTGCTAAAGGTGATATTTTGCAGTCTGAAACTGCAATAAATAGTCTCATTACATACATTAATAGATCGTAAAGAAATAATCAGTTTTTTCACTTTACAAAGCTTGATTTTTATATAAGACCCTTTGCACTAACAGTAGCAATATCATTAAAAATTCTATATATAAATGACTATTTCAAGGTTATTAAAAAAAAAATGACTTGACTACATTAAATATTAGAATCATGTGTAATTCATTTAAAACAAATTATCACTCTAATATATGCCCAATTTCTATTTATTTTTTAATGGAACTTTTTTTTTTAAGAACTTGAATAAATACAAGTTAAATTTTTACTATAAACTTGGAACTTTATTACAAAAAGTTCCTGAGAACTTTTATTTTAACAACTCTTTTCCTAAAAAGTTTCAGAGAAACTGTTAAAATTTTAAAAAAGTTTCAATCCCTGGTTTAAATTATGGTACTCTTCGACTAACCGTGAAATATGCTATAAGATACTATCGTCAGTTTATTGAAAAAAGTCACTAAGTATATTTTTGATGGAGCTGAATTTACAAGAACATCTTGTGAATATTGACCATATTTATAGATAAAAAAACACAGTAAGTGTAATTGAGGTTTCACTAATATGACACAAATACTTTCATATATCGAATATAATTACAAAAAGAGTACAACTTTTTGATTTCATAAGCGAAAAATCTATCGAAGTTCTTAATGATTTAAGGTTATGTAACATTACATAATGAATTTTTGCAATAAATCGACTATATACTCTGTTTGTAATCATTTATTTCATGTACTCCCAAAATTGCCTGATAAATTGAATAAAAACATGATATAGCTTTCCAAGGGTTAAACTTATCATTAATTCAAAATCTAATTTAATTTAATAAACCAATAATTATTTTTTCTATTATCTATGTTCTATTGTAGTGATCTACTAATTTCTGTTTAATGGAATGCAAAGAGCTTTTTCATGTATAATTTATTTTTGCTAATAAATCAGCTAAGTGTGTGTTTTAAGTTATAGAAAACAACTGCTTTGATCTTTCATAATAGTATTCCCGTTTTTTATAAGCAACATTTTATTTGTTTGATGAAATGGTTGTAAATGTTTTTATTTTGTATCTTAAACATTAATTGAGATACTTTGATTTAAGCATTGTTGCTAAAATATAGAATTGTTTCACATTATTAGTTTTTATCCCTAATGAAATTAAATTTTTGTACAGGAAATGCAATGAGAGCGCGTACTGCAAGTGATGAACGTCAGTCCATTAGAAAAAAGGCTATAGAGTTAAGAAGAATAGCTGCTCAGAGAAGAACAAAGCCTATAAGAAAAACGCATCCTGCAATTTTGAAAAGGTTAATAGTTTATTCACTTGAAGTGTCCTTGTAATTGATTATGGGGACAGGTTATTTATTATGTATCTATGATATTATTGCTTTGTTTGCTAATATATTTCTTAAATTTTTATAAGCCGCTTCTATTTATAATGATTCAATATAGATCCTACTAGCAATATTGGAATGTAATGTACTCTTCTCTTTGAATATATCAAAATTTTTCGAATGTTTTGATTTAAATTCAAAAAAATTCTTGAAGAAATGTAAAAAACTTCGGCCAAGTAAATTAGTATAGTTATAAGCCATTTTTTATTTCTAGACATATTATAATGTGTTTGTGTATCGACAAGTGGAAGTAGTGAATGGAGTTTAATGAAATTGATGTGAGACTAATTAAGGAAGTAAGAACCTACCCAACCCCTTAAAATTTCATCAACATTGGATTAACTGTAATAGTTGATATGTCCATGGACATGGATTTGACTACAGATTAATGCATAGCACTGCCATTGCCTGGCAATCTGATATATAAGACAAATTGATTAAAAAATAGAGTGCACGTCTTGGTGCCAGGGGTAGTCTTTTAAACCCCTGCTCTCACCTTCTGGCCATATAAAACCCCATATAGCCTTAAAGGCAAGGAAGGGGAGGACTAAAAAAAAAAAAAAAAAAATGCAGAATTAAATTTTTTTTACTTGATGTCTAAACATAAAATACGATTGGAAATTTAGCAAAAAAGTACAATTTAGGAAAAAATATATAGCTTCCTTACCTTTGGTCATGAGGAAGAAAAAAATTGAAGATTTTCTGTTGTGTACTCAATTTCTTTATTTAGTACACCCTTTTAATACAGTTGTTTTAAAGTTTTTTTTTAGTTTGATTACATGCGTATCGAAGTTGACTCCTCCTTTTCTTCAAATTCACTCCAGTTGTTTGTTGTTAGTTTTCTACTTCAAGTAATCACCCGTACTTAATTAAATGAAATAACTAATGCTGTTATTTGTTTTTATTGGGTTGATACAAAAATAATCCAGATTTCCACCTTTACTGAATTTTAAAATCCATTCTGTAAGCAAAAAAAGTTATTCTCAATGTTAATTTTATATGTATTACAATAAATCTTATTCTATATCTTCTCTTTCATCCAAAATGTAATCAATAAAAGAATTTTTTTCAGTCTGTTTAAAGCTTTTGAAAAGAAATGATTGACCACAGATGATTTTTCTCAAATTTGTAATAGGTCACAGTTCTGTAATAACTGATGTTAGGAGACTATTAACAAGTGCACAGTGTTGGTTTCAAAAGTTTTATTGTTGAGATTTCGAGTTTAAATACTTTATTATCCACTAGCCTTTCTCAGTCGAGGCGATACTATTACTGCCAACAAATACTGTCAAGAAATTAATGCCATGCTATGGAATCAACAATACGTTTGACCAGTATCAGATCGCAGCAAGGGACCAGTCCTTCTCCATGGTGATGCCCTTTTCAATATTGCACAACTAACCTGACAACTGCATGGGTTGGGCTACGAAATCCTTTAACACCCTCCCTATTTCCCTAACCTCTTCCGTTCTAATTTCCATTTCTTTCAAGCAGCTGTACATCATTTTACAAAAAAAAAAAAAAATAAATAATAATAATAAAAAAAGAGCTTTTAAACCAGGGTGATATAAAAGTCTTTTCATGATTAAATAAGCTTGTAGGTTGGCAAACAAAAAATAGTTTTGTCTAAATTTATATTGAAGTAAAGATATGACATGCTTTCTAAATATATAAAAAATAACCAGTGTCATTTTTGTATCAACTTATTATTTTCCCCTGAACTATTAAAATTAGATTTTTTTTTAGGAGGTAAAAATCTTAAAAACAGGCTTTTTTTTTTTTTGTTATATTGACTATTATTTTCATTTGTTATTTAGATTGTTTCTTCTAATTTTTACGACTGACTACCACACCTTCTTGATTTATCTTATGGCCAATCACTTATATATCATTTTTTTAAATTTGTGTAATCAGCTAAAGCGTGTTTCCATTATCTTTTTTTTGTCTCAATTATTTACTCATGTACCTAGACATATATTTGATTTTTAAAATAGGGTGTCTGATATATTATAGATTAATTTAGGAAGTTGATTTGATATTCAGAGTAATTTAAAAAAAAAATTAATGTTCTTGAGATAAACCAAGATACTGAAATCTTTTTATATTGTAATTTAATACATAGCATTAGTCAGTCGAAATCTTTTTCATTTTTATTACCAATATGATGGCGTCAGCCTTATCTCTCATTACCTCATTTAATTTTCAATAGATAATTTACAGTATCTGTAATACCTTTCTCTTTTTATGAAGGAGTGGGGGGAGGGGGGTTGAAATATGATCTAGAAGTTTTCAACGCAGTGTTGTTCAAGTAGATTCTAGATTCAGTTAGATCTGTGAAACCAGTTATTTCTTGCATATATTCTTAAAGGTAACATCACTACCACTTTGATACAGGTATGGATATGTATTTACACTCATTTATTAATAGTTTTTTGGAAATTACAACTTAATCAGAATTGAAAACTGCAATCACTTTATCAATCATGTTTTTACTTTTCTACCTATACTAGGTAAGGAAAGTATTGCAATCGGGTCAGATTTCCGACATGCGGTTTTCGACGGATCTATACGTTTCAGAGCCCCCGAGTCCGAAAAACACATTTTTAGCCATTGGTCTGTCTGTCTGTCTGTGCCAAGATTTTCTCGGGAACTACTGAACCGATTTTGTTGCTTCTTTTTTTATTTTGTAGGGTTGTGACTACTGATGCCTGTGACAGAAATTCGGTGCTCCATGCGCAATAGCTTGCGCGTAATAAATGAAAAACATGTTTTTCTATAGACTGTAGCGCAAAAACGGCTCTAACGATTTTGATGAAACTTTCCTATAATGTTCTAATCATTGTTCTTTCAATTTTATTTCATAGACTAAATTCTCGAAAAAATTCAGGAAAAAAAGTTATAAAGAAAAGAAAAATTTTATGGGGCCTAACTCCTTAAGTATATAATTTACGGTAAAATTTATAATAAAACTTTTGAAAGGTAATTAAATTTCTAACAAAACAAAAAAAAATCATCGAAATCGAACCAGTATTAGCGATGATACAGCTTATTCTAATTTTTACACATTTTTTTAACTTATTACTTTCCTACCTATACTAGGTAAGGAAAGTATTGCAATCGGGTCAAATTTCCGACATGCGGTTTTCGACGGATCTATACGTTTCAGAGCCCCCTGAGTCTGAACAACACGCTGTTTAGCCTGTCGTTTGAAAGGTAATGAAATTCCCTACAAAGCCATATAAAAATCGTTCATTTTGGACAACTAACAACAAAGTTACGGCTATTTAATTTCCAATGTTAGGTTTCATATCCTGGTGTCAGAAAACGGTGAATGAGAGAATAAAGATGACTAAGTGAAAGTAAGAAAATTTGTTGCCCGCATCACACAATCTTCACGATTTCCTCTACTTTTAACAGAAATTACCTACCTTAAACCGGTTTACATTGCTTTAGTTTATCAAATAAATCGTACTCAAATCTTATGTTTGATCAATTTTCAGGAAAATGTATCTATTTCAATTCTTTTTTGTTTCTTCATAAACATATGTAAAGATATAAAAACTTCTGAAATAGGTAGGAAAGTCGTGTGAGTGGACACACCAGATTTTTTTGTATTATAACTGAATGAAAATATAATGAAGAGGGTGTCAGAATAAATATAAACAAAATATGGGCTTAATACATTTTATTACTTGTTCTATAACTTGTATTCATTAAATACGAGTGATAAAAGCTTTATTGTTGTCCTAAATCTATCATTTAGCTCTGCTATGTGTTGATTAATTTTTAAAACAACTTTATTGTTAGATATTATGATCTTTAAAAAGTAATTTTCTTCTACCCCCACATGCACCATACACTTTGAGCTCGCCGTTGTCATCAAGGTCTCCTTATTTCATTTTACTCCTCTTCCAAGGTCTCCTTATTTCATCAAGACATACATTTCAGGTCGAGCAACGCTGTAATTTGCGGATTTGAAATAGACAAAGAGATGAATAATGGGTTACAATTTTATACTCTGCATTTTTCTGACATCCATCAATCGCAATGTAAATAGTTGGTCCATAGTGTATCTTCCTCTTTTAAATCCTATCTGATACTTTCCGATTTCTCTATCCGCAGGGGGAACCAATCTCTCGAAGATGATATTTGAGAGTACTTTATTAGCAGATGAGAAGAGAACAATACCCCTTTAGTTGCTGCATTCAATCTGATCTCCCTTCTTGTACAGCGAGCAGATAATACTTTTTATCCACTCCTCAGGCATTCTTTCTGATGGAGTTTAGAAAGGATAAGATTGTTAAAATCCTTGTTGAAGTCAGGTCCGCCATACCATAGTAGTTATGCTTGAATGCCTTCCTGTCCTTGCGCCTTGTTATTCTTCAATTTTGCAATGGTTGCCTCAACCTCTTCATCAGGCGGCTCCTCATCATCCTGTTTGTCCTCTTCTCTGCCTGATTCAGCACTTTCCTACACATCTTCTGTTTTGAGCATCTTCTTGAAGTGAGAAGGCAATTGCTCCAAGATCTTCTGCTTATCCATTAGAAGACATCCTTCCTCGTCGGAGTTTCATTGCGGTTCATCTCTCATTCTCCAGATGAAAAAAGAGTCGACTCTCTTGTAAAGTTCTGAGGGATTGAATGTCTTCCATCTTATTGTTCTCCCGCATTCTCTTTTTTCCGATGAACTCTCTTCTCCTCTCTCCCTTTATCGTGGTAACATTCCTGTGTACCCCTTGTATGCTGCTGCACCATCTTCCTGTATGCCTCATTCTTCTTGACAGTGACGGTTAAGAAACCATTGTCAAACCAGAGGGAGGACCTTGTGCTGTGTGTTTGATAGCCTAGCGTTTCTTTAGCTGCCGTCTTCAGAGGTCGGGATATTCCCGTCCACCGTTAATCAGGAGTTTCATTTCTGCTCCTTAATTCTTTTGCAAGCTGTATTCTGAAATTCTCCTGATAGGCTTCCATCCTTTAGCTTGAAGACATTAAATTTTGTCTGCATCGGCCCAATCTTGTTCCTCATAGCTGAGATCCTTGTATGTATCCTGGCAATGCTAAGGTAATGATCTGTGTCTGCATTGGCTCCTCGGTAAGTTCTGACTCGAATGAGGTTAGACTTGTGGCTAGAACTGATCAGAATATGGCCGATCTGATTAGAGACAGCTCCATTTGGTGATCTCCACGTAACTTTATGTATTCTCTTTCCTGGGAACATGGTACTTCATACAACTAGGCCTTGAGAGTTTGCTAAGTTAATCAGACTTTAACCCTTATTGTTAGTAAACTTGTGTAGGCTGAAAGCTCCTGATGTCGACCGATGCACATATTCCTGGCCTACTTGTGCGTTTAAATCTCTCAGAACTATGTTAACGTCGTTAGTGGGACAAACCGCAAAAGCTCTCATGAAGTCTTCATAGAAGCCATCTTTGTCTTCCTCTGGTGATACCTCAGTAGGTGCATCACAGTTGATAAAAGAGGTGTTAAAGAATTTCCCTTCAAGACATATATAGCATAGACAGGTAGAGATAGGGGTAAATTTTATGACCAGCTGGCAGCTCTATCTCAACCAATAGATCCAGTGCCGAAGGTGTGGTGGGTTTCGACATTTCTTTTCAAGTGTACCACTTCCAAGCTAGCAGACTTCCTGGATAGCTGCAATGTCTGTGTGATAATTGCGAATAATATTAAGGATCGCCCGAAGAGCTCCTAGTCGGTACAGAAACAAAATATTCCAGTAGAGTATACGTAGTTCAGTTTGGCTGTTTCTGGTCTTATTCCTTTGAGACATTTCTTTAATACTTTTAGGAGTGTTCGTGATAAGAACTTAGTAGGTTATCAGCCTATTTCCTCCAAGTCAGGTGGAGGGGCTTCCTCCTCAGAACGTTCGGACTCATTCCCCCTTCCGGGGCTGCTACCTAGAGGAGGTGATCCTAGGGTGTGTACTGTAGGCGATCTTAGTTTTTACTGTGCTGTATATAGTGTACTATGTGTAAAATGTAGTGTATGTATTTTCTATTCCAGGAGGACTAGTGGCTAACTGTAGCCTGATGGCTGAGCGATGGGGGGCATCATTCCTTATGCCAATACTTTTATTGTATGAAAATATATGAATATATTTTTGTTTTAGATTGGGTGCTGCAAGGCTTAGAGCAGGCCTTCGCAGTGGTGGACAGCTTCCTCCAGGCAGTGATGCTGGAATAAAGTCTGATAGGAAACCAAGACGAGGGAGACCTCCTCGAAGAAGGCGTAAGTTATTACTATTTTTTCGTTTGTATGAATGTTGTCAACATAAATATATATTAAAAAATTTAATTATTGCATAAAGACCAAAATATAAATCTAGGATTATCTTATGAGAATAGGCCAGTTTGATATCTTATTAGTTTTGTATGGGCAGGCTCTTCAAGACACAAGTGTTTATGTGTGACTTTTCCTCTGTCTCTCTCTGGAACACTCAAACTTATACAAACTTGTTTGATTGAGATTTGAATAAAGTTCACTTGGATATTACTCTTCCTTTTTATTTTTAATTTTTGTATGGAAGCAACAGGGTGTCTAATGGACCTGGAAAAGATAGAGAAATTTTCCAACCTGGAAAAGATAGGGAATTTTTCAAATCTGAAAAAGCTAAGGAATTTTTCAAGTTAAGAGATACAAGTGTGAACTACTATAATCAAATTACCAGAATCATTATGGGTCACTAAATGTTTACATATCCATATATAAATATCACAGGTCGAATGTATCATGGTGTGTTCATCGATTTTTCTAATTATAAAACTATTTATTAAAAAAATTATTATACCAGTAAACAATTTAAAAAAAAAAAATGTATTTTTATGGCAATAGAGGTTTTTTTTGGCTTTGTTAAATAAGTTAAATGTCAGTATTACACCAAAATAAGCATTAAGATAGAAAAGAGAGATTTCTACTTGCCAACGTTTTGCCAATTCAGGCCCCAATTAAGGCAGGAAAAATAAGATCACATATATGCAGGGTGAAAAAACAAGAAGGAAAAGAAAAGAAAAAAAAATATTGCTGTTGACATCTCACAAAGCTATCCAATTTTATTTTTCGTACGAATCCAATTGTAATACGAAGCAATACATTTTTTTTTTTTTCTTTTCCTTTTTGATTTTTCTTTCTGCATATATGTGGTCTTGTTTTTCCTGCCCTGATGATGCCTGAATTGGCAAAACGTTGGCAAGTTAACTATTCACTTGTATATTGGGGACTCATGGCTTTGCAGTTTAGATTTTTTCCCATTATACCATAGTCGGTATTGCAGTTAATGTTTCTATTGTTTTTAATATCAAAAGAACTGCTTTGATATTAAAATTTCTATGCCTAAGAGAGACTTTTTAATTTTTGTGAAATTTCTTAGGAACTTAATAATAATTATAATTTATAAGGCCTTGAGTATTGTTTATATGGTATTGAGTTTACAAGATCAATTTATTAACAGTTAGTCAGCCTAACATTTGTTCTTTTCCCCTTCTTCATGATAAAAGAGAATAAATTATATCAATCGACTCTAATTTGTAAGGTAGCATGGGCAGATCATAATTTCGATTCTCAAACCATAATTTATTAGGACTTCAATCAAATTCATTAGACTAAGTGGAAGAATTCAAACATTATGTGATGGTTCCAAGTTGCCAGAATGAGACGCGACATAATGGGTTTTAAAGATTTTGACGCATACATCATTACCAGGGAAATTCCAAAAAAAAAAAAAAATGCATTTTTAAGCTCTGAATTCAACCATTTCTGAGATAATAATGGCTAAGGGTCGTCCATTGTAAATAGGCCTGCAGGTGTATAAAGTGTATTATTTGTTTAAGGTAAGCTAATTCTTATGAAGTTAATTGTTACCATGTGTCGATAATTTATGTTAGATTAAAGTTAGTAACTGTATTAATAACCCCCTCCAAAAAAACAAAACAAATAAATATGAAGAAAAGAAAATCTTGTGCTCATAACTTAAAGAGTGTACACTCTGTGGTAAATTATAAATCATTCGATAGTGAATAAAATTCCCTGCAACGAAAATCTTGTTTTTTGTAGCGTAAATTAGCTTCTTAGTAAATATTTATTTTAGCAATGTAATAAAACTCAAAAATGGACATTGAAAAAAACAAGTATGAGCAGCAAAGCTCCATAACAGAGGTCAATTTTTTGCATTATTTTGGTGAGGGATAAAAAGTGACTTAATTCATTTGCATCTTGATGCTTTCCTTAAAAAAAATGGATATAATTCTTAAATTAATTGAACTGTTGAGTTTCTTTTCATGTCTATATTTTTTACTCATGGTTATTATTTTTTACCAAATTCAATTGATCAAACAATGGAGGTTAAGACCTAAGACAATAAAAAATCAATAAATCAAAGAGACTGAGTGTGCCCAGCCTTTATATTTAATTTTATTTCACTGTCAATGTGTTTTTCTGCAACTGAGGAACTTCAGGTTTCACATTCGTGCTATTTAAGATAAGAGTCTTAAGGCTTTATACAGGGTGAGACTACCATGTTATTTTGGCTTTTACTATCATATGATTTTCTGTGATCTAAGGATAAGACTAAGAGTCTTACATTTACAGCTGTTTTTGTCTCTTTGTCGAAGCTAAGCATACCCAAGGTAATTAAATGATGGCATAAACAATAAATATCAAATATTGAATGTAATATTTCAAAAATAAATAAATAATATTTTAAAAACAATATTTAATTAATATTAAATATATCAGATCTTTATATTGGTAAAAATATAATGAATAGTTTGTAGGAGTTCATTTCATAGAAATTGTATTGGATATAAATGGGTGTACTTGAATTGGTAATACTTTATTCTTAAATGCTCATTTTATATGGATTTTTATGTGAAGGTATGAAGGTTGTTAATAAAGAATCGGTTGATGAATCCCCTGAACGTAAAGAAAAGGAAGAAAACGAAGAAAGTGATGAAGATTCAGATGAACAGCCTTCCAAAGTGTCAACAATGAGGCTAAGAACTCGAGGATCTTCTAATTCTCCTGCAAAACCACCGAAAACATTAAAGTAAGCATTTTATTTTACTTTTTCAACAAACATGTTATTCTAATATAATCTTATGCTGTCCTTTTATTTAAAATATTATTGTTATATTCACAATTTTTAAAACTAACTTGATTATTTTTACGGATATGTGGAGGTTACGGACATGGGATCACCAATTTCAATGAAACTTTTTTTGGTGATATTAGGTCGAAAAATATTTGACTCATGTCCGAGGGTTCTTGCCAGTGCCCACTAGGAGCCGCTTAAATAAGAATTTTCATTACAATCGAAAAACGTAAATATTTTGCTCAATACTCTGCCTTCTATTAACAGCTCTTATGAGATCCACCTTTGTTTGTAGCATTACAGTAGTATTACAACTGTTAAATATTGAGGCAATTTTCATTGCAATAGAAAAACAAAAAAAAAAAAAAAACAATGAGACAAAAAAAAAAAAGAGTTAAAGTGAAATGTATTTATAATTATATTGTAAATATAAAATGAAATGTTTATTTTAAGTTTTTGTATGGGTCCTAATAAAGGCTATTATTATTATTATCATTTTTATTTAGTTAAATAATAAATAATTAAATTACTTGAAAAGTATCTTATTAATTAAATGATTCTGATTCCACATTTTTTTTTCTTCATTGTTTAAAATGCTTTTCTCTTATGTTTTTATTAAATCCTCTTTATTTGTATTTTAGTATTCTATCTCGTCCAAGCCGTAAAACTAAAGTAGCTGCAACCTTATATATGGAAATGCTCACTAAAGATTTAAGGAGCCCTGATGAAGAGTTTGATGGTGATTATATTAAAGATATACCTGAGCCTTCAACTAGTGCCAAGAAAGGTTTGTTTTGAAATTAAATAATGTAATACTTTATAATAGAGTTTTGTTATTATAATTGTCATGTAAAAATTTAATTACTTTTCTTTTAATAGAGAAAGAAGAGGATTTTAAAGTGACACCTCCTAAGAAAACTAGGCAGCAGGCAAAAGATGAAAAGAATAAAGTTGGAAGACCTCACAAAAGAGTAACTAACATTAATTTTAAAGAAGAAGAGGACAGTGAGCTTGATGAAGATAATGAACCACTTTTGGCTAGAACCCAAAGAACTCAGAAAAAAGATGTTTCTAAAGTAGTTGCTGAAACAAGTAACAGAAGAAGAGATTCTTTAACTCGATCCATTGACAGAAAAAAATCTGAAGATTCTCCAAAAAATGTAAAAAGATTGGCTGGAAAAAGAGAGCTTAGAACTCTGAAGGAAAGAAAAAATATGAACGATGACGATCATACAACTTCAGAGGAAGAGGAAGAAATTGAAAAAGTTTTTAATAGCAAAATTAAGGAAGAAAAGGTAGATAGTAGAGGATCAATAGAAACAGTTAGCAAACCATTAATGTCAAAAAGAAATGATGTAAAAAAGAAGTCTGGAGCAGTAAAGCAAAGCCCAAAGGAGAATAAAAAAGGAAAAAGATTTTCAAGTTCTAAAATGTCACTTGATAGTAATGATGATGCTGCTACTAGTAAAAAAAAGAAAGGACTTGAGGGTGGTGATAAAAAAGGGATTGAACATGAACAAACTGATGAAACAAACAAGTCCAAGACAGTCGACCGTAGAAAATTAAGAAAGCAGATAGAACATGAAGATGTTACAGAACCAAAACATAAACCAGAAAAAAGGTCCAGTTCTCTGAGCAAAGAAGACAGAACTAAAATAGCCAAGTTATCTAAAGAATCAACAAGCAAAGTTTCAATGAAACTAGAAAGAGAGAATGAAAGTGATCAGGATGATGAAAATGAACCTCTGCTCAAAAGGAGTCAAAGAATGTTAAAAAAGGACAGTGTGTCAAATGAAAAGAAGACCACTCCAGGGCGAACTTTGAGAAGCAATGAACCAAAAACTGAAATTAATACCAAAGATTCTCCTAAAAAAAGAGGTAGAAAAAGTTTAAAAGTCAGCAAAAATTTAGATGAAGATAATATGGAAGATGTGGCATCTATTAGTAAACCAAAAGATATTCTTCCCAAGAAGACCGTAGAGGAAAAAGTTGAATCAAATGAGGTTGTCAAAAAAGAAGTCCAAAAGAATACCGTTGAAGCTGAAAAGAAAACTGTAAAAGAAATAACTCCCAAAAGAGGAAGACGTGTATCTAATACTAAAAATGCCAACTCAAATTGTGAAAAAGAAGATTTAAAAGAAACGAACGTCAATGAAATTTCAAAAGCTAGAAAAAGCAATTCTGTGTTCGAAAAAGGACTTGATATTACTAATAGGGTGAACATTACCGAATTAAGGTCAAAGAAGTTAAGTGATGATGGCCCAGATAGTAATTACACTACCAAAGCCCGAACATCAAAAAAATCTTTTGAGGATCTAAAAAATATGGATATCATCAACAAAGTTAAGATAACTGATTTAAAAACAAAAAAAGTAGTCGAAGATGAAAAAGCGATTGATGCTACCAACAAAGTAAAAATTATGGATTCTAAAGTTTCAAAAAATGATGCAGTAATGGATGAAGATAAAAGAATTGATCCTTCTGGGAAGGTTAAAACTGCAGAACATAAAATGTCAAAAAAACCTATTGCCGAAAATAAAGGTATCGATATTACTAATAAAGTAAAATTATCTGACCATAAAACAACAAAAAAGACTGAAAGTGAAAATGAAATAGAAATTATTAATAGAGTAAAAATATCAGATAACAAATCTTATAAAAAACTTAATGATGATGAAAATGAGGAAGACTCTAACCAAAATTCTTTTGACTCTAAGAAGAATAAAAGTTTTGACATGGATGATAAAAATATAATTAACACTGAAACAGATAACCTTAAAGAAAGTGAACCAAAGAAAAGAAAGAAATCAATTTCTGCAAATAGTAATATACTAGATGAAAAAAAATTAAAAAGAGTTACACGGCAATCATCTGGAGGGCCCTTAGATTCTGATGAAGTCATTCATGAAACTGGAGATACAAAATCAAACGTATCTGAAATCCATCAAAGTGATATGACAAAGGATGAAGTTGACAAATCTCAAATCAGAAGATCAAGTTTAAGTTCTAAAACCCAAAGTAGGAAAGATTTAGAAGGAAAATCTTTAGAAACTGTAGCAGTTGAAAAAGTCAAAATTGCTTCAATTGGAAAACGGAAATCTGCCAGTGATAGGGATAGCTGTGATACAATGAACAGTGAAAGTAGTGCAATAGTTGATTGTAAAGTTGTTTTAGAATCTTTGGAAGATGCTAGCAGAGATGTTCAGAGGTCCTCAAAAAAGCTGAAAGCAACTTCAAAAGATGTGAACACCGATCATCCGCCAAGTTGTAGCGCAGATGATAAAAAGGTGAAAAATAATGATATAATTGCTGTTGACTATAGAAATAATATTGCAACTGAAAATTCTGGCAATAATGAAGTAGAACTGTCAGAGGACAAAAAAGAACAAAAAGATGAAACACAAAAACCTAAACATTCAATCAGTGATACATGGAGGCAAGCATTTAAAAATGCAAAAATTCCTAAACCAGGACAGCTAAGTCCTGTTCCCCATACGGTTAAACCATTTGTTAGACAACAGAAGCTTCCAAATGTTTCTCTTTTAAATCCATCATTCTCTAATAAACCTCCTGAAATTCCTGATACTAAGCCCAGTGATGCTAATAAATCTCATAAGATTACATCTAACTTATCACCTTTCAAGGCAATGTTAGCCACTCAGAACCAAAGGAGTATTTCTCCTGACATAAAAAAAAATTCTTCTCCTGTTCATAAAATCAATTTTGGAGGACGAGACAGTCCTCTTAAAAGATGCGAAGAAATAAAAAATGATTATAAAAAACAAGAAACCCCTGTTAAAACTTTCACTCAACTTCAGTATGAAAAAAGAAGTTCTGAATTTATAAACAGCATTTCTGATTCAGTATCTTCAATTTTACCAGGTTTTGATAGTATAAAGCCCTTTAAAAAAGAAATAAAAAAAGAAGAATCGAAGGATTCAAAAGGAGACATTAGTGATAATCTATCAACAGCATCCTCTGAGCCAATACCAAAACCACCTCCTGAAGGTAAGCATTTAAATCTACCTTTGGCTGTTGAGCATACTTTGCGTAAAATGTCACCTGTGACAGTCAGCAAGAAGCCTGTTGTTGTCAAACCTGTGATAGCATCATTGGATCGGAAAAATGACAGCTCTCTGTTAAGTAAACAAAAACATGCACCAACTGAAATAAAAATAGAAAATCCATCGGATATTTCAGCTTCTCCTTCTGTCAGTGCTAGTTGTTCTCTTCCTTCAAGGGATCTGATGGTCAGAGAACCATCAGACATCAGTTTGATGGCTAAAAAAAAAGTCAGCATGACTACAGAAGAAATCAATAGGTGGCTTAATGACAACACCAGCTCTGGAATAGAGCATAAAAAAGACTGTGGTATCTTAGAAAATAATCAATGTGAATGTGGTTGTGGTTTTCGTTCCTGTAAAGAAGGCATGGAAAACAGTGTTGGGATGAGTGAACTAGTTGCCAAAGATGATGGAAAGATAGACCGTGGAGTTGTAGAACCTCCAGTTCAATTGAAAGAGTTAGACCAAGCACGTAAATATGAAGCAGAAACTATTTCTACCTGTAAAGTAGAAGATTACAAAGAAAAACTTTTAACTAAATCATCCAATTCTGAAAGTAAAATGGCACCTCCTAAACCTCGAAAATCTTCAGGTTTCGAAAAGTTCAAAAGCAATAGATCAATGACAGATGAAGAAATGTGTGATTTTGATTTTAGATTTGATAGGACATCTACCATTTCTCCTAGAGAATCTATGTCGGATCTTTCATCTATAACACCAAGGGATGATGGCTCTAGTTCTTCTGAAATGCCAGAAAGAAAGATTTTTCAACAGAGACGGTTAGGTACGAAAAGACCTTCATTATCTAAAAGTCCTAGTGCATTTTCGGCAGAAAATGAATCTAGTGTTTATGCATTCAAACCTGATCCACCTCCAAGTAAACCTTTTCGAAGAGGCCGAGGAAAGAGTGGTGAAAATGAAGATGGACCGTCTAGCTCATCAATAGCTGTTCAAGTAAATATAGAAACAGAGGCTGTCCTTGAATGTTCTACTCAGACTGATCGTGAGAATGATGAGAATGAAGGTCATTTATTTTATATACCACTCCCAGTCGGTCAAGTGGAGAGAGGACTACCTCAGGGTGTTGCTGTTAAGTTGGATACTGAAGGACCAGACCAAAGGGTCATCATGAGAGCTAAACTGGTCACGAAGCCAACTAACAACTACTCCTTGCCTTCCAGTTCAAGGTGAAGTAGAGCATGGTTGCTTGAGTTGTATTCACTTTCAAATATTTTTTTTCATTTGTGTTGCTTACTTGATTTTTGTAAATGTTTTAAGTTTCTTGGAATATTAGGGGTACAAGAACTAGAACTGATTATCAAAATTATTTTTATGAACCAGTTATTTTATGTATGGCTCGTATCAGTCAGATATATATATTATTCATGGTTTCAGTAAAAAATTTTAAACCAATAAGCTATAATTTTGCAAAATGTAGGTTTGTAGATATATTAAACTTCATAAACTCTTGCTTTTTTTAAAGAACGTTATTATTCTGTCTACTTTTAGCTTATCAGTAACAAACTTTACATGAGCACAGTATTTTGTTTGTTCAATTTCATTTAATGCATGATGGTTTTTACTAACTAAAAAATTGCTATCTGTTTATAATATCTGGTGATATCACATGTATTGGTGGCATAAGCGCATGGGGTGTTACTTGTGCAGACTGTAAGGCTCTTTTACTAGTCATCTGAAATATTTAAACATGGCTTTGTAACATTATGGTGTAAATAAAAAATGTTTGCATAATTTAATTTACAGAATGAATATCATAAAGTAAACAGTATAATAAAAAAAATAAATGAGTTGGAAGAATGATAATTTAATTATTAATAACGTTGCTATTATTATTAACAGGATGCTATGTAAAGCTTAGGTCCTGAGATAAGAATCACATGCTGTATGAATTTATTTTGCAAAAAAAAAAAAAATAAATAAAATAAACAATGCATGTGACCTTGTTCATGTTTATCTTAAATAATTTCTATAGTTGAACATTTGATTGAGTTGTACGAGTTTCACAATTGTATTTTGCTTATTCTGTGTAGTAGTGGAAGTGCACTTATAATTATTTTTTGTTGATTCTGCTGTTATTATTTAACAGTTTTTATTTTTTATTTTCTACCTATGATTCCACCCAGCCACATACAAGTATTTCTTGGCCCTTTTTCAATGTTCTCATTCATTCATTCATGTATGGCACAACATCCCGTCACCGAGACTGGGCCTCCTCCAAGAGCCTCCGCCAGTTGGCTCTATCTTCTGCTGCAGCTCTCCAGTTCCGCACACCAAGCAGGGTTCTCGCATCATAGGCCACGTTGTCCAACCATCTCGTCCTCGGCCTTCCTACCCGTCTTACGAGGTGCAGCTCCTCCATCATTATTTTTTTTGGTATTTCAAGGGTGCTCATTCTGGCCACATGCCCTGCCCACCTTAGTCTGGCCAGTTTAATATACGTGACTACGTCGATGTCTGCATAGAGAGAACTGAGCTCCCTATTTTTTCTTTTCCTCCAGACATCACCCTCCTTTACTGGACCATAAATCCTTCTGAGGACTCCTCGCTCAAAGACACTCAGCTTCATCTCATCCCTTTTGGTCATCGTCCAAGCCTCTGAGCCATATGTCAAAACAGGCCGAACAAGGGTCTTGTATATGATCAGCTTGGTCTTCTTTGAGAGGTACCTACTTCTTAAGTGTCGGCCAAGTCCAAAGACACATCTATTGGCAGCCGTGATCCTTCTTTGTATTTCTTGAGCCATGTCATTCTTGCTATTGATTTCAGACCCAAGGTATATAAAACTTTTCACTCTCTCAAACTTAAAAGAACCTACCTCAAATGGAGAGTTCATATCAACCTCACCGCCAACTCTCATATACTTAGTTTTCCTCTCGTTGACTTCTAGACCAAGTGGTCTTGCAGCTACTTCAAGGCTTATAAACGCTTCTCTGAGAGCCCGTTCAGACCTACCTACTATGTCAATATCATCAGCAAAACCAAGAAGCTGTGTCAGGCGATTGAAGATTATATCTTTGGTCTGAATACCGGAGTCTCTTACAGCTTTCTCCTCTGCCAAATTGAACAATAGACAGGCGAGGGCATCCCCTTGCCTAACCCCACTGCTCACTTTAAACTCTTCGGAGTCGTCAGAACCGACGCGTATTCTGCATCTCGAGCTGTCCATGGTCATCTTGATTAGGCGTACGAGCTTCTGAGGGATGCTTAGCTCCTCCAAGGCACAGTATAGTTGCGTTCTATCAACGCTGTCGTATGCTGCTTTAAAGTCCAGGAATAAATGGTGGGTGACTACCTTACGCTCCATAGTCTTTTCTAGGATCATCCTCAGAGAGAACAGTTGATCAGTCGTTGAGCGTCCTCTTCGAAATCCAGCCTGATATTTCCCCAGTTCCTTTTCAGAATACGGGAGGATCCTCTCAAAAAGAATGTTAGAGAGCAGCTTATAAGCACACGAAAGGAGTGAGATTCCTCGATAGTTAGCGCATTCTGTTTGATCTCCTTTCTTATGTATTGGGCAGATAATGGCTGTTGCCCATTCCGTAGGCATAGCTTCCTTCTCCCAGATGGTCAGCATTAAATCATGCAGAGCTTTCTTGAGTTCTTCACCTCCACATTTCAACAGCTCTGACTGAATTCCGTCCGGGCCTGGCGCCTTTCCATTTTTCAATTTCCTTAGGGCGTTTTCCATTTCCTCCTCATCCGGGGGTTCAATAGAATTCAGGGAGTCTTCCTTCATTACACCTACTTCTCCAGGCACCGTTCCTCTGTTTAATGCGCCTTTCAATGTTCTCAGTATGTATTAACTAACAGTAACTTTTTACAAGATATGGCCTTATATTAAATGTCTGTAGGATTTTTACTTTTGATTTTATGTATTTTAAATTTTGCACGGCTGATTTAAACAAAACTCATACTAAATAAATACTGTGATATAACCAGATATTATGCTGTTGTATATAAATTTTCACCTCTTTGCTTGATAATTAATTTATTCTATGTTTGTAAATGTACAGTTTTTCTTATTATTAAACTTGTGCTAACATTCTTTTAATATGAAAATTAACTTAATGAGGCAATGTCAATTTCAATATTTAAAAAGAAAGTCCAGTGAGGCAGTTATGAATTAATATTTTATATAAAAAGAATATACTTTTAAAAAATGGAAAATATGACTTGGAAAAAAAACATTATTTCAATTATTTGGATTAAATCATAACAAAATTGAAACCAACTTGAACAATTAAAAAAAAAAAAAAAAAAACTCGTACAACTACCCATGAAGAGTCTGGTTCAAAATTTGGTAATGGAGCAGAGATGGCACCATTATCAGTGATTGTGATTACATGAGATAAAATTTAGAAAATATCTTTCTTCTGGAATAAAGTATTTTTTCAATAACAAAAGTGAACTGAAAACTAAGGATCATTTCTAGCCAAAAGGTTTTTTACATTAAATAAATAAAAAAATATGTTTACAATATGTAGTCATTGATAATACTATCTCTGTAATAAAGAAATTTTTTTTTACCAATGGTTTTACAAGGATGTGATCTAGCCAGGATCATACTCGACTCTTCAGGTTTTTTTTTTCTCTAACTCATTAAAGGATCAAGTACCATTTTGTGACCATAAAGTTGGTCAAGGGACAAAAAAAAAAAAAATAATTATCTTCTACCGCTGGACTATAACTTATGTTAATGTTATGAGTCTAGTGTCTTTCCCACTTAACTACCTTTAACCAACAGAAGTAAATAAAATTCAAAATTTTACTTAAAAATACTAAACGAATAAATAATGATTTTTAAAAAAAAGTGTTATGTCATTCAAACCTTTTAATTAAAAACTGAAAAAATGGTTTGCATGATAAAAATTATATTTTTTCTCAGTTCTTATTATTATTATCATTATCTTAAATAGTATCTAGTGGCCTTAGAACTGAAATTTGCCCTAATTTTATGTTACAAGCTAGATTTTTCCCATTCGTCCTATTATTTTTAATTTTTTGATTTGAAGTTGTGTTGATTATTTATTACCATTTATAATTATTGAAAGTGTATATATTCATAATAGTTTTAATGTTTTTCTTTAAAATGCGTTGAATTAATTATTATTAAAAAGCCAAGGCCCTCCAGAAATGTGTCCAGGAAGCCAATAGTTTGGAATAAGAGAAGAGAGGTAGAAGCGTTTGTAGAGCTGAGTGAATAAGACCCTAAACTCCTAACACCATGCCCTTGTCTGACAAACATCTGGTTGTGACAAATTATTATTAATTCTATTTTTTATACCCATTCCAACCTCTTTATAGTAGCTAGTCGTATTTGAGTGAAAAGCTTGGCAGTTGAGTGTGATCTTGGCCTGGTCACTTTGCACAACTATCCACCTCATTTAATCATAATTTTCTTTAGTATTTTTTTAGCTCAGTCATATTTCAGTCAAAGTATCAATGTTGATTTGATAATAAGAATTATTTAAATAAAATTTATCATAGCCTATTTTTTATATACTGTTTTATTTCAATGCGAACATTTTTTTTTTTTTTTTGCATGAAACTAGTTTGTGCGTATCCTCGATATTAATCTATTTCCTTCAAAGTCAGCTGAATAAATTGCTGATAAAAATATTAACTCGAATATTTTTTTTTTTTTAATATATAAATGTAAGTAGTATTCTATGTTGTTTTAGAAGCTAGCTCGTTGGCAAATCATTGATGTTATCCTGCATGATTTCCATTTTTTATTTTATAAGAATAACCTTTTAATCTTTTTAACCAAACCATATATTTGAAATATAATTCTTATATGTGTAAATTTAATATTAAAAGAATTAAGGTATTGAGCAAATAAATTGAATTGAGGTAGCAAATAAATTTTCAATTGGAAAAAAAAAATTGATTAAACATGGGAAACTAACTGATATTCCATTAGGAATATTCTGTCTCAATTGAAGTTTGTGGAGCTGTCACGTTTAATATTTTAAGATCAATTGAAAACTGTTTTCCTTCTGCAGAGCCCTTGTTACTTCTGGCCGCAATTCAAGCCAACAGAAGCCTGAACAGAAAGTTAGGCCACTTTGGTCTGGTCGTGCCCCGATCGGTACAGTGCAGCCAACCTTGAGAGAACAGCGAACTAGCGATCAGGGTACCACAACAAGCCAGGAGAAAGGGCAATCCGTTCAATCTTCTCAATCCAATCAAACTACTCAAATCAATCAGAATAGTCCAAAAGGGCCTGATAGTCCCAGGATAAAAAAGTGAGATTTTAAAATATTAATTTATTTTTAGTTTAGTGTTTTCCATGTTTAATAGTTGTTAACTTCTGTTTTTATTTTTTATAAAATGCTGTGTACTAATATCTAATATTTTCACTGTTGGAGTGTATGTTGCTTCAAACTAGCACCAGAAGTGTGTAACTAACTGTTTGCATGTCAACTAGCTTATGAGGTATTTGAGCTCACATAAAATTTTGTTTACCTTAACAATTATATCATTGAAAAGCTAAAAGTTGTGACAAAAACAAATGAAAATACAATTTAAAAAAAAATTAAGTTAGTTATCTAAGGTTGGTTTTGATTCCATATTAATCAGTATTCACAGTGGATTCTCATTTACCCTGTATTACATCTAAAGTAATTGACAAAATGTGATAAGAAGGAGGGACAAATTTGATTGCATTGTTGATTTAGGTTTCCCACATATATTATTACAGTAAGGATTGAAATTGTTTTTGTACCAAATATAAGCTGCAAAGTCATGCTCAAATGGTATGAATGGGGTCCCATTGATTCAGAATTTCACGGAGAGGTTAGCAAATCATACTCTCTGCTTTTGTTTTTCTTTCTATAATAAATAAAGTTAGTACAAACATTTCGCTAGGCTTCAATACTGGGGAACTATGGTAAGTTGGTGGATCACTACGGGTTTTGAAGATTTTGATGCCGATACCAAGCTCTACTTTTTTAAGCCCAAATAATTACCATTTTTGAGATAATGCAAGGCACACAACATCACGTTACTTGTAGTGCTACCATGGGATACATGTCATGACATGTCGTCGCCTTGAGGTCCCTATGATTCAGAGGCGTTTATATTATTTATCAAAGGTGTTTATTTTGTTGGTAAGCCATATCTTCATTGATTCTTTATCAAATCCCAAGATTGAGCCATCATTTTGAAAGTTTCCTTCTTCAGGTGAGAAAAATAATCTCATCTTCCAAAATTTCAGGAAAAAATTTATGTGGGAAAAGAAACTCAATTAAATCAAAAAGTATTTACTTTTTGTCAATTACATCAATTGTTATTTAAAATATTACTAAATTCCATACAAAAAAAAAAAAAAAAAAAAAAAAATGATCGAAATCAGACTATTATTGGCAAAGGTACAGTTTATTGAAATCTATAAACATGTTGGTTTAAAACATGAATGAAGTTTTCATTTCTTTTGTAATTATAATTACTGAGAAAATTGATTTCTCCATCATATGATATGATGTTTCATTATTTTATTTTCTTATTAATTTTGTCATTTGATAACTGATTAATTTACTGTGTGCATTATTTGCACAGGCCGACTGGTATTTATTAATAGCTTCTAATAAGGCTTAGCAAAATTGAAGGTTTGATACTGACAATACTAACAATCATTATTTACCTCCATCTATTTATGTCCAAGTCAGCGAGATCAGACTTATTACAATTATTCTGTCTACCTCTTTGTCTTGAGTTATTTTCTTCCTATCTCCTTTTTATCTTTACAGTATTCGACAGAAATGACATAGTGCCAGTGCCCACATACTGAAATTTATTTTGCATGTCTATCCTCAATTCTGTCAGTACTTCAATCTCTGAGGGTATCCCAACATTGGTCCTCTCTTTTTCCTTCGCACTCTAAGGTGTAGTAAGTTAGACCAAAACATCTCCTCACATAAGTGAATATTTTTACTGTTTTACTGATTATTTATTATCCAAGATAGACTTAGAATCTATTATGCAATATCTTTAAATCATAAAAGATTTTATAGAAAAATAACTTATCTTTTTGAAAATACTGTAGTGTTACATTGTAAATATTTTGAATATAATAAAATAATCGTGGAGAAATGTAGATACTTTTAGTAGGAGAAGTCGATTATTGTAATTTTAGTGGAGAAGGCACAAAGAAGACAAATAGTTGTTTGTATACTTCACTGACTGCACCCCCTAACTAACTTCTCCAAATAATGAAATAATCCTTTCATCTTGTTTCTATTTGGCTGGGAAATTTCAATTTTTAACATTAAGAAGTTAAATTAAAAAGAAAAAGTCTTGGTTTAAAATTGCTAACTTGATCTATTGATATAAAAATATTCTTGTTATAATATCTTATTTTGTGTTATTGAATTAAAAAATATTTCAGCTTATCGAAACCACAGAAAGTAGATGAATTTCCATTAAATGGCACTCCTGCAACACTTGTCGAGGCTCCTACATTCTATCCTACTGAAAAAGAATTTCAGGATCCTCTCGAATACATAGAGTATCTGACACCTCTTGCACAATCTTTTGGGATTTGTAGGATAGTACCACCTTCAAGCTTTAAGGTAAAAATAGAAGTTTTATTTGTAAAAATAAAATATTTGGAAATAGAATTAATGTTTTCTGATAGAAGAAATAAATATATATTAATTTTAGTACATCATTTAACTGCATTTTTTTTTCCTTTTTTAGCCTGAGTGTAAGGTGGCTGACGATATGAGATTCACAGCTTATAACCAATACGTTCATAAAATGATGGAAAGATGGGGTCCGAATGTGAGAGAAATGTGTGCTATCCGAAAATATTTAAGAACTCAAAGTATTTCGCTGGTGCAGGTTCCTTCCGTAAGTATTTTTTTAAATATATAGTTATAAAATTTATTCTGATTTAATACTTAATAAATTACATAAATTTCTTTACTGATTGTTCATAAAGCAGTATTTTATTGATATAATAAATAAATCCAATAAAGATGAAGTTAATTATGTGAAAAGATTATCAAATGATGTTACTTAATTGTTCACAGATTGGAAGCATGGAAGTAGACTTGCCGAGATTATATCAAACAGTTCAGCAGTGTGGGGGATTGAAAGAAGTAATTGAGAAAAAGCGATGGGCTCGTGTTGCTGATGCTATGCGTATACCAAAGTTGGCTCAAGATAGAGTTACCAAATTAGACGATATTTACTGCAAGTTCTTGTTGCCATATGATACACTTTCTCATGGTAAATAATTGTTTTTAGTTATAGATACTTTATATACTGTAAACTTAAAAAAATATTTATTCAATTTAAAATATTTATTTAATTTAAAACCTCTGGCCCGGGAAAATCCTGTATAGCCTAAAAGGTGATGTAGGGGGGAAGAACAGAAAAAAAAATCAGTTTATTTTCATTTCTTGTCTTAATTTTCATTTTCATTTTAATTTGTATTTATTTCCCTGATTATCACTCTATTTTCCTCAGCTTCATGGTTTTACTTCAATTATGGTCAGAAGCCTCTATTTAGTCTTTGGTTTTTAGCTAAAATCATTAGTATCCTATCTAATAGTAAATAGTGGAAAAAAAAGTTTACACTTGATTTTTTTTGGTGAAATTCAAATCTTAAAAATCTTACCTAACAGGAGAATGATCAACATTTAGCTCCATATACTTACTCCAAAAATATAATATTTCACTAGCCTTACCTAATTGCTCTCATTCACACATATGGCATTCATTAGAGTTGTAATTTTATGCTGCTACAGTATTGCTGATCAATAAATTAATTTTAAGTGTATTTGTCGTTGTATGGTTATCATAATTTTTTTCTATTTCAGAGGAGAGAAATAAATTATTAGAAGAAGTTGAGGACGAATGGAAAGAACGTCAAAAGAGGATAGCTGCAGCTGAAGAGGAATCAGGAAGTGCTGATAATAGTAGTGAGGAGAGTGATACTGATGAAAGAGAGGAGTGTATCGCTAAGGTAACTTAAAACATTTTATTTTGGTTTGCTTATTATTTCGAAGCCCGATTTTTCTTGGCAATATATTGTCTTCCACATACTTTTTCTTTGAAAGGACATATTTTGCTAACAACTTCAGTTTTGCGAAGCTAAAGACATACTTTCTTTTGTGGGTGCCTGTATTTTTTTTTTTTTTTTTTTTTTTGTTTATTACAAATTAAATTTGGATTATATATACCTGTTTCTTACCAATGATGAGTACATGACCTGATGCATCTGGTTAACTGAATAATATCCAAAATTTAGTTAGCTTAAGCAAGAGAACTGATTAAATTAAAAAAAAAAAAGATTTGAAGTTTTTATTTTTGAGAATATCCAATGACATTTTTTACTGGTTCCTAATCAAACGTGGCGGTATAATGTTATTTATTTTTTAAAATACAAAATAAAACATCAATACAATAAAATTAAAATAAAATTGGATCGAAAAAATTATTTGAGCTCTATCTTACATTACATGTACTTCTTTATGATCCCAGAAAGTCATTTAAAAATTTGGAGAATTTGTGGAGATGGTCCACTTACTCAAAATTTCAACACTTAAAATTAAGCTTTATTTGAGAATCACCTTTATAGTGTTTTTTTTTTTTCAAAAAAATAAATAAAATGAAACAGTTTATATATCTTCCAGTCTAGCTTCCAGTTCACTAGTAACCTCATTGCAAACTATACAGCTGTGGTCATAGCAAGGGAAAATAAATATTTGACAAGTTGTTTAAAAAATGGATCTCCACTAGTTTGAAGCTGGTTTCATGGTTGGTTTAATTGAGTTTTTCTGTGGAGATTGGTTTAGAAAATGCTGAACCTGGGTGTTAGCCCAATCCATTGCTTATTTTCTTTCACTCTCTCAATCACTTTCACACCATATTATACAATTTACTCTATTTACTGTAGACCATAATGATTTTGTTATTGATGTAATTTTTTAGATTCTTCATTTTAAATTTTATATATTTTTTTTTAGGGAAGAAGTATGCCTTTATCTGCATTCTTTCGTACTGCTAGGAATACAATGGCAATGTGGTTTAAAGATGGAGCCCCAACAGCTGCGGAGGTGGAAGCTGAGTATTGGAAGCACGTTTCTCAGAAAACATGTCATGTGTGTGTTCATTCAGGCTCCATTGATTGTGCCACTTGGGGATGTGGTTTTCCCACCACCAAATCGTCTGCCACATCACGCCATCCTTGGAATCTTAAGGTTCTTACAAATAATCCTGGAAACATTCTACGTTCGCTTGGTCCTGTTATGGGTAATTATCATCATTATCTGCAAAAACAAATTTTTTAGTTAAAATTCATAAATTTGAAACCAATATTTTTGTTTAAATGATTGCTTTATATTAAATTAAGTTGCCTATCAATTTAAGTTAATTTATTGAAAAGTTTATTTTTTTCATAATTATGTTTTATTTTTAATATGAATTGGAACCAAAAGAAATATTTTATAGATTCATAATGGTTAGAACAAAATATCTTTGTACAAAGTAGTGATGTTTTTTGTAGCTCATGAGGCCTACTATCATCTATTTAAATATGCCATATCTACTTATTATGGGATATTCTGTTTATAATTTTTTTTATTGTATTTTATTATTTATTAAAAAGTAAAATGTTTAATAATTAATTTTAGGTATTACAGTTCCTACACTCCATGTAGGGATGTTATTTTCTTCATGCTGTTGGTACCGAGACCCTCATGCTCTTCCATGGATTGAATATTTACACACTGGGGCTAGCAAAATATGGTAAGAATAAATTTTTGTCCTCTAACTTTATTTATTATTTGACTAATATACACAATACACAATATTAAAACATACATATTATATTACAAGATATTATATTACAAATAACATACATACAATATTACAACATACATACACAATATTGGTACATGAATCTTAACTGTTGCAATAATAGTTAAGATTCATGTAGCATCAATCACTATAGTTTATTATTTACCTTTGTCGGTCATGTAATATTATATCTCTGATTGTATTTTAAAATTTTCAGCCCTGAAGATGAACCTCATGTTTAGGTTGAAACGTTGGCACAAATAAAAAAATTTGTATAATGACTGCGTCCTGACTATTTATCACCCATGATACGTAGAACAGTCCACTAGCTTCCTTCAATAATAATAAGAACCATTCAAATATTGCATGGTCATAATAAGCACTTTAATAACTAAAATCTTTCTACTCCAAAATCTCAACCTAAAAAATTTAGTGCAATCTAAAAACCCCATTGCACAGAATCTCAGTAGACACTAGGTCTGGAGTGGTCGCTCCACTTGCTTCACCCTTCACGACTCTGATCACAGATTGGTATTAGAGATATAGACGAAATTTAAACTTTTAGCATTGAAGATTTTCCATAATCAATCTTAATAAGGCATTCATTAGAATAATCAAATTAAACAGACTGTATTTACACTTCAAAAGCTATATTATAATTTTTAATTGACTAATGAATTAATTATTATAGTATTTCTTACATTTTTTTTTAATGCCATTCCCTAAAATTATGTATTAACAATTCATCTCAAAAAATGTTATGCACCTGTCAACTAAGTTGTTTTCATTTATTTATAATTCTTGTTGATTTCATAATTTGTTATGATATCGCATTAAAAGGAATTATTTTATAAATTTAATTGGATAAATATTTTTATGATTGAGACGGTCTGTTTCAAAACCAGCTCAGTCAGCTTTTCTTGAGGAAAAACCAAAAACATGATTGTTCCCTATTTGACTTAGGTAAATCCATGAGTTTGAACCCATTTTTATACAGCATTGAGACGCTTTCGGTAAATATAACTAGTTGATGGTGTAATGTATTGATGCATAATAAAAGATCAATAAAAAAAATTGTGAAATAAGTGGATTGAACTGGTTTGGAAACTAACTGTCTCAATTATTGTTACAGAATACATGTAATTTACTTTACATTTAGTCATAGTACTCATGTTTTAGGTATGGAGTACCTGATTCGTGGTGTAGTGAACTAAGGCAAGCGATGTACCCACTTCTTCCCCGCCATACCAGAGATCGTACAATATGGCTCCCTTCAGATACTATGATGGTACCGCCTACTTACCTTCTTGATGGCGGAGCTTCTGTTTGTCGTGTTGTCCAAGAGCCGGGTCAATTTATACTTGTCTTCCCAAAATCCTTTACTTCCAGCGTATCAACTGGCTATGTTGTTTCAGAAAGTGTCTATTTTGCCCAACCTTCTTGGCTCAATACAGCAGAACAAGTTTTTAAGGTAATTTATGTTTTTTAAAATTTATACTAATTAACATAATTTGAAAAGTTAGAGGTATTACCATAAATATTATTTTTTCTAAGATTGGATTCTATACTTGTAAATCCTGTAGATACTTATATAGCAAATGATATCTATTTTGCTTCCTCACTACCGAAGGTAGGGAAGCTTTGTATTTGTGCGAGAGGTTTAAAAAAAAAATGTGCTCAGAATCGAAAATTTCCACTCGCGTTTTAGTTTCAGAGATCAAGGATCAGTGTCTGTCTGTAGTCAAATCAATGTAATGGCATATCACCTACTACCATTTATCCGATTTTTATGAAATTTTCAGGGATTATGTGGCTTGGTGTCTAAGTTAAGGTACGGAGCGGGACAATATTAGCGTTAATACCAAATGCATTGATGTAAACAATCTCAGAATGTATTTATAGAGGATTAGAAGGAGAAAAAAACCAGTCTTGATTTCGTCTTCATGCGTGTTATTTCTTAAACCTATTACTTTTTATTAAGTGTTTCAAGCCCGCTACGCTTAACTGGTGCCGAAACCCGGGAACGAACCAGGGACCTTATCAATTTTATTAAATTCTATCCAGCAGTTCTGCTTACTCTCCCGCAAAAGTATTTTTTTAGATATGCCAATATTTCAGAAACGGCATTTGTTTGATTTAGTCCAAAGTTGGATAAAAGGTAGTCATTAGTAAAAAAATAATGTAGAATCAATTTTATTGAATTCTGTTCACTACTTTCTCGTATATATGTGTAAACATGTTTTCCTTGATATCTATATATCTCTAAAACCACATGTTCGATTTGGATAAAATTTGGAAAGAAGTTAGGGATTTGTAAAGAGATAATTAAGTATTTATCAATTTTATTTTACCTTCAAAAAAATACTTCCGCTTTCAGATCAGGAAGCGTATTATTTGACATGCCCATAGTTTTAAAATAGTTTGTTCGATTTTACCCAAACTTTGGAGAATAGTACAACGATGATTAGTATAGCAGTATAGTATTAATGTCATTGAATGAAAAAAATTAATATAAATAACTATTAGCAATATAATGGCTGTGAAATGTGGAAGGCATTGATCTTATGGAATAGGGATTAGGTTAGTGCAATATTTTTATGAGGTTATAAAAATTTTTATTTTTTATTCAAAAAGTTAATTTATACTATATTGTTTGGTCGATTCCAATCGTTACTGGTATAACGCTGACGTTACTTAGATTTCATGTAATTTTCGGTAAATTTAAATTAATTTTTACTCTAAGTTTGTAAAAAAAAAAAGTCTTATTTGTGTTTGTGTTTATTTCTGTTTAAGTTCAACCAGCTTGTCGTGGTTTCAATTTTCTCTATAAACATCAAAATTGTGTGAACTTCACTCATATTTTTATATTCCAGCTTAAATTATTTTTGTTCTGACTGAGGAAAAATATTAGTCTCGTTAACTCCGAACAAACAAAAAGTTGAATTTTTCCAATGGATTTTTTGTTCCACCCATTTTACGAGTGACAAAATACCTATTAAGTATATATCACTGCTGTTTGTGCAAAAGGTTGTATATAAAAATTTTCAATGTTTATTCCATTAGTACTAAACATTTTGTAGTCTGCAACTGATATAGGTAGTTTGCTACTTTGGAAAATAGCAGAGTACAATAAAATATGAATTGGTACTAATAAATCATAAAGAAATAATTAGTTTTTATGCTTTCCTGTAAAACACTCAATTTTTACATATATTTTTTGCACTAACAATAGTGATATGCATGTTCACTATGTACTGAGATTTTGTTTTAAATCATGAATCATCAAATACCCATCTGCAAATGTGGAACTCTTCCATATTTTAGTATCCACTGATGAACAAAACTCGTGGATATCAAGCCCACGAATGTTGAGGGATTACTATATTTCTGGAAACAGCTTCTTCCGGCAATTTTACTCACATACAAATAATTATAGATCATGAAATATAGATATTGTTTAGCCAATGAAAATGGTTAGGAAGCTGTACTTGGTAGACATATTTTTCTATTTAGATTCTATATATATAAATATTACAAATATAGTTTTATCCATTGAATTTTGATTGACCTATATATAGTGTTTGTTTATCGACCAACAAGATGGTTTTTGGTTTATTTTAATACGTGTTTATGATTTGGAACTTTTATCCCATTACTAAAATTTTTGTAGCTAATAGAATATCAAGTGTATATTAGCTACATTTATTCCTGATAATAAAAGAACAAATAATATATTAAAACTTGTATACCTAATTACCAAAATTCACATGAATAAATGATAAAAAACACAGTAAATGAGTCATATCCACCTTCATATTAGAAAGAAACCATATTTATATCTATTTTCAAAGTGTATTCTGTATTTTTTAAAGGATATTCTTGACAGCTGTGAACCACCGGTTTTCTCTTTTCACAAACTTCTATTTAATATTGCTAATGATGCAAGAGCTTCAGCTGAAACTCTAAACCAGGTAATTATTTAACAATAATATGGCTTTATAGATATAAGAACCCTAAAGTTTGATCCCGATAATACCAGCAATTTTTGCCTATATATTATTTCTCTCTCCATACTCCAGCCCTACTAAAACCCAAATTAAAAAGTTCAAACATAATACAATCCTCTCATCTATTCCTTGGTGTTTACCCATTCAGCATTTTTAAGAATTCATTGTTACCAAGCCTATAATCATTTGTTAGCACATAGCCAGATTTTTACTTCGGGGGTTTTATTAATTTTACAATCCTAATAATTTTTCCTGTTGATTAATTTGGAGAAGGAATCAAATCAGTTGTTATTTAATAAGATTTTACCCCTTTAACTTAAATTGGAGGAGAATCCGAAGTTACCCATCCCTTTCCCCTGGTTATTTTCCTCGACTTTTAAACCATATGAATTTATTTAGTGACATATAATACTTGAATTTTTTAATAGTCAAGTAGTTTCTATGGGTTGATCCTTAGGACCATGGGATGTGGTTCATTATGAGATAGGATTGGCTTCAAATTTATTTAAGGTTGATAATAAAGAAATGTAAAATTTCATTATGCTTGGTATTTATAATCTGTTAAGTATTTTAAGTATTGATACTTATAGATTTCAACTTCATAATTTTTTACATTTTAAATTTGTTAACAGTTTTTAGGTTTTTTCATTTTTATGAACACTGATTAATTGATACTATTGTGGCTTTTGAAGTTTTTCATTTTACAGAACATTTGTAAATATTACTATATTTATAGAACTCTTTCCTTTCTTTCTTAAAACTATTAAACATTTTTCTGAAACTTCTATTATAATTTAAAAAAAAAAAATTCATATCCATTGATAAAAATAAAATACCTAATTTGTTATGCTACTAAGTAAATTTTGTTGTTGTTATTTATTAGAAAATATAAACAGTTTATTGGCCTTAGAGTTAGTTTATCTCAATAGTAATTATTTTTCAATAAATAGTACGCAATTACCAGAAGTCATACAAAGTAAATACATTAATAAATTATGATATTAAATAGTATATTTATTTACTTTTTCAAAGTAAATGATTATAAACTATATAGTATTCTCTAGTACTATTGAAGCATTTTTCAAGTAAAATTTTTAACAATAATTAATACTTTTATTACTCAGGTTTTGCCAATGGTGAAGTCTGTTGTTGAACAAGAAGTTGAATCAAGAAAGAAACTAGAAAAACTCGGTTTAACATCATGGGAAAGAATTCCGTCATCTAAAGGGAGAAGAAATAAGAAACAAGAAGAAGAACCAACTGACTTGGAGTGTGATATTTGTCGTGGGGCATTCTTTTTGTCTATGGTATGCATAGCATTGCTCTCAGTCTTTTTCTTATATGTCTATTGAATTACAAATTTTTAGTAATAAATGTACTCTATTTCCCATTAGTGAAAACAAAGTTATTTCTTTTGTTTTTTACTCAAATGTCTGAGGTAGAGGGAGTCCTCATTTTTAAAGTCCTTTATTTCTCATTGAATTCCTAATATTTTGTTTCAAAGGTTACGTTAATTGTCAATATAAATTTACTATATTGAGGAACACTTCAACTCACTTGTGCTTTAATTCATTTCAACATATGACATATTCGCCCATTTTGAAGTCTATAAACATATATTTTATGGTTGTCCGAAATTTTAAATTTTATTGTCATGACAAAATAATGTCAAACTGTTTGTTACAGTTCTCCTTGACTACCAAACTGTTGTTATTTAAATTGTAACAGCTCAGACAAAAAAAAAACAAAAACATTTTTTAACGTTTTATATTACATTTAAAGCTATTAAATATTATAATAATATGCAACTTTTAAATTATAATTTAAGTTCATTGTTAACATGTTGACTGCCCATCTACAAGATGATTCCTAGCAAGTGTTCTTAATTAGGACACCAACTGCGAATTATCTTGTAGTTTCTTTAACTACCATATTTTTGTAGCTATGATTAGATTGACTTTTTGAGCCAGAATCCTGAAAAGTTCAGTGGGCAATCATCATGTTAAATAAGAAAATGGATTTTAAAAATATTATTTTAAATAAACATACCTAAGGAAGATCACAAATCAAATAACTTTTTTAAAATTTAGATATGATTTTATTAAAAAAATTGACAAATAATTTAGTGTAACCAAGTCCAATTAAAGTAACATTCATAAAATTAATTTTCAGGTGACTAATTCTAATGAAGATTGCAGTTACTGCATAGATAACGCAATTGAAGTTCTTACCAAAGATCAGAGCCTTCTCAAGTATTGCAAATTGAAATTTGCTTACGATGAAGTATGTTTTTTTTTGTAATTTAATTTTAATTAATTTTAATTTAATTTAATTTTAAGGTATCACAAATTTTAAGAAAAAATGTAACTTATCCTGAATATTTATTGATAATTTGAATTGATAAATTTTGAATAATTTATCATTTGTAAACACTGTATTGAGCTAAGACTAGCAAATAAGTATTGGTGAAACGAAGAGGTCGCTCAAACAGTGGATATTAAGATATGGCTCTCGACCAATAGCTGTTTTACTACAGGACTACTTTCTTAATAAGAGAGAAAGGCTATGGAAAAGTTTTGAGGTAGAAATTGTATAAAGATCACTGCATCTGTAGTCAAAAAGTGAAAGGCTAAAATCAATAAAGATTTAATCCCAACACAAGATAGCCCTTGTTTAATATCTGAGAGTTGAAAAATTATTATTCGTTTTACTGTAGGAAGAGAAAATAAATTACAAACTGAAAAATTACCTGAGTAATTATGGGATTAATAGTGTCTCTTCGGAAGAAATAGAAAGAGTTCATAAGAAGATTTAAAATAGTAGGTCTGTAGAACCTGGGACATGCTGGTTAAACTCATCAAAACAGGGTCTGTTGAACTGAGGTAGCAAAGGAGAAGGGATTTTCATTAAAACAAAATAAAATATTACTTGGTGAAAATAACATAATCCAATTCATAAGTTCCCATTTTATAAATGTCTGTTAAGAGATCTTAATATGTATCTCAGTGATGAAACATTGACTGTCTGCTTCTTTTAGAGGGATCTCTGTTGCTAAGAATTCTAAATTTTTAAACTCCCGGAATGGTACTTTTGATCATTATTCTTAAGGAGGAATGGTCCATTCGAGAGAGGTGTCTCTTAGGATTCACTTAATCCCCACATGTATCATTTTACTTAATTTTAATTTAATTTAATTTTAAGGTATTACAAATTTTAAGAAGAAATTTAACTTATCCTTAAGTTGAAATTAACTTATCATTTCACTAAGGCTCAAAATTGATTTTGTTTGAAATATAAGCTCCTGTCATGCTCAAATGCCATGATTAGGTACCGTTGAATTCAGAATTTCACATTGGGTTAGCAGATCATATTATTTTTTGTTTGTCTTCTAAAATAAATAAATTCGATATAAACATTTCGCTTGAATTCAATACTGGGACAGTTGGTAAGTTGGTGAATTGAGATGGGACAAATTGGGATTTAAAAAATTTGTTGCGCAGATCAAGACTTGTGTTCCTTCGGAACTACTGAATCCAAAAATGTATCTTTTTTCAGATAAGGCAAGGAAAAGGGTTTGCAGCCACACATCAAGTTAATCGTAGTGCTGCCATGTTGTCATAATTAGCAAAGATACAGACAGCTTATTTTAATTTGTAAACTTGTTGCTTTTAGACATGAATGTAGTTTTAAATTTTTTTTTTTTCTTTGGTTTATTATATTTACTGATAAAATAATAATTGATTTTTCCATGCTTTTATACCTTTCATCATTTTATTTTCTTATTATTGACCAATGTAATTTGTGATTTACACTGGCCAGGCCAACTAATATTAGTATAATAATGGAAAGAAAAAATTGAAGGATTGATTTTATACCACGATTATTCAATCGATTAAGTGGCAAAGTGAATGTGTAAACGGATCCAAATGGACAGTTTCCTGTTTACAGATTTGTCTTGCCATTCATGTAAATGATTAAGATAATTAATTTTTTTAAGTAATAAGATTCTATTTTTTAAAAATATATGTCTATTCATAGGAAGAAATGGAGGAACTTATTGAAAAAGTAAAGAATAAAATAGAAACTAAAACTCAGAAGAAACAAGCTAAAGAAAAAGGGAGCTCTAGTGGATCTAAGAATTAACATTTTTTAGAAACAAGTCTAGTAAACAACCAAAACTTTGACTCAGCCTAGTCCGAAATAGTCAATCTTCACCATTTTATTTAATAAAATATGATATTCCTGTAAGGTTACATCAGTATATCAATACATGTATAAAGATCTTAGTTAAGAAATTAAATATATTTTGTAAATATTTGCCCCGTTTTGATAAACTGATGAATTATCTATTAAAATGTAAATAAAATCTGGCTTGTTCTAAGAGTAACCAGTTAAAAGAATTATTATACCAAAGTATTCTTTTATATTAGTTCCTTACAAGAAAAAAAAAAGTAATATAAAAGATTAAGGATGATGGTAAGTTGAAAATTGGTGCTTAGAAAGATGTAAACTTAAATAAAGCTTTATCTGACAATATCATAGAAAAACATTTTTTTTTTATTTATCTAGAAATTTCACTGTTTATCATGAAAGATATATGTTTTTTAAAATGAAAAAACTGAATAAGTTTTCTATAATAATGCTTAGTTCTCCCTTGACATTGCCTTAATTAATCATATACCTGTAGAATGCTTTAAATGTAAACTAGGTGAAACATTAGTAATTTATTTTTTATATTTGTATACCATAGACATGGTCTTTCAACACTAGTGGTTATATAAATTCTGTATTAAAATGCATTTTAAAAACTGTTAAATATTTAAAACATTTATTACATATTTTTAATATAGAGATTTATGTACATAAAGTATTGTTTTGCTTTTTATGAAAATGCTTGCTTTTTTTCTTTAATATGGTTCGGTAACTATTTGTTAACGATCTAAAAACTTGAAAAAGTTTTGAGTATTAACTGTTAAAATATTTAAAAGTTTGATTTCAAAACTGTCTATGTTAGTAATGTATTATGACCATACTTTAATTAGGACTATATTCATAAAGAAATATAACATTTATAATTGAGGAATTATAGGTAAATTTGTAATAGTGAAATTAAAAAAGTAAATATGTCAATTTTATTTTGTGTTGATTATACATATAGTATACCCTGTTCTCTTAGTAACTAACTTCAATTGCAACTTAATAAGTTCACCAAAATTGTTTTATGTAGTATTGTTTGTAAATTATTTAATATGAAAATTGTTTTAAGTATATATATAGATTTTGTTCATTGTTTATTATGTACATTTTTGGCTTATTTTGATATTTATGTAAATTGATTTGTACACTTACCATAAATTATACTTACCTATTTGATTTTATATGTACTTTATTAATATCCTGGTCTGATGCTGTTACTAGATTTTATTTCAAAAACTGTTATTTATGGATTAGTACTCCTGTCTGTGTTGGATGGTGACAGTTGAGCTTCGTATTTTCATTATTTACCTCACTTAAATTGGGATAAATTTGATTTCATATCTATTTTAATCCTAAATATTTTTCAAAATGCTGGTTCTAGAGATTTTGTTTCATACATCATTTGAGAAATTTGGTATCAAAAGTGGTCATCTCCACATCCACTTTTATTGGTAAATTGACAGTAACAACTATGTTTTTCCACCATTTGAAGGCTTTAAATTTGATTGAAAAAGCAATCTTTAAAATTTATTAATCATGTTTCTCGACAGGATTGGGTGAGGCAAGTGAAATCCTTAATAATAGCTCAATGGAATGAGATCTGGAGAAGAAATCCCTCCAAACTAGTCCAGTGCTAAATGGTGCACTATTAACAGGAAGTGAAGAAAACAGGAAATAATCCTGTGCCTCCTCTGAATTGGTCACTTTGAATTTTCGCACAGCTACCTACTCCATGGTCGAGGACCACCTACCTGCATCAGATGTGGTTACCCAAGAACTTTGAACTACATACTCATAGACTAAACACTATGCAGCCAAAAGGAAGAAAACCTTAACATGCACAGAACTGTCCAGGAAACGTTAGAGGATACAGAGAGAGATGTGGCAATCCTGATGAATTTATTTTTAAAAAAACAACTGAATTCTACAATAGAATATAGAAAATCTTCTTGAAGAAAGAATTGCCAACGGCCCTATTAGGTAGAGAGAAATTCAGTAAATAAATAAAATCAGGTACATTAATTATGAGATACCAATTTTAGGAAATATTATAGAGTGCTACCAATGGGTAGTTTCTCAACAAGCGTGTTTCATATGATTATATTCCTCTGTACACATTTACTTGATGTATTCATACTAATACAGTTGTAAATATCATAATAAAAAAAAAAGGAAATATAAAACTCAAGCAATAAAATTTGAAACTATGGTGTATACGTATTAAAGGAGTTGTGATTCTGTATTTTTAATAAACAAGAAAATGTGTATAACAATTATATTTGGTAAGTAGCAATTGTTCTGTTTGAAGCATATTCAATATATAGAGAATATAAAACAATAATGTTAAAAGAATCACATAACAGAATTCAGCTCTAATGTGGTCCCTAAAGTGTCACATTTACTAATTACAACCATTCGATAATTCTGTGAATTCTATTCCAAAATATTCAATTGACTATATCACTTTAACCATTAAGTATTAATAGCTAAACTAGTTTAATTGATAAAATGTTGTTGCTTTTACAATGCTTAATATTAAATTAAGACTAGAAATTCAATTAATAGTAATACATACAGGGTTTAAAATGAAACATATAACTTAATGATAAAATTAACATAAATGTTTTATAGATGGTTACATATACATTTACTAACTTTTTAAACATCAATTTTTATAACTATCGGATTGCTTCATATGAAATTTCAACTTAGGTGGTGGCATAAATAAAGTGATATTTTCTGATTAGTAATTGAGGAGAACTACTATTTCAAGATTCACCAGGCAAAACCTCCAAGGCTTAGAAATTAAACTTTTTTAATCTCTAACATAAATAAATCAACAATCGGTAATTTCTTTCCAAGACCTATGGTTATATTCCAAAAAGCTACGTTACTGGGTAACAAGGTATATACATTTTTTATTTTCAGATTCCAAGCTTTAATGCAGGAATTTAAGAATGTATTCTAAGGAAAAATTGTAGAGAAGCCAAGGAGTATAATTTTATTATAATTAAAATCCTATTTTTTTCATTCAATCATTTCTTGAAAATGTTGACTTAAACATATATTTCATATGAAACAACCAGCATATAATCTGATTAGGATTACGTATAATACACAGTAGTTCATAATAATAATGAAGCAAAACTGGAAGATATGTGAATCAACACCATTCAAAGTAAATTTATACTAATCCTTAAAAAAGAAAAACATATTATTAAAGTGAAATTCTCAAACCTGATACTGATATAATTAAAGGAACGGTCTTTAATAATTAGAATTAACAAGGATATTTAGATAGGATTGTAGACCCAATTCTACAGTTTAACATCAAACTAGGGTCTGTAATATGAAAATCTAAGAGAATTAACCAACCAAAAGGTGTGGCCCTTTGTATAATAAGCAAATAAAATAAATCTGCATTAAATTAAACCTACCAATAAAAAAATAGTTTCATTAAAATAAATAATTTTCAATTATAATAATCGTTACACTTGAAAAACTTAATTAATAGCCAATTGTAGAAATAATAAATAGATTATGTTGAATTAATACAAACTTGATATTGTTTTAATTTGTGCATCACACACCTCAAATAAAACTGTAATTAGTAAAATATTTACATGTGTATAAAAATTTTCCTGATTACTATTGTGCATTTTCCTATTACAGAACTTAAAATAAAACTTCCTGAAATTATTGAATGATAATTGCAAAATTTTAATGTTCAAGACGTATAATTTACTTTTCTATAACATTCATGAAATGTTTTAAAACACTAAGTCTTTTATTAAAGCTCATTCAAATTAGAACTGGAGAACTTAATCTTTGGCACAACAATAGGAAAGCTTAAATCAATGGTAACTCTAATTTTTAAATACATAAGAATTTTCAGCGTTGCAAGTAAGTTTTTTTTTTTAGAAAACGATACTACAAACTAGCTTCGCTGACACAAATCTATTTATATTTGTTTTTTATACCGTTATGAATTTTTACCTTACCTATTAGGAACTAAAACAAAAAATTGAAAAATATGTTATTCGGCGAATGTGAAAATAAATACAATTATTTATTTTTACTATTTTATTTTGCCTGATCACTCCAACTATCCTTATCTTTAATAGTATTTAATGTTACTATTAAAAAAAACAGTAACATTTGAGTTAAAAACATTCGCCAATAAGCTATTATATGAGCTCATTATGTGCTAGTAATTAAGAAAATAAATTTGTCTGTATAAATATATATTTTTCAATGACAATTAATAAAAATAAGTTAGTTTCTAAAGGGTAAGAAATAAATATCTTTGTTTTTAAATAAAGCATCAATTTCTTTCAAATTAAGTGATAATATACTTCTTTAATTATTTAATTTTGATCACAAAATCAGTTAAGTAGTAGATGGTAAAAGAGTATAGGAAATAAACAAAAGACAATCTTTGCAGTAACGTTAAAAAGTTAACTACAAAGCAAAAACTAACATCATTTCAGATTCACCCCATTTTGAATGACTTGATTTCAATGAAATTTTATTGTTTTAAACAAATAGAAAAGCTTTAGGAGTCAAGGAAATTAACTCTTTTTATAAAGTTGATCAGACTAGTCTTCACTCAACTTGTCTATATGAATAAATTACCTTGGAAGGCCACAATTTCACAAAACATAGCATATTTTCATACTAAGCTCATATAAAATTAAGGCCTACTAAAGAAATCTAGAAGAATGAATCTAAGCCTTGAAAATCTTAGCACACTACACTGAAAATATTGACTAGAGCAAAAACAATTTAAACATTCATCCAAGCTTTGAGGAACGAATTGATATCAGCCCCAATGAACTCAAAATGGCTTCCAAATAATTCCTTAAAAAGAAAGAAAACTCTCTAGAGTAACTTTTTCAAAGATTGCAATAATCCTAAAAATGTGCATTTAAAATATATTAACTGTAAATACTGAAATTATTTATGACCATTAACATACCTCAAATTTAAACATTGAAGTTCCATTAATTTAATTCAATGTCAATTTTAAGGTCATGGTTTACATTTGAAAAAATAGGGGGAGGAGGGTGGCAATAGTCTGATTGAAGAGGTAGATTGAAAAAAAAAACTGATTAAGAAATCAGCCATATGCTGAACTTGTATTAGTTAAATTTAATAAAGTGGGCGGGGTGGCCGAATGGGCTAACGAGTGTGCACAGCACTGCCGTTGCCCGGCAACCTGATATATGAGAGAACGATGAAAAATAGTCACGAGTTCGCATCCCAGTGCAGAGGGTGTTTTAAATCCTTGCTCACACTCCCTGGCCCGGGAAAACCCCGATAGCCTTAAAGGCGAGAACCAAAAAAAAAAAATTTAATTTAATAAAGAAAAGCAAAGGATGACTGCCATAAGTCAATCAACGCTCAGACAAGAATCGTGATCCTAACGGAATGGAAATTATAACTGCCATGGGAACTAATGAGTTAAGGCTGAATAAACCATATATGCTGTTTAAAATGCAGTAAAAAATAAACAAATAGGAGATTTTAATTAGAATTAGTATTATGTAATTCTGAAGGTAAACTGCGGGCAAACATCAAGAATTTTAATATTTGGTTAACCAAAATTTAAAGTATAAATTATTATTCAGTGTACCATGTTCCATTAAGACTAAAAAAAAAAAAAAAATAGAGGACCAGAACAGACATAGAATTCGCGGCTCATTCAACCAAGACAAAACCATTTCATATGTACAATTTCAAGAATGAACAACTATCATAGAGGGCAGTAGAATAATGAGAAGACTACTGTCTAACTTTTTAGGAGGTCATATTTATAAAGTTGCTGTACGTCAAAGGTAGAATGATGCCCACACACATTATAATCCTGAAGATGATTATTATAAAATGAGTAGGAAAAGGCTTTTTATTTTTAAGACTCAGGTCACAATAGGATGAAGGCACACTTTAATGAGAAATTTAAAATTGAAGAAAGCCCTATCTGTAGAAAACTACAGAACAGGCAACCAAAATACAGAAAATATCTTTCAAACATGTGCCGAGCTGGAAGATGAAACCCCACTGACTTGGCGATGAAGCTTTACAGAGATCTCAGAAAGACCGTCGAGTTTATACTCTTAATCCCAAATCTCATCATTTGAGGGAAGTTCGAAGGAGAAGGAGAGGCCTACAAGTAAAAGACTTTTTGTAAACTGCTGAGAAAAACTAGATTCATCATAATTAAAAAACGATTTCATAAGATACCCAACTGATGATAATCTGTTTTATTGCAACGTATATAAAAAAGATGAAGATGGTTTTTCTGTTCTAAGAAAAGTGGAAGAGCAAGAAACTTTAAAGTGAAAAATAACTTACTGGTAGAATTGGCATGCTACTTCTGCTGACAGGTAAGGAAGGATCAAAAAAGTTAAATACTGGTAAAAAAAGCTACTGTGGTAAGTTGATAATCACTGATGTAATAAAAAAATTAAGAAAGAATTTATGAAAACCACTGTACTTACAATTTACTTTTATGAATGAAGCTACAGTTCAATGGTTTGTTTGTATTTCTGAATATTATTTCATAATATTAATAATTTCTGTTTTATTTTTGTTTATTTTCTTTGATACATTATAATGGAAAAATTAAAAATATAAAACTGTAGATGATAGAGAGATCACATATACACATACATGTGAAGAAATAAGGATTCTAATGGTTTTCAATTCATTCAGTAAATAATAAGAAAAATCATTGAAATAAATTTTTTAAAAATCGCTATTTATAAAAAATATTTCAAAATAGTGATCCAAAATTTAAACTGAGGTATCAAATTTATTTATGATAATAGTTTATTTCTTATACATACTCAAATAATATATTAAACAAAATATATTTTGATTGAAGCTACCTTTGGAAATAAGCGTTAAAAGTCTTCAGTGGAATGTCTAGGATATATTGCAAGAAATTAACAATACACTAAATCAAATCATAGATCAATAGATTTAACATAATCAATACACATGCATATTTTTTAAGTACAATTACAATGACCTTATTAGGCCATAAAATTAAATTCAGTCAATTATATCAACAACATATTACTAATAAATAATACAAACAACAAAATAAAATAAATAAATTATAAAAATGTACATTGTGGAAGCTTATTGTATTTAAAAAAAATACAACTATAAACAATAAGACTTCTTAATTTAATACAACATAAAATTATTTTCAAAATGGTAACAATACACAGGGTTGGTAACTATCTATGCCACAGACCTGGGAAGGAAATATTCCAAATATTTACACTTCAATTTTGTTTTGTTAAAACATAATTACATTATATATGTGTAAATCTAAATTTTAAGGTTTTCTTAAATATAGTTAAAAATAGAATAGTAGTATTTTTTGATAGTAAACATTTTGACTGACATTAAAAGCCATCGTTAGTTAGTTATAAGAACAGGAGAAGACTACATAATTGACAATTCACTGTCAGTACTCATTTAATCTCAAGACCAACAATCTGTGTCGAATAGGAGACTAACAAAACGTTTGGTCTTCTCTACCTTTCTGTACAAATAAAGACACACCACACATCTTTATATCTCTTTTTTCAAGGATTATAATTTTAATAAAAAATTGAAGTATTGTTAAATACATGGAAATAAAACATGAGAATATTTTTTCTAACTCAAAATATTATTGATATATTTGAATTACTGCCCAGGTCTGCAATAACTAAATATGTTAAAATGCAGATGGTAAAACAAGCATCATGGAAGCTTCCAAGAGACGATAATTGGTTTAGTTAATTTATTTCATATTTTGTCTGATTTTATGTTTTTTAATTGATGGTTGACCAATTTAATCACAATCACTTCAGATTTGTGAGGACATCTAATATTTATAGCTACTATTATTTAAATACCCCTGATCTATAGAAATTGACATATAGCACAGTAATTAAGCTTCTCCATGCAGGAGGCCTTTTACAAAAATAGCAAAAGAATCTAGACTCAATTTTTATTTATATAATAAATTTAGAGAGATCTTTAATCTTTTGTTACAGAGACATGAGAGGCACATATTAATGTGAAACTTGAGAAAATTAAATTTGTAGTTAGAAGTTATAAGATACATTTTTTTCACATCACAATTTTAGAACAAGAGGTATGGTATAAATGTTCATGAAATATTGTTTTTAGTTTTATTCTATAAAACAACTTTTCAATCTTAATTATGGTTCTTGTTAGCTTATGCAATTCAAATCATAGACACAATATGCATTTTAAGTTTGTTTTAAAATTAAAAATGCACCTCTCAAAACTTTTTTGTTGCAAAAAAGGGATATGACAAACAAAATAGTATTTTTAAAATATCGAATAAAGGTTTTTTAACATTCACAATAAATGTTTTCATCATCAAAAAGGAAGAACATATATGTATATATTTTAAATTCAAAATTAGGAATGTAATTGAATGGATATTTACTTAGTTCAAAAAAGGATATTTATCACAAGAATGAATTAGCATAATAATAAAAATACTTTCCTGGAATGTTAAATATAACATGAAAAATAATAATAAACATAAATATTATTTATGTTCATTTCTAATACTTATAACTGAAACACTTTTAAATACAACATACAACAAAAAAGAAAATTAAGTTTTAACATAATTTTAATGAGCAAATAAAAATATAAAAAATAAATTAAATTAAAGCTTAAAAGTTGACAATTTAAAAAAAAAAAAATTAAAGTACAACTTAGCAAGCAAACAGAATTAGAACTGTGGTCAAGAAATTCTCCATTTTCTACTATATACGTAACTGCAGCTCAGAAATAATTCTCTTAGTGTGATAGTCATCTATCTCTGGACTGGAGTACACTAAACAGTACTTCAGTAGAAGAATCATCTCTGTTATCGTCGTCATCAGATGATGCAGTAGCTTCAGCTAAAAACCTAGAATAAATCATGGAAATTAGCCATTTATAGGCAAAAAATTGAATGGAGGTGGGTAATTGGAGGTTACATGCTCTTATTAAAGGTTTAGATAGATCTATAATATATTATTAGGTTCATGATGATTTACCAAAGATTGCTGAATCAAACAAACAATATCAATGTTGGCAAAAAGGTAAAGAAAGCTCACATCATCTATATAGGAGTTCCTATCGATGATAGATTGCAGAGTTAGCCTTGTTGATAGAGTATTATTCTAAAGAAGAATTAGCTCTCAAGCAAGTATTGATAGCATATAAAACTACTGGCTCTGTTCTATCCCTTCTTTTTATGGGAAGATGATTACCAGGCAATGAGTGAATGATGCCAAACTTAAGGAAAGAAGTAGGAAATCAAATATAGCAGCAGAAGACATACCCTGACCTGAAAATCAAGGTAGGGATTTGGGAGGTGATATGAAGAGAACGTACAGGGACCAACTCCATTTAAGAAGGAAATATATAAAGAGGAATGTCTAATCAGAGTAGAAAATATAATAACTATATTATACTCCTAATCTTTGTTTATATTGCACTGTAATAAAATTAATAAGATTATGTTCATTCAAAGAAGTTGTTCAGGAAGATGTGTATTTAGAACTTTGTGATCAGTGAATCAATAGTTCAATGTTATTTTTGTAATGATCTAATAATTAGATGGCAGTTTAAAATTAATGGAAATCATTAAAAATGATTTTGAGAGTTCGATTTCATTATTAGATTTTCAAATAAAACTTCTTTTACGTGATTAAATCCTTCTTCATAATATTAACAGCTTGAGGTAGAAATACCACACAACACAAATAATAAAATGGAAAAGTTTGAATGATCTTAATTTATTGGAAAAAATAAATATGTTTGAATTGAGGCAAGTTCATAGTTTTAAAATAATTTAAATTATAGAAATTCAATTCGCTTAAAAGAGGAATTAAGCTTGTCTATTCCTTTTTGGAGCTACTGCTTCAATGAGGAATTTCAATCAGTAATACATTTATTACCTGGCTGATGCTTCATCCAAAGATTTACTCCGGCCTCTGTTTCTGTTCGACTCTTTACTTCCTCTTTTAAAAACATGAAGACATATACCTATAAACAATAAATGCATAAGCCACAAGATTTAAAATCTATACATTAAAATTATTGAGGTATGGTCTCACTATATTTCTGTACAGTGTTTAGTTTTAATGTTTTTTAAATTGAATTTCAGATCACCAAAACACACTCATTTCCTACATATGTTACGTTCTAACATTGTGGTTCCAAACGTAATTCAGATTTTAAATGTGCAAGATGTTACTGCATGATTATTTCAATGTAACTTTGTAAGTTTTGGAAATCTATAAATATTCATCTCCTTTCTTAGATTTCAAAAGTAATCTTGCAAAATGATTTCTTAGAAAGTTGAAAGAAGTTGATGCGTGGTATATTATTTCTAGTGTATTTTAAACTCTACATAATTCAATAAATTATATAAAGCAAACCATACACAAAATAGTTTCAACCCAACAGGCTGTTTAATTTTAGGAAATGTTAAAAATATAGGACATAATACTTTGTCGAGTCTCATAAAAATCCAAGCATAAAATTTGAAAAAAAAAAAACCTTTCATCCCTCCCTTTAGCAGGCACTGAAAACATAATAAAATATGTTAATTGTGTTTATTAATTATTGTCCCCACCTGTAAAAACATTTGTTAAATAATTTTGCTGTTGATAGATGAGGGTAACTTTGTAACATACGAAATAAAATATTTATGTTAAATGATTAATTTTTTTTGTCTTTATCAAACGAGGGGGAAGAAATATAATTATTAATTTTAATTCGCATGGTTATAAAAAATTCTCCCTAGTGGTAGAAAATATTCTACATTTTTTAAAAATTGTAATTAAATTAATTTTCAATCACAATAATATAAAAATGATTCAAGATTAGTAATAAAAACACTAAAGTATCACAGACTAAATTGAAATAATTCCACTAAAAAATACATGCTGATAAGGAATGATTTACAAATATTGACCTTAGTATAAAACTTTGAACTTACCGGCTAGACAAAATAGAAGTCCAACAAAGTTAAGTTTTGACATAACATCACCATTCCATTCAATAGCTAAGGTTAATGTGCAAACTTCCTGTAACGTATAAAAATAATTTACATAACAATGATGCATTTTTAAACCTGAGTAAATCTGAAAAACTTCTATTATTTTATTTCAGAAGCAATAATTGTAAGAGCAATGTGAAAAAGCAAAACAATGTATTAAAATAGTCTGTAGTTAAGTTCTTACAAAATGATGAAAAAATTTAAGCAGGTGAAAATCGAGTGGAATTAAGTCTTTTCCTTTATTTTGAAAAAGTCATGTTTTGTACAAGGACAGATTAGGTACTAAGTGGTAGTGTAGGGACCTGAAAATGATTACTCTATTTAGATCTTGAGCCAGGGTCCAAATAGAGTAATCACTTTAGCAGAGGGTTTCAAAATGGTGGCCAAGAGAAGACATACAACATTTTCAAAAATGACCCTGATTCATGAATGGATGAAATTTAATTTGACAAAAATTTCTACTAAAAGGTTTTGGTATGGAGCAGCCTGCTGTTTCCAAGCTTCAATCTTTTGATAAACTAAATTTCAAAAATTGAAACTTAAGACATAAATTTCGGAATTTATTTATGTCTACACATGGCCACCATGTTGAACAAACCGGCAGCTTTGGAATGATATACAAAGATATAATGGTATATATACTAATTTCATTTAATATGGCTTAGCCATAAGTGTCCTATTTTGGCCTTGGCTTCAGATCTATTAAAATATCTTTACTTAAAGATTTAGGACATGTTTAGACAAGTCTTTATACAATAATCAAACAAATCTAAAACTAAAATGTTTAATTCATGCTCTCTAAATTGCACTAAGCTTTATGTTTGTGTAAGATTTTCTTGAAACTTCCTATTGTAGTGTCCCAGAATTTTTCATCACTTAGTACCCTACTTGTCTTGTTGAGACCCTGGTTTTGTAAATTTACAATGCACAATAAAACATTCACTTTCTTGAAATAAAAGAAACATGACATATAGCTTACATATTTTTTCCTAATTTCTATAAAAGAGACAACAAGAAAAGTATGTTCTAATAAAACTTCATTAATCCAAGGTAGAAAACTATTTCATATAAAAAATAAAACAAAACTTAAATAATTTTTTTGTTTTGCGTTACCATTTTAAACAAAATCCTATTTTGAATTATAAAATAACATAATACCACTGTTTCATATTAAAATTAACAAAACCATAAAATGTTATTTCTTATAAGTTATATCATTATTTTGTTAGAAAAAAAAATCCAGATACATGAAAATCTTTTGCAAAACTTACTTTAAAAATGCCAGCAACTGAAAGAGTGAGACTTGACATTCTTGAGACAACAAGATATTCAGAAAGCTCCATAGCAAGAGCCAAGACACTTCCAAGTAAGATGTAACCAACTTTAGCCCACACGATACCATAATCTTGAGGGAACACAAGGGCATTCCAACCTGTGATGGCATCTCCAGCTGAAATAAAAAAAAATAATCATACAATAAAAACATAGTAACTGAATAATTATACTAACATATTAACAATTATACATACAACTAAAGCATACTAGCATAATTATTTTTAAATATATATATACACACACACACTGGAAACATATGTGTGTATACTGAAAACAAATATATTGACTCTCCTTCACTTCACTGATTTTTTGAAACACGTTCAGTTCAACAACACACAAACAATTATTATTATTTAATCATTTTTGATTTTATTTATTAATATATTGATTAATCAAGCTGGTAAATTCTGTCATCATATATTCTGTAAATAAACATTAAATATTAATCTATAAATCAGCTACTATGCCATTAAAAAAAACAAAAAGTCCTAACGTGTAGACCATCGACCATCTTCAGGGCCACAACTTCGACGAGAAAGATAAAAAATAACTTTAAAGTATTGTGACAAACCAGAAGAAAACTGAATAAAATAGTATAATCTATTTTGGAAAATTTCAAGATGTCATAAACTTAGGATTTCTTTATTGTGTTATTAATATGTATCCCTTCGGTTCATAGTTTCATTATCATACAGTAGAGAGGGTAAAATATGGATTACTCGAACATACATCAATGCAGCTTTTTGGAAAACATTGTACTGCCAAAAGTCAAAAAATTGTTTTTGATTACTCATGAAGTGTAAATTTGTAAGAACTATATATATTGGAGCTATAAAAGTTTTTCCACCTTAATAAACTTTAGTATATGATAAAGAATAAATAAATATTTAGAATACATTTGGAGAAGACTCATTACCCTATTTCTTTATTAGCCACTTCCACAATCAACTATTATAAAATTTCAATTACAAGTAAAGTAGATATCATTCATAATGATCCATAAGGGACTAGACCTATTCCATCAATAGGAAAGCTGAACTAAGAATGAGGCAGTTTCAGTTAGGACACAGAAATCTGTAACCCACAAGATTTTCCGTATTAGCATTTGCTCATGACCTTGTCTTGCAGGCTGCCAACGACCGTGAGCTCCAGTACAAATAAACATCGTCCAGGAAGAGATAACAGCAACAAATATGAAAATCAATCCAGACAAGATAAAATGCATGCAAATAAGAAAGAAACTCTGGAGAATACTATGAGAAAATGGAAAGATTAGAGGTAGATAATTTCCAATATCTGGATCCTCATCTCAACCAAAGCAGTTACTTCGATGAGGAAGTCACTCCGAGAATTAAAACAGCTGGTAGGACTATTCTGTTTGTTTTGAAGGGGTTCCTTTGGTAAAAGAGAGGTCAACAAGAAGACAAAAATGGCTGTCTATAAATCAACTCTTCCTTTTCCTTTCCTACTCTTCCGATTCGTGAACCCTTATTTTGAAATACAAAAGTCAAATCCAATCCATGAAGATGCCATTCCTTCGTGAAGTTGAAGGAAAGTAAGACTTGATAGAATCCGGAACACCACCTTACAGACTAACATTTAAGTTAAACTGGCCGAGACCATCCTGAAGGAACATAAGCTAAGATAGTTGCATGAGGTCACTTTGGAGGGAAGAAAAGCATGCATTGCCTGGAAGGAGAGTGTCCAAGAGGCATTCAGAAGGTGTGATATGGATTGGAGTAAGAGAAGAAAGTTGGTTACAGATCAAGACCTTTCACAGAAGCACTTCAGGGATTCATCAGACCAACAAATAAACTTGACCAATAAATAAAATGCTTAGAAGTCAGCGAAACCAAGATCAAGTACTTGGTGACAGAGGATGCTACAAGATCTGGAGACAGTGTGAAAATATGTCCATACAATATCGAGAAAGTGACGGAGTTGCCTTATTTAGTTTCAGTATTGACAAGTGATAACAATGTAGCAGCTGAAATTAAAAAGAGAATTGTCCAACCACAGCTGTTTCCGTTATGCAAGGAGTTTTGTAGTCTTATCTAGAGAAACCTTGATATGGCCAGGTATTTTCTATGGTGGGCAGGACAGGAACACATTTCGGAAGCTGGTGGAGGAGGCTAGGACTCGAGACCGGGCTATAGAGCCTTGATGATAAAAGGTTGTGATGGCTGAACGTGTTAAGAGTGTTTCCTGTTTTAGCATTCTCATGTCTAGCGATGCCAGTTTGAATCTAGCATGGATGGGTTGACTTTTATTTCGTGACGGACTGAATGAATCTTGAATGAGACACGGTATGAATCTCGACCTTCAAACTCTGTAGGATAGTTTTGGTTATACCTCTAGAACAGCCTAACCTTTCCTCATGTGCCAGAAATGTGTAGGTAGGAAGTAATCCAATAAAAAAAAAACCAAAAAAAATGAATTATGATGAATATGATCAATTTACTGTAATTTAAAGAGATTAGGCCTGTTTCATATTGTATAGATAGGAAGCATATTGTATAGATACGGATGGATCCACCCGATATGCCGACATTGTAGCATTCCTTAAGACGGGAAAGTCGGCGATGATTTTGGATCCGACCGTGAGATATGAGACCAATGACCTTGATCAGGCAGGAAAAGTGGAAAGGGAGAAAAAACAGACATTTGAGAAATGCATCCCTTTCCTTAGTGAAAAGTTCTGCGAGAGTTTCGGGCCGAGAGAATTCCACGTGAGAGGCCTTTGGTTCGGAGCTCACGGAACGATACCAGACTCAACAAGGAGCTTCATGGAGGGCCTTGGTGTCGACATAAAGGACGTGGCAAGGTTGGCAGAGAATATAATCCTTGACTCCCTGGGAATTATCCATCACCATGTGCATGGATAGAGAGTTTGTTCATGGGGGGAGGCATGCGTGTTTTACAGCATTTTTACATTATTTATTGACCACGTCCACTGCACTTTATGTATTTGTATGCATGTTATGAATTAGGTTAGGAAAAGAGAGGAGAAAATCTAGGGAATGAGAAAAATGTATAGAGTGAGAGAAGGAACAGAAAGGGATGTATAATGCTAATAAATGAATGAAAGAAATAGTAAAAATAAAATAAATAAATAAGAAAAAAAATAAAAATATAGGAAAAAAAAATTATGATAAAAAATAAATAAATATATAGATAAAAAAAAAATTGTATATTATGCTCATACATGTTGTTAATACTATATAATTGTATATTAGTTTTGGAAAATTGTCTGTAGCGATTAATAAGTATGCTGTGTTTAAAGCAACCCAATGTAATTGGGCAGCACCCTTTTATGATAATAAAGTGATTCTCTCTCTCTCTACTTAAATTTACTGTGGAACACTAAAACATTCTTTATGAGAGTTACTTGATTAATATATTTTTATTCATTCATTTGAGGCTCCTTTTAAATTGAAGATACATGCATCTTAAACACTAAACTGTGCAATAGAATGAGAGCTTTCACACCAAAGATCCAAGACTTCTTGGGAATCAGCTGGCTGGAGATTTTAGCATGCATCTTTGTTACTCGCCCCATCCACTAGAGTCTAAATGTTTTTGAGGAAGAGCAATCATCGAGTCCGTTCGGCTTACATCACCAATGTTCGGCCTCCCCTTCTCAATTTTCTCTAAGCTCTTGTGATTGACATCTCTATCAATTTCTTTTTTATTTTCAACTAATGTTTTCTTTTTTCTATCCATTGTTTAATTTTTTTTTCATAAATTGCTCTGATTTTCAACTATTGTTCTATTTTTTTAACCTATTTTTCTTGTTATTACAATAGAAGATTAACAATTTTATGACAAAATTGAAATAAATCATTAGCAAAAAAAAGTAATCAAAATATAAATAAAGTTAATCATATTGTGAACTTTATCTTCCATTTGTTTTTATTACTTTGTATACAATTAATGTTTCCAGATCCGTCGCCTCAAGAGTCGGACGATTGATCATTCATCTTTCATAATCACGTACTAAACTAACAGAGATAATGGATATAAACATTTTCGTGATGCATCACTTTTAATATTTATAAAAAATATTATCCAATATTTTTATGGATATAAGGGAGTGGGTAGCTAAGCGGTAGGGTACTGAGTTTCCAATGCTCAAGGTCCCAGGTTCGAATCCTGGCTCATGGCAGAAAAATTATTTATAGTGTTTCGTCCCTCCTGGGGCACACTCAGTCTCTACAAAGTGGGCACCCTTGATTGAAATAATGAACTAAGGTAGAAAACCTGGTGGTTCAGCATGATCCTGGCCCTATCTCCTCTCTGCATAACCATTGGCCTTGAAACAGTACTTTCCCAAAATAGTACTGAAACGTCAAAATAGACCCTTCATGGGTTGTAGTGGTAGACTACATCTAAGATAAGTCTGGATAGAGGGGGAAATAGATGCGCAGTGGCAAAACATTTTCCTGCCAATCCCCCACTCTTTTGTCTACTATACTCATTCGTATGTACTCCTAAATTTTTTTTTACAAGTAGAAATTTCATTTATCATTTTTTGTTTATTATGTCAAGTAAACTGGGTAGAGGGAAAACTATCCACTCTCAAACAAAAAATGTAATTGTGAACATTTATAAATTCATAAGAACAGAGTTTTTTTTCTTAATTTGATTATTTAACTATCCTTTCCACTATTTTACTTTATTTTTGATTTCTATGTTTAATAAACATGTGCAAAATTTTAGGAAGTGGAATAACGCTTTCCTGTATAAGGAGGTGGCTATGAAGAGGGGAAGTAATGCTGGAGAGAGTTCTTGGGGAAAAGCTGCATGAGCTTCCTTCCCCAACACGCAAACTTATCTTAGATGCACTAAACAGGTTTTTTTTTTTATGAATATAATTCACAGTGGTCGTTAAAAAGTCTGTTTTATCATAATCAGGTAAAGAAAACATCTATTCCTGTCATCAGTCCATTTATTTTTCATGATGGAAAAGATGTGTTCTTCAAATAATGAAGAAGTTAGTCCTGTCAGAAATTGTCATGATTTGTAGGCAGCCTAAGGGTGGACTAATGCGGCATGAAGTTGCAATTCAGATTTTGGGTTTTTCAAACTTCGTGACTTATGATTTCATTCTCAGGCTGTCAAATATTAGTGGTCAAGCTATTTTGGAACTGTGTAATATTCAATATAAATAAGACAATTTTAAACATGAAATTCATTACAAATGAAACTAGGGCTCCTCCTAATAACCAACAAAGGGTGAAGGACAGTTTATACGAATAGTAGGTTGTCCTACTGAAAATAGGATGCCTGGAAACTCTAGTCTTGACTTAAAATTTACTTTTAAAAAAAAGGATGTAATCTAAAAAATATGTCATAAATAAATAAATTGAAGATTTTTTTCATTCAAATTTTTTACAATAAACAGAAAAATGCATCACTTTCAATATTGCTAGATTGAAAAAAAAAAAAAAAAAAAAAGCAAAGATAAACTTTCACCAATGAATACGATTCTTTTATTTGTTCAAACATTGATTACTTAAATAAAAAAAAATATTGGAAATGTTGTAAATGCCTAACGCTATACTTAAAAGTTTAAAGAACCAAACATTACAAAAAGAAATCATTTGAAAGGATTTTTTTATAAATTAATTCAATTGATTATAAACAAAAATATATGATCATTGAATATAGGACAGATGCAGCCATTGAAATTAAAACACGTCTTAAGGCTTTATGGCTGGATTTAATTATATTATTACTTATAATACAAAACAGTAAGCTACAACTTAATGAATCTTAAGAGGTATAACAAATACAATAAATAAATTTAAAACATGTGAGGCCAAGGCCTAAGAAAAAAGAGCTATCTACTTGTTCTTTATCAGAAGGAAGTAAGTGATAAAGTTACTGTCAAGAGAAAGATTAACATTATGGTTTAGTGGTCTGGATAACATATTACCTTCAAAAATCATTACAAATGGCAAAATTGAAAAGAACATCCAGGGCTGAACATGATATAACATGTCTATTGGATTACTTAATCCCACATCAGATTTTTGCATAACAAACTGAGCTAGGGTCCAACGAAGCCCACTGAAAACCAATTATGTAAATATACAAACAGATAAAATAAAACAATAAAAAAATATGCTAATAAACTCATAAATTACCTGCATAATGAAGCAAACATTACTAATAGAAAACCCAAAAGATTAAATTGGGCAGCTTTGTACGTAAATAGAACAAGACCTCCTGATATCATAGAAACAGTTAAAAACAGCGACCAGGTCTAAAATAAAACCTGAACCTTAGATAATATATAAGGCAAAATTAAAAAGCTTATTACTATATAAATTTTCATTTACCTTCTCTTCAAGTTTAAACAACAAGGCAAATATAAGTAAAAAAACAATTGCTGTTGATTTAGTCATGGTATACCTGTTGGGTAAACATAATTTAATAAATAAACATGGTTACTGTCTAAATCACATACATTATATTTTTTTACTTACAAAGATACGGTTATTAATTCAATTCCCCAATTAGAAAATGCTACATCCAATCCACTTGAAAGCCCTGTAGGAACTATTTTTCTGACAGTATTGGGCCAATCAAGTCGGATCCGTTTCTTTCCAGTACAACATTTCCAAATGCTTCGACATAAAGCAGCTGCAAAGAATTTGGTAAGAAGGTGAACCATCACAACTAGCAAAGGAAAATGAAAATCCTGCAACAGAAATATCCTAAAATGTAATAATCCACTAATTTAAAACAACAACATTAACAGGTACAAGCTTGTGCACCTGTGTTAAATTTCTTTAAGTAAACATTAAGAAATTAAACTAGAAATAACTCTAGGAGCAGAAAAATAAAGTCATAAACTACTTACTTTCAAAAACCATCTTTGATAAAATGTAAGTCCAATTGATAAAGGGAAATAAATTAGTATGATTCCAGCAGAAGTAATTAAATTTGAAAAGCAATGATTATTATGGAAATTCAGGTTCTTATCACTGTCAGTCTCATGCAAAACAACCCTTGCCATGTCACAGCACTTAGGTGTTCAATAATATATCAAATTCAGAAAACTTAAAGTTTACAAGAAAAGCATCACATTGTCTATTAAACATTTTTCCTGTTCTTACAAAAAAATGTTTAGGGCCATGAATAAACTCTTGAAGGTAATGTGTGATAACGAAACGACAACATCAGTAACAGATGGTAACTTTAAATTTTGTGCCACTAGCGTATATTCTTTGGCAACATAAAGAGGAGGGGGAAAAAATTATAGCTCGTCGAAAATTGTTTATCGAATTGTATATTTCTATTTATCCTTCAACAAGTTCTATTATGATTATTTTTTTATAACTATTACATTGTATAATATTTTTTTTAATTCGAAAAACGTGATCAAATAAAATATTAAATAATATATTAATGATGTGATGTATCAATAAAGCTTTTATTTCTTAGGTTCGCACTATATAATTTTGACATGTAAAGCTAAACAAATATTTTGTACTTAATTATTTAGATATTTTTGTCTGTGGTAATTATTTCGAAGCAATATTCAAGCAATTATATAGCAATATATCTTTTTTCTTCACCTCGAAGCCGCGTACTTCAAATAGAGACACATAAGTTCTCTAAATGTCGTGTTTGGGCTTTATTTTATAAGCTTTATTTTAAGCAATGCCATTTAAAATATTCGTGGTTTTGCCATAATTTACGAAAGGTATAGGTACGAGAATTATTCATTAATTAGTTTGCTTTACTCGGGTTCAATTTAATCGGTGTGATGTTGACAAATATTTTTTTAGATATAAAATTTATAAGTCAACTATAATACTGGATGTTACACAAGTATTAAAATGTTGTGATTATTTAAAAATATTAGTTACAAATATTTTCGTTGTAAGTTTTTAAATGTTGATGGGCACTAATATTTTCTTCCATGTTTCTCTGCCTCCATATTCTTTTTAATTTGATTTCTTGGCTTGTAACTACTGATCTGTAATTCTCACATATTTAATAGCAGCATAATTATTTGATTGAAAATGTGATGAATGGTTGCACTTAATATAGTTAAATTTATTGGCCATGAAATTACGTTTTTGAATTTATATACTTTAAAGTTCTAAATAGAAACAAAATATATTGTAAAACAAAAACCATAATCAAGCATGTTAATCCTTTAAACAGAATGTCTCCAACTAAAGCATAAATAATTTGTGGCAGTGAAGATAAAATTGAAATGTTTACAGTTTTATGAAAATATGTTTTTCCTTTAGAATATATAATAAGCTATTATAATAATATAATATAAGCTCATTCCAGCCCACTAATGACCTTTACAGGAAAAGGTGATTGAACAGATAATAAAAACTAATTAAAATTATGAAATAACATTAATATCAGATAATGGCATTTATATTGTACATGGAGGAATAATTATATTGAATATGTGGTCTATAATGGAGGTTTTATACTATGGGGAAGCTAGCCAGCCATTTTAATTGACATTTCAGTCAGGTTGAAAATTACTCTTGCAATATAGATTGAAAATCATACTTCTAATAATGGAATATAATTTCATACAAATAGAAGTTTTAAAAAGGATCAAATTATACATGTCATTAGACTAACTATGAAATAATATTATATTCAATTCATCTAAATAAATACATTTAAACACACTGTTTAGGATTATTATTAGTTTACTTAAATTTATTTAAGAAAAGATGATTAGTTCATATGTAATAAAATATTTTACTATGAAAAAAAATCATAATTTAAAGATATATTAATCCGACCATAGTTTATACCATACTGCTATTATATTGTTAAAGATAAATATTAAACAATTATTTTTATATGATTCTCTTATCCATTGAATTTCTGAAAATGAATATTCTATGTTGGATTATAGTCATGTATTTTAGAGGGTGGTAGGAATTATTTTTAAAATCAGCTTATTGAAATAAACCAAAGTCACTTGTGTGAAATTAAAATTACAAATTATACAAATATTAATTACAAATAAAGTTTTATACTGGGGAGAATTTTAAACTAAAATAAAAAAATAATAAGCAACTTTCTCTGGTCACTAAATTCAATTCAACAGTCCTTTTGCAGGAGCAAATTTATCCACTAAGCCCTGATCTGGGGGGTGCATAATGGCACGAGGTGCTTGCTAAAAACAAATTTGTTTAAATAATTAAGAAAATGTTTATGAGGGGCTTAGAACTGTCTTCATTTACCTTTTGTTTACATAGCTTATTGATTTACCTACTTATTGGATTATACCCCAATGGTAGAATGAGGTGGCCACGAAAACTCTTGGTCCTAACAGTGTCAACATTTAGAATCCTATTCATTTGATAAAATTACCTAAAAATGACAAAGTATCTTTACTTATTCTCAATTAATTGAAATACAATTTATCCAGGAAAACCGTAAGATAAATATATATAGCTGCACAATTTTCTAAAAGAATAACATATACAAGTTTCCTAAAATAGAGGATCTTGACATGCAGAAATACAATAGAACCATTCTTAATCTTAGATAATCACTTGAATGTTCTTTGAGGTACAGTATACTTAGAACTTATTTCTAAATGGTTGTTTACAATTTATAAATATTCAGAAGACCTAATTAAGCTTTTGTAGCAAAATAATAAAAAAATATTATTATTATTATTAACACAAAAATTATTATTTTAAAGAAATAGTATAAATAATCTGAAATAGATAGTTTCATTTATACGTAAAAGAGATTAAAACAATAAATAATCAATTATTATCTAATAAATGTAAGAAAATTATTTCTAATTTGACTGATTAGTTTATTTATGCATATTATTAATGATTAAAGAATAATTTTATCCGAAATTGTATTAGAAATGAAAATGGGTATTTTGTTGAGCACTAATATAGTGAAAAATAAAATAAATAAGACATTTTATTTCACATTTAATTAAATCCAAGGGAATAATTTAATGAACAGTTTGAAAATATATAAAAATTCATTTGTTTCATTGTACAATAATAGAACAAATGATTTTCTTGTTGGGATAATTTGAAAATATAATGTAAAAATTAAATGACAAATGTCAATTTAAAAAAAATTATCTATGTTCTTTTAAGAAACATATATCACTTAATTACAAAACATGCAATGCAATAACTAACAATTCTTCTTGATATACCTAGATGAAAGTTTATAGAGATTGTTATTGAATAACAAGATGTTGTGAAAATTAAGTTTAGACTAGTTTACCTTGAAAAGACTTCTTACAAATTAAGCTCATTAAATCAACAAATGATGAAAATAACTAGAATATAGTACACACAAATAGATAAATGATAAATTATATTACTTTTTATTTACTATTCTTTATTTATTTTTGCAAACATTATTTTTGCAACAAAATATTTTTTCCACTTTAAACTACAATTTACTTAGAACTAAAATTTGAAAAATATCTCAATAATACTTACTTATTCTATTTTATGAAATAACCTAAGGCAGACTAAATAATTTAATTCTGAAGATATTAAATATATTTTAATATTGAAAAATTATATCAAAGTTTAAAGGAAAAATAAAACTCCCAACATCAATTTGGAGAATAGTGATGTTTGAAACTAATTCCTCAACAAGGGGCACTATAGATACCATATATACCAGAATAAAATAATGGTTTGAAACCTGATTGGTATTTCTAACATACAGACACTTTTAGTCTTTTTTTTCTAAGAATTTGAGCTTTCAAAGGAATGCTTTCTTTGTATCCCACAAATCTTTCAGGGCTATCTTTTATCAGTGACATAAGAATGACATTAGCAGATACTAGGCCCATAAGGGTAGTTCCCCCTCTCAACCCCTTTAAACCTTAAAAATAAAGTTGAGGAAGAAAATATTTCATTCTGGTGTTATTGTTTGCAGAGGAAGGTAATTATTTTAGTGACATTGAATTCTATCTTTTTACTTACTACCATTTATAATAATATCACCAATATATATATGTGTGTGTGTGTGTGTATACGCGCACACACAACCCTTTATTTGCCTACTTCTTCCTCCAGACTTATTTCTAGTTACTTCTCAGACTCACTCATATAATATAAAGGTTGTTTGTAGTATAGTAAAGAATAAAATTAGCTATTTGAATTTTAATTTTCAAGCAATTTCGTCTACTTTACAATCCAAAAATACAACTTCTTGCTCTTCCCCCAAAAAATTTTAATGTTGCCTTTTGCATGACACTTCCCCACCTCCCCTCATGCACTTCTCTTGATGTATGTATATATATATAATATATGGGGTGGATTGGATGGGTGACCACCTGATGGGCAACCAACTGCCAGAGAAAGCCACGTTACCCGAGTTTCTCCCCCTCTCCCCACCGTTATGTGATGCCCATCAGCCTACTGGAGACAACTCACACCGACCGGGCATAGGACTGATGACTCTACCCCCGTTTACTTAAATCGGGAATCGGTATGTGGTCTAGGAGACCAGATCTTGCGGATAAAGATCTGCAAGGTCTGTAGCACCAACCAAACAAAAAAAAAAATTATATATATGTATATAAGCTCAATGACACTCTGTATTTCATTGCTATATTACAAAAAATATATTTTAACTGAATAGTGAAATAGATCCAGAATGTGGTGGGTGCACAAATGACATGGCCTTGGCCCAAAAGTAAGGGATGTAAATATAAAAAATATATATTGATATATTTATATTTTTCAAATATATAGAACTAATGATGGAGTATTTTGATATATTGGGCCTCTATATTTTTAATCTTTGAAAAAAGTAGGGATGTAAATATTGTACAATAATATCAAAACACATTTTAACGATAGTTATTAAATATATCAATGTACCTATAAGAATATTAGTATTTAGCATCTTGATGTTCTTAATCTTTAAAAGAAGATAATAAGGATTAATATTCCATTAAAGTCTAACATTTTTAATTGTAATAATTAGATATTTATATATTGCTTATAAAAAATTGATTAGCATTTACCAATAAAGAAAACAAAACATTTTGTTTGGAACTAGAAATAGAAAAAAATCAATAAAATAGATAAACATAAAAAAAATGGAAGTAAACCAATATTAAATTAATTACTAAAGACCTGTCCAAATTCGAAATTTATTATTAAAAGACTTAATTAAGAAATAGAGAAATGTTAATTAAAATGCTCATTATA